TTGTGGGGTGGTGGTGGTGAGAAATGATGGAAGCGAGTAGCGTAGAAAAAATTGTTAGTAGTGCCTTAGACGGAGTCCAATGGCAGCAAGTTGTTGTTCAGCACGAACGGTGGGGTTGTCCCTTATGTAGATCTTCCATGCTTGAGAGGACCAGCGACCGATAGCTTGAATGACGTCCTCAGATAGGCCAAGGCTGGCGTAAAATGTGGCGCCACCTGCACGTGCTGAGTGCCCACCGAATTCCCGACTGAGCACGGCAAAGAAGCGAGCGTCGAACCACGAGCGAGTGGGGTGGGAGCCATCCTCTCGTAAGAAGAGAGCGAGGCGGGCCTGGTGAACAGAGTCACGTCGATCGACATATTCTTTGAGAAGTGCCACAGGGTCGGCAACTTCCTGTTGTGAGAACAAGATGTCAGTGCCACGGTAAAAAGGATCCCCCTTGTGATAAGGGAGGTGATACTGAGCTCGCCCTTGAGAAAATGTGAGTGAGGAGCGTTTGATGATTTTCCTCCAATCGAAGAGGTCTTTTGAATTTTTCTGGACGAGTTCGCCTGAACGGTGGCAAGCGTAGAATAGGCAAGAAAGTATTGTTGCGAAGAGGAGGTCATCGTAGGATCCAGAGCCACGAGCAATATGTAGAAAAGTTTGTAAATGTGCCGGACGAAGAGGCAACTTACGACGAATAGGGTCTGCACGGATTTTCTTGGAACCTCGAATAGTAGTTGTGACGAGTGGGTGGGCGCGATTCTTGTCAAAGTCAGGATATAAGTCAGATAGAAAATGTCTGACACCTGAGAGATATTTTGGCCCAGAGGCGATGTATTGGGAGGTGTAGGCGATGTAACGAGCCAAGGTTTCAGGGGTGGGTTCGATGGAGAGGTGATGGGACATGCAGAAAGCAATGTAGTCGCGAGCACCTGTTGCGTAGCCTTTAACTGTTGATTTCTCAATAGCGTTAACCTGCAAATGAAGCATACGATTGTCAAGATCACGTAGCTTCATTGGTGGGCGAGTCCGGCGTAATGGCCGAGACCCGCCCAGGGCGCTCAAAAGCACCCCCTCCATCGCGCCGGCAGGAGGTCCCGTGGTGGGGAGAATAGGCGGACGCGGTCAAAAGGGAATTTTGCTTGATACTCGTCAAGCAAAAGACGTGAGAGGAGGTCGGCTCGGACATTTTGCTTTCCAGGGATGTGTCGAACACGAAGATCAATGCCAGATTCAATGATGACACCAGCTATTGCCATGAGTGGACCATTGTGCAATGCCTCAGAGACGCGTAAGCTGTTGAAGATGGCCACTGAGTCTAAACTGTCAGTGTGAATAAGAAGACGGCGAGGGGGTGAGGCAAAAGAGGCAATGTGGTGGATGGCTGACATGATAGCCACCAGTTCCAGGAAGAAGATGTCGACCTTGCGATCGGGGGGGCATTCCTTCATCCCATACATGAAGCCTTGATTTCCGTATACAAAGGACATGCCAATTGTCAGGCTAGCATCGGTCCAGAGCTCCAGATCTGCAGCAGTGTCGTCCCAGATACCATCGTCCAAGAAGCGGACACCAACTGCCTTTGGGATGATGCTGATGAGCCAAGAAAGGTCAGAGATAACTTCGGCGTTGAGGTGTACGGCGCCGAGAGGACGAGATTTTCCACTAGTCTTGTGGTAGAGGGCTGAAAGCGCGGGACGAGCCCATGGTAGAACATTTAGAAGCCAGTTGAGGTGGCCAGCGAGCCGTTGCCATTCACGAAGGATGGGTTTGCGATTGGGTGTGGACAAGAAGACATTGATTTTCTCGACGATGTCGATGAGGGAGCTGGGAGGAAGAGAGAGGGAGCCTTGGTTGGCATCAACCCAGAAGCCAATGATTTTCAAAACACTCCCATGTTCTTGTTTCTTATCCTCAAAAGGGCACTGGATCGCTTCCCAGAATAAGAGAAGTTGAACTTGTTGACGTGGACGGAGCATCCCATGATACATGATTAAGTTGTCTTCGAAGTCCCAGCCAAAGAAGTCGTCCATGTAGACGTGAAGGCTGAAGATGCCCAGCTTTCGAATAGCTAACCAGCACAAAAGCCCAGAGACAGCGCACCAGCAGCGGGGAGATGCACGGTTCCCAAAGACCAGACGACGCACAATGTAGAGCTTACCCTCAACTACAACAACTTGACGGAGTTGCCATAGAGGGTGCGCCGGCAGGTTGAGAAAAGCAGACGCTACGTCTGACTTGAAAGTTATGATGCGACGACCTGGGTTATCAGTGTGGGCATCACGGAGAGACTGGCCAAAGGGGTGCATGTCATCGTAGCGAACTTTGGCCTCAGATCTTGGAATACCATCGTTTATTCCAGAGCCTGAGTGGTCTGTGACAACCCGAGCTTTACCGTTCTGCCAAACGACGAACATAGGGGACATTTTCATCCCTGGCAAGAGTTCGGAGTCTGAGAGCTCGTCAGACCAACGACCGGCAGACCTTTCTTTGTCTCGAAAGTTGCGGATGGCATCAAGATCGCCTTCGTCAGTAGAATAGTTGTCGATGACTTCTTCGAGTTCAACTTTCCATTCTCCGTCGTCAAGAGGCCAGAATCCATCCCGAAGGCCTGTCATGACTGATTTGACGAAAGGTTGGTTTGGATGGTCAGTGAGCATAGACTCGAGTTTATCGACATTGAAAGGTGTGTCAACTTTGATGTGATCCCGCATAGCGAGGAGGGATGCTTGAATCTTTTGGTCTTGCAAAAGGTGAGCAGGAGGTGAAGGGAGAGGAGGTGCAGATTCAGTGTAAAGGGCAGCAGGGGAGAGGTGTTTATTGGTTGAGTTAGACCATACATAACGACGTCGAAAGCGAGGTACATCTATGAGTGGGGTATCAAGCTTTCGTTTCAACCCTGAGTTGATAGTCCTAGGCCCTTCCCTTGCCTTTGCTGCTCTCTGAGTAGCCTCCGCTAGCTCCTTTTCTTTGTCGAGCTTGGAGGAGAGTATTGCAGACGGGCTCGTCTTTTGCTCGGTGTGGGCCTTCACACTCACTGCAAATCCCATGCCTGCGCCCATTCGGGCAAGGGGCGTCGCAAATACCCATGTTCCAATTTCGGCAAGGAATTGTTGAACGCTTTGAGGGAGAGCTTGTCGAAGGTGATGTATTACTGCGCTTCTTGGAAGACGGGCCAGTACTTTGGAACATGCGCGCCAAAAGCGGCACATTAAGTTGAGTCCGGTCGTCCATGCGGAAAGGACTCTTCGCATAGCGATCGCGAGCTTCGACGTCGAAAGCGATGGCAATCGACGGGTCATGAGGTACTGCGCGAAATAGGTCAGTGACCATGCGCTGGTAGCTTTGAAGCTCTGAAGAGCGGTGACGATAGACAAGTACAACGGCAGAGCTCCAAGCTCCAAAGACACGAAGCCATTCGGATTCGGATCGAAGGGGGCGCTTAGCTGAAGCTTGGTCCTTTTTGACGAGTGCATAGCCCCCGCCGAAGTCTCGAGGCTCATCGTTGTGGTCGTACCCTTTGTCCATCGAGGCAAAGAGTTTCTCGAAGTCGACGAAGTGGTCCTGAATGACCAAGCGCCAGATAGAACGGGGAACGGGATCAGCAAGCGGCTGTACCTGCATAAGATTGACAAGGGAATCGATGGTCTTGTCTGTTCCAATTGCCTGCCGCAATTTCCAGGTTTCCTCAATGTGGGGGTCAGAGATTGCAGAGGTCGAGAGCTCAGCCAGATGCGGAGCAAGAGTGAGAACAGTAGCAGGCAAGGACTGGGGGGTTGAACGTTCGACTCCGAGTAGTTTTGCGAGATCGTCAGCTGAGAGAAGGGTCGTAGAGTCGCTGGGGACCTGTGAACTCGCCAGTCGAGAGAGCTTAGCATTGAGGACGGCCCATGCAGCGGTGTCAACCGCTGTGCGACGATCAGCGGCTTCTCGAGCGCGAACCTCTTCCAGGAGCGCATCGCGTCGGGCGCGAAACTCGACCACCTGAGCCTCGTCAAGGCCTTCAGGAGTCGATTCTCGGGCTGCTTGTTCTCCAGACTGAGTGTCCGGCTGTTCGTCAGCCTCTCTGTCCTTCTTTTGCTGCTCCAGTCGTTGGGTAAGTTGTTGCAGGTAGTCTTCGCCCTCGGCTGGAGATGCGCCTGCGTCTTGGAGACGTTTCGCAAAATCTGAGAGGGGCAACCGTCCTTCCACGACGTCGGAAACGATAGCCTCAAGGGCTTGAGCACGTTGCCGAGTTGCTTCAGCGCCAACATCGGTCATTGAAAAGGAGATGCCGGGTGAGGTCGAATAGTGAGGTGTGACTGAAAGAAAGGAGGTTGGATGGCGAGGGAAGCGAGCAGATGGCCAGAGAAAATCTGAAGAGATTCTGCAGGAGGCACGATACGTGAGTATTGAGCTGAGCAGGGTCTTACGAAGCTTCTTACAATCCGAGTCTAGCAGACGAAGTCTGAACCAGAAGGATGTAAGAATGTGCACAAAGCTCAATATGAAGAAAAGGCCTCACCAAATGAAGAGTGATTAGAGTGCGTTTGTAGAAAACGATAGGCGGAGCCTAGATGCGAGGATCACTGTTCATTTGGATGAGTATGCGGTGCATAGAGGGAGAGAGCGCGGGGCGCTTACCTGTGCTGGATAGACGTGGTCTGAGAGAGAGAGAGCCAGCACAGGAGAGGGAAGCGACACCGATTACTTCTCCTAACCCAGCATCTGCCAAACTTTGGCACTGAGTCAGGGATCGATGTCGCGACCATGATTGATGAGCGGGGCTCGAGGGCCGGAATAGGCCTGAGTGTGACATCTCAGGTCCAGTTTCAACACAGCCAAATACAATTCAAAAAAATTCACGCTGCAAAGCATTATGCAAGGCACTGTATGCAAGACACTGTACATATCTCAACCTCCAGAAATTTTGAAAAAATGTCCTCACCGTCGCCATCAGGGTCAGGGTCTTCGCGGTCATCAGCCACGCCGGAGCCTACAATTTCCGTCAAAAAAACCTCAAAGAAGTCAAAAGACAAGGGGAAGCAAAAGTCGTCAACGGGACAAGGGAAGAATGAGGGTGTTGACCAGAACTGGGCATACAAACCACCAGCGGGCGCCGTTCTCATTGAAGAAGATGTAGATGCGGGAGAGTTTGATTGGGACAAGGTGAACAGTGACGATGTCGACTTGTGGCTGATACGTGTCCCGGAGAGTGTAAGTCCCGTCGAAGTCATGACTGGACAGTTTCTCATCCAAACTATCATTACAGGTGAAACCAAAATACCTTGAAAATCTCCAGGTGGAGGTTCCATCATCGTCAAAAAGTACCCGAATCGGCACAGTGAAACGGAAACACGCGACCTTCGATATTTGGTCTATTGGCGGGGACGACGACGACTTGCCCATTGGCGGGGAAGAGATCAAGAGCATTTCATGTCTACTACCGAAAAAAGGTAAAAAAGGGAAACTATACCCCGGTATGTCATCATTATCTTCCTCCACTATCCTTGACAAGATTAAATCCAACGTTCGTCAGCACCCAAACCATTCGCACGTCACCTCGTCATCGCCGCACAAGCCGTTGTACCCTCACCCATCGCCCCTTCAGAATCAGGGCCAGACCCAGAGACAGGGAAATACAAGAGCGTGCCTCGGCAGCGCTATCCTACGGAACTGCTGAAGCATAGGTTTATGCCTTATGGTTCCGTTGGGGGCGTTGACGAATCTGTTGTGGGCCCTGCGAACGCAGGAGACGTGGCTATGGATGTCGATGTCAAAGAAGTTGCGTCGCAGAAGAAGGAGAAAAAGGTGAACGACAAGAAGAAGGATGAAGCAGTGGAAGAGAAGGATACCAGGAAATCACCTGTGGTGGAGACGAAAAAGTCGAAGGGTAAAAAGAGAAAGGGCGAGGCGGAAGTTATAGATACGCCAGCACCCAAAAAATCCAGAAAGGCGAAGACATGATGTGCTTTATCTTTTATAGCCTTGCGATAGGATTCTTGTTCTTTCTTTTGGAATCAAACCAGCTGCTAGACCCCAAAGTAAAAATTAAGAATAAAACGTCAAAACAGAGCAAAGGAAAAAAAAGTAATCAAAGCATGATGCAGTATGTACAGTATAGAAATAAATTACTGCGGGTTGAAAAGCCCTAGTACGACGACGGCGCATGGCAATAGAAGAAAACCCGTTAAGTAGGATAATAGTGAAAGAACGACAGGTGGAAAAGGTCATCCAATATCCATCTCGTCCCCCCTCGCCTTATGTTTCCCACTCCCATTCCCATGGCCGTTAATCCGTATCGCAGCATCGGGAGCAGCAGCAGCAGCAGTCCCAGTTCCACCCTCATTCCCATTCGTCGTCCCCACCGATGATACCATAGAAGCATGCAACAACTTCTCCGTCACCTCCTCTTCAATTCCCTTATAAATACTCTCCTTCGGGAACCCCCATATCCTCCCCGGATTCAACAGCTGCTTCTCCTCGAAAACAGCACCAACGGTGTCCACCCACTGTCTCCGAGTCTCCACGAGCTGCTTCAACTGGTCATTCACCGTCAACCTGTTCTCTTCGTCCGGCATCAACCCTAGCGCTGCCGGACAGGGAGGTACAGGCGGAGGCGCGTCCACGTCGATGACCCCAGCGGCTGCTGCTGCTGCCGCCGCCGCCGCTGCACCCACTAGGGGCTTCTTCTTCTTCTTACTAAGCTTCGGGACGTCCTTCTTCTGCAACTTGGAGAAAAGCGTTGTGATGTTCTTGTCAATGGCGTCCCTCAACTCAAGATATTCCTGATACCCCAGTCGATCCCTCGCAATCGCTGCCAACCGTTCCTTACGCGCCTGATTCGTCGCCACCACCACCCTAAGTTCCTCTTGCGCGTGTCGTAAGGCCGAGGCGATAGGATCGTCAACTTTTTCGGAATAGTCAGGCTGCCAGAAACAGAAACAGAACGAAACACGAGATTTTCAGGCATGTAGAATTGTTGGGACAAGCACACCAGCTTACCACGCCGTCCAGAAGACCATGAAACCGCATCGTGTCGCGGACCCTGGCCTCCAAATCCGTCACATTCAACCGCTCTCTTCTCGCTGCTGCAGCGCCACTACCACCCGGCCGTCCCTCCATAGCATCCTCCGCCGCTTTGACGCCCTTCCACACATCTGGTATTGGGAAGAGAGAGCTGATGACACGGTCTGTCAGTGGCCCATGACCCCGCTCCTCACTAACGAGATCGGCGTCTTGAAGCGTCGACGGATCCCATGTCGATTTGGGTGCAAGAAATGATGAAGCTGGCGCGTCTTTGAACTTGGGCAACCCATTATGAGGCACGTTCGCGTCATGTTCTTCCCACACTTCTGAGTAATGCACGCCGAGCTTGGGCATTACAAACGGCTCGACTTCATCGCCAGTGTACTCTAAGAATCCAACATCTTCTTCCCGAATATTCCGTATCCATGGTTCTATGCTGGAGTAAAAGGTAGTCACAAGTGTTTGGGAGGGTGCTTTGATCTTTGTGAAATCTTCCATGACGTCGGTGGTTTTGCTGGGTCCAGGTATTGGGGGTGGTGGTATTGGCGGTCGGAGTGGTATTAGCTGTTGGGGTGGTGGAAGAGAGAAATCTTGGCCAGCAGTGGCCTGATGAGAGCGAGTATGCATGAAGCAAAGTCTTGGAACGAGTCAGCGAGATAACAGACCTTGGGGTGTGGCTGGGAAGAAGAGGTGGTCGTTTTCTGGGATTTTATAGGTTGAGGATTGGCAGACACCTGCGGGACAGGCGGAGTGGCTTTCCTGGGCCGTTGGGAACCTACTAAAGCGTTAGCAACGCGATAAAGAGGACAATGTGGAAAAGGTACTGTGTTCGTTGTCACTTTCGCCACCCTCTCGTTTCCGTTTCTTTTTCTTCTTTTTCAGATCCTCGGCCGCTCTACAAAACAAAGATTAAGCACTAGTCTATCACGAGGTAAGATGTGCCACTAACGATCGGCGAGGGTCAACAGAAGATCTGGCGGACGAAGGTGGTAAAGTGCTGGTTGGATGGGAGTTGAGGCGGTTATTGGATGGGTGTCCATGCAGGGGTACTGATAACCTCGTATCGTCGGCTTCAGGCATAGGTGTAACTGGAGTCCACATAGATTCCCGAGAACAGTCCGGACCGCCACAGATTCAGTGGCATGGAGCGGTATGATTGAATTTCGTGTGCAAAAGCAACATTTGTCGAACCATGATCGTCCGGTGAGAAATATATGTGATAGGGGCGCATGTAATCAAGTAAAGAGGCGTGAAAAGTGAAGAGTGAGAGGTCGACGCGGTCAGACTTGGAACCATTTCATCCGGAAAAAATACACGTACAGTCGCGTTCGCGTTTAATTTTGTCGACGGCCTTTGCTTTACCTTTTTCCCTCTCCTTCATCCGACGAAAGGAAGCCTCAATGGTTTTGAGATCCTCGCCGGCCTTCTTGGCTCGCTCGAGAGTTTTCTGCTTCATTACCTTGAGTTCCGCGTGGAGGATCTCAAGCTCCTCGGTTGGCGGAACTTGGTCCGGGGTATTCTTCAGCAAAGAAGACTGTAGCTGAGCCATGGGGAAAGTAGACAGTTTCGCAGACATCTCGATGTCGGGTCGACAACTTGAGACCGACAGCTGAAGAGGTTATCAACGTCGCCGAGCTCGTTGAGACGGAGAAAAGTGAGAGTCTAGACGATGGTCGTCGAGATATCGACGACCTATACCGTCGTGATTCAAGGTCGGGAACAAGGTGCGCAATAACAAGATCACGAGCTCGCAATTATCTTATTTTTTATTTATTTATTTTGCACCCTGCACCAATCAATGACTCTATTCATGATACCCTCTGCTTAGGGTGCCCGACGACAAGCATCAGTTTCTTTATGGACCAGGTCTTGATGAGCAGTGAGCACGTCATTATGGTTGTGCCTTATTACGATAGGAATACTCATGAAATACTTTCAGCGTCGACGATCAATGCGAGGAGTTGACCAGCTGGCCGTAACCCAGGTCAACTTCAAGAATAAAATTTGGACTTCAACCTTTTCGTTCATCTTGGAACGAAAGCCAGCGTTGATGGACTTTACGACCACAAGTCACCCGCCGTTTCATGTTACAGGCGTAGCGGGAAGCGAGATCGACCAAAAGGCTTGAAGAGGGATCTCGGCGACAAACTGAACATCGTTAAGATGGGGTATGGATGTTGTATGTTTTTCCCTTTGAACGTTGGAATGTTTACTAATAATTACACTCGACTAGGCGATATGAAGTAGGATATTCATATTCCAAACAATATGTTGATTCGCCAAGGCGGCAGGAAAAAGGAGTATCTTCGCAAGCATTTCTGGGCTTCCTCTCATGAAACCCCTCAATCAGGACGTGGTCCTGTATCACAAAGAAAACGCTTCGTATTCGATACACTTCACCTAAATTTAATTCAGCGGCACTTTCAGCAGTCTTGTGCAGTCAACCGCGTGAGAAGTGCTAGACTGTTGATCAAATGGCCTAAACACAGTGTTCATTGTTAAAACCGATGTCACTTCAAATTCAAGTATTCTCTCACACCATTTTGGGTCGTGGCGACTTCACCACGCAGACCGGTTCCCAGCAAGTTCCCAGCCACACATTTATATCGAAAGCGAATGGACTTTCTGCCAAATCCAAGCTGTGCGTCCGCTCCAAAATTGTAATGGAGCCCCCTGCCCCCCGTCACCAGTGGGATAAGTCCATCGAAACGTGCCGCCTATGTTCCCTCCGAGGACAAGCCAAATGGGAGGCACGCCTGACCATTCCCATACCAGCACTCAGGCCACGGAAAGCTTGTGAACTCTGCCAAGGTAGTTATTCTCTAGTCCTATTTCTTCAACCTGGACATGAAACGCCTAGTACGCGGCAAGAGGAAATGGATCAAGCGGGGAAAGCTTACTGAGGACTATTCTATTTCAAGACCCGTGATGTGTGTCCCGATAAAGCTATAGAGTCTCTCTCTGAAACCGACGGGAGGCTGAGGTCAAGGTAAGTCATGTCCAGTACGAGGGTTGAACGCAACGAAAGAAAGAGGTTTTCGTTGATGATGATGATGTTGACTCGCTACTGTCCCATCCTTGTCCCATGCAAGGTATTGAGTCGGCAATGCGATTTAGTAGACAGGTCCTAGGTAGTTACGTGCCCACCATGCTCATAGTAAGTAAGATAAAGCTTACGCTTCAGCGGTTGGGAACAAGCACTGAAATGGGGCAGACTACCACGAAGTTGGAAATAAAAGGTGTCCGTAGCTAAGCGACGCATTGAAGAGAAAAAAACGGGCAGGTGTAATCGCAAATGTCAACACACATACTAGTGAGGGTTCACGCAAAGCCCAAGCATCCATCCGCAAAGAATACATTGGCAGAATACATTGAAAGGACTCTAAAATTATTAGTTGCATTTTTTGCCAGTGCCAGGACAGCATTTAGCAACGCAACCCCAAGAACCCCTCCCACAGGACTTGTCACTGGTCGCAGCATGATCGTAGTTACAAGTCCGCATGTGAGTAGTGACACACCCTCCCAAGACGGTGTCGGGACATGAATGACAGTATGGCTCAGGAGGACCTAAATCACAATTTTCGCAAACAGCCGTCTCCTGCGAAAGTTAACATCAGGATGGGCACATTAGGCTGTGAAAAGAGGCCATACACTGCGATGAGCAAGCCCATCCAATGGATCACGAGCTTGGAACGACTCGATACGGTCCTGTCATCGATACAGGTCAGTCGCCCATCATGAAAAGAGTGGGACAGGGTAGGGTGAGCGTACTCACATTCCGAATGATTGGGGTGGCATGAGCAACGACGGCGATGAGAGCGATGAAAAACAGAGTCTTCATGATGAATCGGTGAACTCGGTGGATGCTAGTTCGTGAAGTTCGCCATTTGTCCAGAGCGCCTTAAATATGTTTGAATATGTGACTTCTGTGGACCCGTCACTGTATATGATGTCCGAGTCCTCGGGCGGTTTGTTGATGAATTATGGTTCAATGAGTTGGAGAACCGAAATGCATCGAATGGATTGGCATGGAAGACGTCGCCGATCCCTGAATCCCCCCAGCTCATGTGTCAGACTTGCCTTCAGGCTCCCAGTTTGGACTATGATGATGATGAATTTGACACCGATTGTAACGAGTCGAGTAGAAATATCATGACCCGAGCGATAGTGCGCGGTATTTGGCACCTGTGGGTAAGATATGGTTCGGTCAACATTATGTTCGAATGTACTTTTGGACTCGAACACTGTGTTCTACCAGAGATTGAAATCGTTACACGGCATTCATTGGATGTTCCGAGTGGAGGTGGGTGGCGAGTGGCGTAACGACAAAAGTCGGCTTGAAAACAATAGTCTCCATCTCGGACCGACCAGGTTGAACGTGTTCGGGTCCCAGGTCTCTCATCGGCTGCCAGCCAAATTTTGAAGCATGCTAGGCTAAACCCCAAACGAGAGGCACGCCTGACTATTCGCGTACCAGCACATAGGCCACGTAAAGCTGCCAAGGTCCAATTTCTTCAACTTGGGCCTGAAACGCCTATGCAGTACACGATGCAGAGCCTGCGGGAAATGTGAACGATGAAAAGGATCAAACGGGTAGAGCTTACCAAAGGACTCACTGGCAGTCGTTCAAGACGCCTGATGTGCACCGATAAAGCCAATATAGAGGTCTCTCTTCGAAACCGACGGGAGGCTCAGGTCAAGATAAGTCATGTCCAGTACGAGGGTTGAACGCAACGGAACAAAGATGTTTTGGTTGATGATGACATTGACAAAGTCACTGCTGTCCCATTCTTGTCCCATGCAATATGCAATGAGTCAGTAATGCGGTTTGGTAGACAGATCTTGGGTACTAGTAGTTACGTGCCTACCGTTTCCATAGTGAATTTGTAGTTAATAAGAAAATAATATAAAGCTTACGCCTCAGCGGTTGGGAGCAAGCACTGAGGCCTGAGGTGGGGCAGACTAAGTACCACGAAGTCGGGAAAAGGTGTCCGGAGCTAATTAAGCTTATAAGCGACGCGCTGAAGAAATAAATACACACACACTTAGACTACTTAGTGAGGGTTCACGCAAAGCTCACGCATTTTTTTTCTGTGACCATCCGCAAACAATACATTGGCAGAATACATTGGAAGGACTCTAAAATTACTAGTTGCACTTTTTGCCAGTGCCAGGACAGCATTTAGCAACGCAACCCCAAGAACCCGCTCCACAGGAATTGTCACTGGTCTCAGCACCATCATAGTTACAAGTTTGCGTATGAGTATTGACACACCCTCCGAACCAGGTGCTGGGACATGGACGGCAGTATGGCTTGGGAGAACCTAAATCACAATTTTCGCAAAAAGCCGTCTCCTGCGAACTTCAACATCAGGATGGGCACATTAGGCTGTGAACAGAGGCCATACCCTGCGATGAGCAAGCCCATCTAATGAATCACTAGCTTGAAATGACTCGATACGGTCCTGTCATCGATACAAGTCAGTCGTCCATCATGAAATAGTGGGACAGGATAGGGTGAGCGCACTCACATTCCGAATGGTTGGGGTAGCATGAGCAACGACGGCGATGAGGGCGATGAAAAACAAAGTCTTCATGATGAATCGATGGACTGGATGGATGCTAGTTCGTGAAGTTCGCCATTTGTCCAGAGCGCCTTAAATATGTTTGAATATGTGACATCTGTGGACCCGTCACTGTATGTGATGTCCGAGTCCTCGGGCGGTTTGTTGACGATTTATGGTTTAATGAGTTGGAGAACCGAAATGCAATGTTTAATGGAAGACAATATCGAATGAATTGGCATGGAAGACGTCGCCGATCCCTGAATTCCCCCTGCTCATGTGTCAGACTTGCCTTCAGGCTCCAAGTTTGGACTGATGAAGATGAATTTGAAACCGATTGTGACGAGTCGAGTAGAAATATCATGACCCGAGCGATAGTGCGCGGTGTTTGAAACCGGCGGGTAGGATATGGTTCAAACAAACATATGTCCGAATGCACTTTTCGACTCACTCTGAGCCTGAAGGTCTCTTCGTCAATCGCAAACATTGTGTTCTGCCAGACATTGAAACCTTTACGCGGCATTCATTGGATGAACCGAGTGGAGGTGGGTGGCGAGTGGCGTAAGGATAAATGTCGGCCTGAAAACAGTGGTATCCGTTTCCGACCTGCGAGGTTGAACGTGTTCGGGTCCCAGGTCTTGTCGTCGGCTGCCGGCCAAATTTTGAAGCTGACGCTAAGCTAAGCCCTGAACGAGAGGCACGCCTGGCACTCAGGCCACGTAAAGCTGCCAAGGTAGTTATGTATTCTCTGGTCCAATTTCTTCAACCTGGACATTAAACGCCTAGTACGTGATGCACAGGCTGCCAGAAAAGAAATAAACGGGGAGATGTTACTGAAGGACTGTTCAAGACGCGTGATGTGTGCCCCGATAAAGCTATAGAGTCTCTCTTCGAAACCGACGGGAGGCTAAGCTAGGTCAAGGTAGTAAGTCATGTCCAGTACGATGGTTGAACGCAATGAAAGAAAGAGGTTTTGGTTGATGATGACGTTGACTCACTGTTGTCCCACCCTTGTCCCATGCAATATGCGTGACGACGCGTTGGAGGGAAAATAAGCAGCGCAAAAATTCCAACACACATGGTTCCATGCCACGGCCCAAAGCTAACGCATTTTTTCCTGTGACCATCCGCAAAGGGTACATTGGCAGACTACATTGGAAGGAGATATGTGTCCCGATAAAGCTATAGAGGTCTCTCTTCGAAATCGACGGGAGGCTCAGGTCAAGGTAAGTCATGTCCAGTATGAGGGAGCTCCCAACCTCAACCTCTCCCCGGACGCATCACGTGACTTGTTGTATCTTATCTAACCATCAAAGTAACACTTACATGTCATTTTGACGAAGTTTCTACACCTCAGTAATGATGAATCTTGTGTATAGATGAATGGAGTGAGTTAGGGTAAGATTACCTTGCTTGTCAAGGTCTATTTCCACGGTCATAATTATGTAAGCCGTCGTACTGTCCCCCAAGGTCATATATCACTTTTATTTCAGCCGAAGCGTTAGAGACCGCTCTAGACTGGCTGCCAAACCCAACCAAGCAAATCCGACGTACTGGCCCCCAAGGTCATATATCACTTTTTATTTCAGCCGAAGCGTTAGAGACCGCTCTAGACCGCCGCCAAACCCAACAGCGAAAATTCGTCATCCCCAGTTCAGAGATTTCCAGGAGATTTCTTACTCAATCTACTGTCTTCAACTTATACAATTCTACTTACTAGTAACAATACTGACCAAAAGATGTTAGATTCCCACTACATAAGTAGTGGGTCACACTTTTTGTAATTTCATGGCTGCAAGGAGTGAACCGCGCAAGCGGTTCGGCGACGAGCAGCCAATTGCAATAAAAGGTCACAAACTTACTCTCATTTTTAATCACCATAGCTGGCTTCAAAGTGCCCACAGGGGTGCTACAGTGATTATCATTTTTTATTCTGCATGAAATACAAGCAAGGTTTTTGTTGACATTGGAACAATGTCAAACTCTAGTATGTAGGGTTATGCATAATCGATCGTAGTTTAGTTCCAGTGTTTGTTTTATTTGATCTTGTTTGACCTCGGCGCTGTGCACGTGCTTAACAAAATATCACACAAGTACGAAGTCGGCGACGCTTGCTGGCTAGCTTGGATATATATAAAATCTATGCTCACAGCCGAGACACGAAGATGTGAACTCTACTCCTCCTTTCCGCTTCCGACTATTGCGGGACTTTTCACAGGTTTTGTTTGAGTTAACCCAGGGGGAAGGATTTAAATTGTGAACACTGCTTCTCGGAAGGTGTAGACATCTTTTTTTTTCATTACTAGGTAACAGTATGAGCTGTGTGCAGTGTACACGCTGTGTTTTATGTAGTTCCAACTTCAAATTGCACTTACTATACTTATACTTGGTAGTGGTACATGTGACCGTTTCTTACACGTGTTACATCATGTGACGTGTCCGGGGTGGGGTTGAGGTTGGGGAGCTGTATGAGGGTTGAACGTTGAACGCAGGGTGGGAGGCCCCTGGTTGAACGCAACGAAAGAAAGACGTTTTGGTTGAGACAAAGTCACTGCAATTGTCCCATGTCGCGATCGGTGATAAATAAAGTACACCTCAGGCCTCAGTGGTTGAGAACAAGCACTGAGGTGGGGCAGACTACGAAGTTCGGAATTTGTTCGGAATAAAAGGTATCTGTAGCTAAACGACCCGTTGGAGGGAAAATAAACAGCGCAGGTGTAATCGCAAATTCCAACACACATACTCCACGCAAAGCTAACGTATTTTTTCCTGTGACCATCCAAAGGATACATTGGCAGAATACATATAGGAAGGACTATAAAACTAGTTGCACTTTTTGGGACAGCATTTATCAACGCAACCCCAAGAACCCGTTCCACAGGATTTGTCACTGGTCAGAGCACCAGCATAGTCACAAGTCTGCCCATGAGTATTGATACACCCTCCAAAAAGGGTGTCGAGACACTTTAAACAGTATGGCGTAGCAGGGCCTGAATCACAATCAGCGCAATTAGCCACCCCCTGCGAAATTCAACATCAGGAAGGACACATTAGGCTGTGAACAGAGACCATACCCTGCGATGAGCAAGCCCATCCGATGGATCACTAGCTTGGAATGAGTCGATACGGTCCTGCCATTGAGGTCAGTCGCCCATCATGATAATAGTGGCACAAAGAGTGAGTGTACTCACACTCCGAATGGTTGCAGTAGCATGAACAATGACGGCTGTGAGAGCAATGAAAAACAAGTTCTTCATGATGAAGCGGTGAACTGGATGGATGCTAGTTCGTGAAGCTTTCCATTCGTCCAGGGGGCCTTAAATACGGATGAATATGTGACTTCTGCCATGGACCCGTCACTGAGTTTGTATGTGGTGACCGAGTCCTTGGGCGGTTTGTTGATGAGATTCACATCGCACCACAACCATAAATGAGTTGGAGAACTGATATGCAAATTGGCGTGGAAGGCGAGCCCTCCAAGGAATCCCAGCTCATCTGTCAAACTTGCTCCTCAGGCTACAAGTTTAAACGATGACTTTGGCAGCGATCATGATGAGGCGAGTAGAGGTCTTCTTAGCAATACTCATGGCCTGAGCTGTAGTGCACGGCATTTGGAACCTGGGTAGATATGGTTTGAACAAACATATGTTGGAATGTGCAAGTTTTCGACTTACTCTGAGGTCTCTTCGTCAATTGCAGACACTGCGTTCTGACAGACATGAAAATCGTTACGCGGCATTGATTGAATGATCACTGAGTGGAGGTGGTCACCTTGCGAGGCTTGGCATAAGGACAAAGCATCAGGAAAACTCACTTCCAGTCTCGTTCAATCGGACCCTTTGATTGATCTTTGAAGGCTTGTAAACCCAATGGAACACAAGGGGCTGTTCGGGTCCCCGGTCCTCTCGTCGCTTTCAGCCAAATTGAAGCCGATTTTCGCGGTGAGGCCGTTTGCGACATTTTGTGCTAAGCTGAACCAGAGGCAAGTCTTGTTTGGTCCACAAACATGCTCTTCTCTTCCATTCCATTTCACTAATTCAGTGTGCCATGCACTTAGTAAGTACGAAAGGAGACAAGCAGCCTGAGGACATACATATAATCAAGGCACTTTGGACAAGTGGCAAACTTCACGAACCCAGTTTACCGGTTCATCATGAACCAGTCATGAAGACTTTGTTGCTATCTCTCTCATAGCCGTCATTGTTCATGCCACTCCGACCATTCGGATTGTAAGTACGCTCACCCCTATGTGCCATTATTATCTGATGGATGAGCCCAGAGAGAGAAGGCAAGTCACTTACGCCGAGCTTTTATGCGAAGTCTGCAGCATCGCCAATGTTCACAAATCGTGCAGTCTCAAGAAAGGCGATACTGCCTTCCTATGATGTGGCGGGCAGTCGCAGTCTTCCTCGCCTGCGCGCGTATCGGCGCCGTTCTCTCGGTTGTATCTGCCAGCTTCTCTTTAGGATTGTCACGCTGAACGTTCGGGGAGCTCATCATACCCTGGTGTCCATGGTGCCAAAATGACTTCAGATACGGTGCTGTCAACGCTTGATGGAATTTAGCTCCACTACACCACGCAGCAACTGCGAGCACGTCCTCGTTTTTGCAGATGTTGGAGCGTATTGAGCTTAGGTGCAACGCAAGAAATGGAAGAAGCACGACGACGATGCGGATACGACGCTAGATGAGCTCACTCTGTTGGTGCAGAGAGGAAAGCGAGATGGGCCAAAAAGCTTGAAGACGGATCTGGGCGATAAACGTGAGCGCTTGAGCATCGAGGTGCGGACGCTGTATATTTTATCTTTGAGAGTTGAAATGTTTACTTACAATTTCACTTGACTACACGACATGAAGTAGGATATCTTAACGATATATTGATTGGCTCAGGCTGCAGGAGAAAGGAGTATTTTTGCAAGCCTTTCTGGGCTTCCTATGATGAAGCCCCTCAATCAGGACATAGTCATGTATCACGAAGAAAACACCTCGTATTCACCTAAATCTAATTCAGCGGCACTTTCGACATTCTTCTGCAGTCAACCGAGTAAGAAGTGCTAGACTGTTAATTAAATGGCCCTCAGAACACGGAGTTCATTTTTCAAACAGACGCTGCTTCAAATTCAAGTGGCATTCACACCATTTTGAGCGGCAGCCGTGGCGACTTCATCACGCAGGCCGGTACCAAGCTACATATTCAAATTGAAGCCGAATGGACCTTTTAACAGATTCAAGCTGCCGTGCGCCCGCTCCAAAATCGTAATGGAGCCCTCTGCCCGCAAGGCAACAAGGTCTTCGTGCTCACCCGTCCGTCATCAGAGGGGTATTAAGTCCGCCGGATATGTTCCTCCGAGGACAAGCTGAACGAGAGGCACGCCTGACCATTCGCATACCAGCACTCAGGCCACGGAAAGCTTCTGAACTTTGCTAAGGTGGTTATACTCTAGTCCAATTTCTTCAACCTGGACATGAAACCCCTAGTATGCGATGGAGTGCTTGCCGGAAATGGGAACGATGCACTAGATGCCACAAAGTCAAGAAGAGGAAAAGGTTTAAACGGGGGGAGCTTACTGATGGACCGTTCAAGACGTCTGATGTGTGCCCGGTAAAGCTATAGAGGTCTCGCTTCGAAACCGACGTGAGGCTAAGGTCAAGATAAGTCATGTCCAGTACGAGGTTGAACGCAACGGAAGAAAGATGCTTTGGTTGATGATGACGTTGGAGTCACTGCTCAGGTCCCATCCTTGTCCCATGCAATATGCAATGAGTCGCGATCGATGATAAATAAAGCTTACACCTCAGGCCTCAGTGGTTGTGGGGCAGACTACAAAGTTCGGAATACAAGGTATCTGTAGCTAAACGACCCATTGGAGGAAAAATAAACAGTGCAGGTGTAATCGCAAATTCCAATACTCATACTCAACACACAACTGCTGAAGGTTCCATGCCACGCAAAGCTAACGCACTTTTTCCTGTGACCATCCGCAAAGGATACATTGGCAGAATACATTGGAAGGACTCTAAAATCACTGGTTGCACTGTCCGGGACAGCATCCAATAACGCAACCCCAATAGCCCATTTTACAGGGAATGTCACTGGTCAGAGCACCATCCTTGTCACAAGTCTCCGTATGAGTATTGAGACACCCTCCAAGAAAGGTGTCGCGACATTGACGACAGTATGGCTTAGGAGGACCGTCTGTATTACAATTTATGCAGGAAGTTGCCTCCTGCGAAACTCAACATCAGAAAGGACACATTGTGCCATGAAAAGAGGACAAACCCTCCGATGAGCACGCCCATCCAATGAATCGCTACCTTGGAATAACTCCATACGATCCTGCCATTGATACAGGTCAGTCGCCCATCATGATAATAGCACATAGAGTGAGCGTACTCACATTCCGAATGCTTGGAGTAGCATGAACAACGACGGCGATGAGAGCAATGAAAAACAAAGTCTTCATGATGAAGCAGTGAACTGGATGGATGCTAGTTCGTGAAGTTTTCCATCTGTCCAGAGGCCCTTAAATACGGATGAATATGTGACTCTGTGGACCTGTCATTGAATGTGATGTCGGAGTCCTCGGGCGGTTTGTTGATGAGATTCACGACGCACCACAACCATCAGGCGATTGCGGTGGAAGACGTCGCCGAGCCTTTGAAGCCATTGAATCCCCCCAGCTCATGTGCCAAGCTTGCTCCTCAGGCTCCAAGTGTAAACGATGACTTTGGCAGTGATCATGACAAGGCGAGTAGAGGCCTTCTTAGCAGTAGTCATGGCCCGAGCTATAGTGCGCGGTCACATTTGGAACATGTGGGTAGGATGAGGTTCAAACAGACACATGTCCGAATGTCAAATTTTCGACTTACTCTGAGGTCTCTTCGTCGGTGGCAAACACTGCTTTCTGCAAGACATTGAAATCATTATGCGGTATCCATTGAATGATCACTGAGTGGAGGTGGTCACCTTGCGATCGAGGCCTGGCATGAGGACAAAGCATCAGGAAAACTCACTTCTAGTCTCGTTCAATCGGACTTAGGTTGAAGCTAGTGAAGCTTTGATTCAGCTTTGAAATTTGAAGGGTTGTAAACTCAATGGAACACAAGGGCCTGTTCCGATTCGGGTCCTCGATCCTCTCGTCGCTTCCAGCCAAATTGAAGGCGATTTTCGCGGTGAGGCCGTTTGCGACATATTGTTGTGAGGCAAGTCTTGTTTGGTTTACAAACATGCTCTTCTCTTCCATCCATTTCACCAATTCAGTGTGCCATGCACTTAGTACGAAAGGAGACAAGCAGCCTGGGGGCATACATATATTCAAGGCGCTTTGGACAAGTGGCGAATTTCACGAACCCAGTTTACCGGTTCATCATGAACCAGTCACAAACACTTTGTTGCTATCTCTCTCATAGCCGTCGTTGTTCATGCCACTCCAACCATTCGGAATGTAAGTACGCTCACCCCTATGTGCCACTCTTATCATGATGGGCGACTGACCTGATGAGTCCAGACAGAGAAGGCAAGACACTTATGCCGAGCTTCTCCGCGAAGTCTGCAGCATTGTCAATGCTTTTGAATCGTGCGCCTTTCTATGATGTGGCAGGCAGTCGCAGTCTTCCTCGCCTGCGCGCGTATTGGAGCCGTCCACTCGGTTGCATTTGCCAGCTTCTTTTTCGAGTCTTTGCGCCATCGCGTCCAAGATCAGAGCTCTCGTGTTAGCTCGTGTTGTTATCACTTCAGACAGGGGCATGAGGCCTTGAGGGGCGGCAAATCAATCACAATTGTGGCGACTGTTGATGCTGCTATGAAGGAATGCCCCCTTGCTGAGCATGTGCTCGTTTGAAAAGGACGGGCGGTCAGATCGGTAAGACGGAAGGACGCGATAAGAGTTACCGCAGTGGTGCCAAACTACTGCTCACTGAGATCATGGCGCATCTGAGGACCTTTTGTTCATTCTCTATGTGAGTTTTTTTTTTTTTTTTTTTGCTTCATTCCAAGCCCGCTTATAGTTTCCAGCTGTTAGACGTCTGGATCTACCGGCAAACCAAAAGGCGTCGTTCACGCCTCAGGAGGACCTTTTTTGCGTAGCCCTCACTGTCAGATACGTTTTTGATGTCCACCCCGATGACAAAGTCCGGGTGCATGGCTTGGATCACTGCTCACTCGTACGTTAAATTTCCTCAATCACTCGCAATTCTCACGTGATACACAGATATTTTGTGTACGACCCTCTCTCTCGCCAATGGAGTCACTACCACGGTGTTTGAATCCACCCCCGTATACCCCACACGATCCCGCATTTGGCAGACGGTTGAAAAGCACTCAATTTTACTCTGCCCGTACCGCCATCTGTCTTCTGCGACTCCTTGGCGCTCACCACGCCAATGACCATTATCTCAGCACCTTGCGCGTCCTTGGCAGCGAGGGCAAGCTCATCAACCCAGGCCTGGAATTGGTACAACCAACACGTCGGTACGAGCCAGTGCGCGGTTGTGGATACTTTCTCGTGAGTTGTGCATATTCAGTGATGTCCACTGATGGTGAACGCTCACAGGCAAACAGAGGCTGGGTTGGTCGTCGTCACACCGTTCCCTCGTGCTGTCGAGATAAAGCCCGGCTCCGCGACCGTCCTTTTCTTGAGCTTGCCATTCTTCATCCCGCTACGGGCAAAGAATTGGAAAACAATAACGTCGAAGGTGTTTTTGTCCTCAAGCCGCGGTGGCCGTCTATCGCTCGCACTGTCTACAAGATCATACATGCTACCTCGACACCTACATGAACGTATATTGATATTATTTCACGCTAACTTTGTCAAAGCCATACATCTTTTATACTGGGGACGGAGCGGCGCGCGATGACGATAGATCTGGATCGAGGGCCGTGTTTACGGTTAGTTATCCCCTAACCCACTGCTTACCAGCACTGATACTTACCTTTCAAAGACGTTATCAATGTTTCCGGTCATCGCTTGTCTACTGCCGAGCCCGAGTCGGCGCTTATCATGCACGAGGTGTTGGTGAGACTGCTGGTAGGTTTCAAGTTACACTTCCATTCCTGATGCTCAGCATCCCATCCCATGGTCATCAGAACCGTTGACGAATTGTCTGGACAAGCCGTCTATGCCTTCGTTACGTTGAAACCGTGATTATCAAGCTCCATGCCAGACGAGTATTCACCAGCCGACAGCGCATTCGCATGCAATCCCAACAACGGATCCGGCTTCATCAAGCAGCTCGTGCTGCAAGTGCGGAAGGTCATTGGACCGTTCGCGGCTCCAAAGAAGGCTTACATCAATCTTGATGCACGGGATCAAAGCGGAGGCGAAGAGAAGAGTGTCATTTACAAAGTTTTGCCTGTCAGACCGACACAGGCTTTGTCATGGACATATTGAAGCACGGTGTCAAAGCGGGGGCGAAGGGAAGAGAGCATGTTTGCGGACCAAACACCAACGGTTTGGCTGTAAGAGCGGCCAATTCGAGCGTTTGACATTGGAAATGGGAACGAAACTTCCCTTCAACCTGTTGTCACTGGGTCCCAAACGGAGACTCGAAGTGAGTTTTCCCGATGTTTATCCTTACGCCAGGCCTCACCAGGTACCCACCTCCACTCAGTGTACATTCAACGAATACCGCGTATTGATTTCAATGTCTGACAGAACGCCGTGTTTGCCATTGACGAAGAGACCTCCAGGCTCATATTAAGGCGAAAAGTACATTGTGCCGTAGGTCTGTTCGATCCCTTAACCATTTCAGCTCAGGGACCAACTCATTCTCAGGATTGACACGCTGAACGTTCGGGGAGCTCATCATACCGTGGTGTCCAAAACTCATGGTGCCAAAACGACGCCGGATACAGTGCTGTCACAACGCCGTGACGCTGTCCGTATGTACGCGACACATCACGCAAACCTCATCCATCTGCAAAGGATACATTTGCAAAATACATTGGAAGGATTCTGTGATTAATCTTTGCAGCATTCTTGAATGCAACCCCAATGACCTGTTCCACAGGAAATGGCGTTACTGGGCACAGCACCATCATAAGCACAAGTGACCGAGTGAGTATTCCAACACTCTCCAAAAGCGCCCCTTTTGGGACATTCACGGCAGTATGGCTTAAGGTCTGAATCACAAAAAACGCAGGAAACAGTTATCTCATATCAAATTCAACATGAGGAGGGATGCATTAGGCTGCGGACGAGGACAAACTTTCTGATGAACACAATTATTATCCAATGAATCACTATTAACTTGGAATGACTCCATACGGTCCTGTCATTGATACAAGGTCAGTCGCCCACCATGATAATATTGGCACATAGGGTGAGCGTACTCACACTCCGGATGGTTGGAGTAGCACAAACAATGACGACTATGAGAGGCATGAAAAACAAGGTCTTCATGATGAATAGATGAACTGGATGGATGCTAGTTCGTGATGTTTGCCATTTCTCCAGAGCACATTATATATGCATGTCTGGAACCTTCATTCAGTGTCAGATTCATCTTCGTCATCGCCCAAACATACCACCGATCGCGACGAGGGGAGTAGAGGTCTTCTTAGTAGTACTCATAGTCCGCGCTATGGAGCGCGCTATTTGGAACCTGTGGGTAGGATATGGCCCCAGATGAAAAGTATCGTGATTGAGGTACGTGTCATAAATGCTCAGTAGGACTGGACCATTTATTTCGCTCTAGAATTCCCCGACGCCTTATGTAAATGGCGACCATCAGCCTCTCATTTACAGGAAAACTGTTGGACCAGGTCTCAGTGCGCACATTCCATCTGTGAACTTCATATGAAAAATACTTACGACACCGCAGCGCTGGCGAGCAATGCACGAAGTCGACCAACTCATAGTGATCACACCTGTTGTTTCAAAACTAAAAGGAAATCTCAAGATGGACCTATCCGCCCGCCTTGGCATAGGCGAAATCGACGACCCGTCCGTCCGTCGTTCGATGATCATCGGCAATCTCTCGCTATTGCAGGTCCAATCTATGTCTGTGTCCTTCATTGCATCATGCACAGGCTCTCAGTATTGGGAGACTCGTACCGCAAAACACTCCCATGCCCATCAAGGGCTTTCTTGCGATAAAAAACTCAACGGCGACGGTTCGAGATATCTACGACTATACCACCATGAATTTCACACATATCATTACTCTACCTTCCCAGAAGCAATACGGAAACCTAGATTTACGAGATCATTTCATTTCTCTCGTCTTTGACAGGGACTGACTGAACATTCAGACTAATCATGGTCGCTTCCGCCGCCTGTTCAGCGCTATGATTATTAGTAGCAGGACGGACATCGTATTGGACATGTTCGTGTTCCGGTACGAAGCCTTTGCGGTTTTCGCCGTCATCATCAGTGGTACCTAATTTCTCTTTTCCCTTTTACTTCAAAACTAAACCGTAACCCTACAACAGGAATACGATTTGGTCTGGAGGCTCTTCACGTCCCTCCATGCAGCTGTCGTTGCGCTCTCCCATCCTTCTGTGTCAGGAAAGATCACGAGCCGAGTCCGGGATTGGTGTTGCTCACGCTGTTGCTAACCACGCTACCTGTGGAGATCGTACAATCTTGGTATCATGTGGTAATTCCCAATAAACCGCGACCGAACAGAAGACTTACAATGGCCCTCCTTAGGAGTCTATCGCATCAATTCAGTCTCGACAGAAATTGACAGAATAAATTATCAATTTCAGAACTGTATTGAGTGGCAGGCGCCGTGAATGATGAACGACAGATGACATATGACATTCACTTATAGCATTTCGAGCTTCGTATCTGACGTGCGGGTCGATGGCAACATGTCTTTTTCAAATTTTGCATGTTAGTATTGAAATTTGAAGCACAGCGGAGGCGAAGGAAAAAGAGCATGCAGGACCCTGAAAGGCCCTCAACCTGCTGACACTGGGTCCGAAACGGAGAGCCGAAGTGAGTTTTCCTGGTGTTTGTCCTTACGCTAGGCCTCACTGCCCACATCCACTCAGTGATCAAACAATGAAGACCGCGCAATGAATTCAATGTCTGGCAGAATGCAATGTTCGTCGTTGACGAAGAGATCCCCAGGCACAAAGCAAGTTGAAAAGTACTTTCGGATAGATGCTTGTTTGAACCATCACTAATTAGGGCCTATTAGGGTCCGAGTCTTCTCGTCGGTCTCTTGCCAAAATGATGCGATTTTACAGGTGACCGACGCTAAGCTATGCCTAAGCTGGGGACCCGAACTGGCCAAGTTATCCAATTCATTTCGGCAAAATTCATTGTGCCATACACTCGTTACGAAAGCAGACAAACGGCCTGACGACATACATATTGAAGGCACTCTGGACGAATGGCAAACTTCACGAACTAGCATCCATCCAGTTCACCAGTTCATCATGAAGACTTTGTTGCTATCTTTCATTGCTCTCGTAGCCGTCGTTGTTCACGCGACTCCAACCATTAATGTGAGCACGCTCATCCTATGTGCCACTATTGTCATGATGGGCAAGACCTGTATCAATGGCAGAATCGTATGGAGTCATCCCAAGCTATTGATTCATTGGATGGGCATGCTCACCGGAGGGTTTGTCCTCTGTTCACAGCCTAACGTATCCATTCTGATGTCAGGAGATAACGGTTTCTTGCGTTCAGTGTAATGGAGCTCCTAAGCCATACTCCGTGAATGTCCCGACAGGGGCTTTTTTAAAGAGTGCTGGAATACTCAGGAGCGGACTTGTGCTTTTGGCAATGCTGTGCCCAGTGACGGCGTTTCGTGTGGAAAAGGTTACTGGGGTTGCGTTCGAGATAACTGCTGCAAAGATTGATTTTAGAATCCTTCCAATATATTTCGCCAATGTATCCAAAATCATAATGGATCTATCCTTTCCGAATGACCAGGAAAAAATGAGCGAGCTTTGCGTGGCTTGTGTTGAGTTTGTTCCTCATTGGGACCGCCCCCGGAATATATCATCTACTATATCTGTCTATGTGTCCTGCGCTCTATTTGTTGACGACGTTGGCAAAGGCTAGTTTGGTAGTCCTTGGGTAGTCCTGTCACCAGTGGGTCACTGGGTGCAATGTGGGTACGAGTCATGTGCCCATCTTCATGTACTTGGTCATTTTCCCTTCACGTCACGACCATGAACACAAACTCTCCGGGACATGCATCACTGGAAGACGACATCGAATGGATTGGCATGGAAGACGTCGCCGAGCCCTCCGACAATCCCTTGAATCCACCTTCAACCCATGTGTCCGACTTGCCTCCTCAGGTTTTGGACGAAGATGAAGATTAATTGACATAGATCGCGACGAGGGGAGTACTAGAGGTCTTCTTAGCAGTAATCATGGCCCGAGCTACAGTGCGCGGTATTTGGAACCTGTGGGTAGGATATGGCCGCAGGTGAAGAGTATAGTTATTGAGGTACGTGTCATCGTTGCTCACTACCGGGACAGGACCATTAATTTCGCTTTTTTTAGAGTGCCCCGACGCTGTTAATGACGACCATCAGCCTCTTGTTTACAGGAAAACTATTGGACCAGGTCTCGGTGCGCACATTGCGATCTCTTAAGCATAGGAAAAATACTAACGAAACCCTAAGCGGTGGCGAGCAATGCGCGAAGTCGACCAACTCATAATGATCATACCCGTCGTTCTAAATTTAAAAGGAAACCTCGAGATGAACCTATCCGCGCGCCTCGGCACAGCAGCCAACATCGGCGAACTCGACGACCCTTTGGTCCGTCGTTCCATGATCGTCGGCAACCTCTCGCTGTTGCAGGTCCAAGCTATATCCGTATCCTTCATTGCATCATGCACGGCTCTCGTTCTTGGGAGATTCGTACCGCAAAATAGTCCCATGCCTGTTAAGGGCTCTCCTGCGATTAAAAACTCGACGGCGACGGCTCGAGATATCCACAACTATACCACCATAGATTTTAGACATGCCATTACTTTACCTTCCACGGGAACAATACGGAAATCTGGATTTCCAAGGTCTTATTCTTAATTTCATTTCTCTCCATGTATTGACTGAACACGCAGACTAATTATGGTTGCTTCCACCGCTATGTTCGGTGCCTGCCTCTCAGGCCTCATCCTCGGGTCATTCATGTGCACCCTTATCGTCCTCTGCCGGAAATTCCACCGCGATCCAGGTGAATCTATCCATCCCTCCTCTGTACTCTAACTAAAAAAAAAAAACACTCCCAAGATAACATCGCACCACCTGTCGCCTCCTGCCTAGGCGATATAATAATCCTCATCCTCACCGGCGTACAATCCAACCTCCTCGTTCTCCTCTTACGCACCCCCATCCACTTCATCCTCGGCCTATTCGTCGTCGGTGGCGTGCTTTGTGTTCACACTGCGGAACACACACGTCCGGCCTCTCCTAACACAGGGATACACATCCCTATGATTGCACGCTGGGACGGGCATCGTATTACTGGACATGTTCGTGAGCCGCTCGAAGGTTTTGCCAGTCTCAAAGTAGACCCTAACCCTAGAACAGGATTACTGCATCCATATTCATCTCGAGGCTTTCTTCGTCCCTCCACGCAACTGCCGTTGCGCTCTCCCATCCTTCTGCGTCAGCGAAGGTGAGGAAATATCACGGGCCCAGTCCGGGGTTGGTGATGCTCCCGCTCAACTCACGCTGTTTTTCATCACGCTGCCGTAGAAATCATATTCCTTGGCGTACTTGACGGACTTGAGAGGCTTAATTTACCGATTTTGTTCGCGGCCTTTGCCATTGTGTCTTATTGTTGTGCTGTGCGTTTTTCTTCTTCGCCCTTTCAGCGTTCCTCCACTCATTCAGAACAGGTCCTAGTTTCTTGGCCCGTTGTCGATCAATTATGTTGATATGAAGTTGCGGGAAAGTCAAGATGAAGCCCTGATGCCTCAGGAGTCAGGTGTCAGTGTTCATTTAGTGTATGAAGGCGAGAAGGATAGTACAATGAGCATGGGCGGTCGATATCATATGGTAATCCCTAGAAAACCGTGACCGAACAGAAGACTTACAATGACTCCATTTAGGAATCTATCGTTTGTTGTCACAACAGTTCACAGATTCGACGGGAATTAACAGACCAAGACTACTATAATACATTATCAATCTCCATCAAAACTATATCGAGCGAGAATGGCAAACGCTATGAACGACAGCCTGCTCTAATATCTAGCTTAGGCTTATCTTAGCGTCGGCTTCACCGCAAAAAATTGAATTGCTTCAAACTTTTGGCTGGAGGCCAACGAGAAGACCGGGGGCCCGAACAGGCCCTCAACCTGTTGTCGCTGTGTCCGAAACGGAGACTCGACCTGATGTTTGTCCTTACGCCAGGCCTGGCCAGGTACCTCCACTCAGTGATCATCCAATGAATACCGCGTAACGATTTCAATGTCTGGTAGAACGTAATGTTTGCCATTGACATGGAGAACTCCAGGCTCAAAGTAAGTTGAGAAGTACTTTCAGACATATGTTCGTTCGAACCCTTACTGATAAGGGCCTGTTCCAAGCCTATTCAGGTCGCGTTAGGTCGTCTTCTCGTTGGCCTCCAGCCAAAAGGATGCGATTTTGAAGCCGTCGGCTAGCTTGATGAGCTTAGCTTCGGCTTCAAATCGTTCGATTTTGGCGGTGAAGCCTACCCCAAGCTAAGCCTAAGCCGGGGACCCGAACAGGCCAAGTCAACCATTTGATTCCACCAAAATTCATTGTGCCATGCACTTGATACGAAAGGAGACAAACGCCCTGAGGACATCATACATATTTAAGGTGCTCTGGACAAATGGCAAACTTCACGAACTAGCATCTGTCCAGTTCACTACTTCATCATGAAGACTTTGTTGCTATCTTTCATTGCTCTCATAGCCGTCGTTGCTCATGCCACTCCAACCATTAATGTGAGTACCCTCACCCTATGTGCCACTATTATCATGATGGGCGACTGACCTGTATCGATGGCAGAACCGTACGGAGTCATTGCAAGCTGGTGATTCATTGGATGGGCGTGCTCAACCAAGGGTTTGTCCTCCGTTCACAGCCTATTAATGTATCCTTCCTGATGTTGTATTTCGCAGGAGATGACTGTTTCTTGCGCTCAATGTTCTCCAAATCCACGGTGCTATCTATGTCTCGATAGGGGCAACGGGGGAGAGTGCTGGAGGACTCAAAAGAGTACTTGTGCTTCTTATGGGGTTGTGCCCATTCGCGACACCTGTGGAAAAGGTTACTGGCGTTGCGAGTTTGACTGCAGTAGCTATTGCCCACAGTAATTTCAGAATCCTTCCAATGTCTTATGCCAATGTATCCTTTGCGGATGGTCACAGGAAAAAATGTGTGAGCTTTGTAGACTCGGACCAGTCCCTCGACCTATTGGATGACTGTCTTCAATAATTTACTCAAAGGGACTGGCTCGAGTCTATGAGCTTTGCGTGTGTACATGTTGGAATTTGCGATTACGCCCTCGTATTTGTCATTACGTTTCATCGACATCCTCAGTCTTTTTCTTCTTCTTTCTTCATCGCACCGTTTAGCCACCATCTTTCCCTTCACGGCGTAGATGCCTTTTATTCCCGACTTTGTAGTCTGCCCCACCTCAGTGCTTGTTCCTAATCACTGAGGCGCAAGCTTTATCTCACTTACTACTATTCACTACGTACTGACGTGCCGAGGACGCTCATGACGAATTTACGAGTATTGCAATCAAATTGCAATATAGGAGAACGGTGGTGTGCAATCGGCGCACATAAAATTATTGCTGATGATGCTGACAGTTCGTGCGAGGTGTAACGATTGTTCAAGAAACCGCCGTAAAGTTGCTGCACCGTGACAAGTAGGCAAGAGGATTTGTTTGGTAACGACGTTGGCTAAAGTTACTAATGCCATGAGTCGGTAATGGGGTTTGGTAGACAAGCCCTGTGTAGTCATGTGCCCACCATAGTCATTTTCCCTTCACGTCACGACCATGAACCCAAACTCTCCAGGACATGCATCACTGGAGGACGACATCGAATGGATTGGCATGGAAGACGTCGCCGAGCCCTCCGACAATCCCTTGAATCCTCCCTCAACCCATGCGTCAGACTTGCCTTCAAGTTTGGACGATGACGAAGATGAATTTGACATAGATCGTGACGAGGGGAGTACTAGAGGTCTTCTTAGCAGCACTCATGGCCCGAGCTATAGTGCGCGGTATTTGGAACCTGTGGGTAGGATATGGCCGCAGGTGAAGAGTATAGTTATTGAGGTATGTGTCATAAGTTGCCCAATGAATAGGACGAGACCACTTATTTTCGCTTTCAGAGTGCTCCGACGCTTTTAATGACAACTATCAGCCTTTTATTTACAGGTAAACTGTTGGACCAGGTCTCGGTGCGCACATCGCGTCTCTTAAATATGTATAGGAAAAATACTAACGACACCCCGCAGCGCTGGCGAGCAATGCGCGAAGTCGACCAACTCATAATGATCATACCCGTCGTCTTAAACTTAAAAGGAAACCTCGAGATGAACCTATCCGCGCGCCTCGGCACAGCAGCCAACATCGGCGAACTGGACGACCCAGCCGTCCGTCGTTCCATGATCATAGGCAACCTCTCGCTGTTGCAGGTCCAAGCTATATCCGTGTCCTTCATTGCGTCATGCACGGCTCTCCTTCTTGGGAGATTCGTACCGCAAAACACTCTCATGCCTGTCAAGGGCTCTCCTGCGATTAAAAACTCGACGGCGACGGTTCGAGATATCCACGACTATACCACCACCATAGATTTTAGACATGCCATTAGTTTGCCTTCCCCGGGAACAATACGGAAATCTGGATTTCCAAGGTCTTATTCCTTAATTCATTTCTCTCCATGTACTGACTGAACACTCAGATTAATTATGGTCGCTTCAACCGCTATGTCCGCCGCCTGTCTCTCAGGCCTCATCCTCGGGTCATTCATGTGTACCCTCATCGTCCTCTGCCGGAAATTCAACCGCGATCCCGGTAACCTTTCCCATCCCTCCTCTTCCGTACTCTACCTAAAACCACACCCTGTCTCTAGATAACATCGCACCACCCGTCGCCTCCTGCCTAGGCGACCTAGTAACCCTCATCCTCATCGGCGTCCTATCCAACCTCCTCATTCCCTTCCTACATACCCCCATCCCCTTCATCCTTGGCCTCCTCGTCATCGGAGTCGGCATAGCATGCTTCGCATTCACATTGCGCAACGCACACGTCCGGCCTCTCCTCACACAGGGATGGACGCCCCTTTTCGGAGCTATGGTTATCAGCAGCGGGACGGGGATCGTGTTGGATATGTTCGTGAGCCGGTATGAAGGGTTTGCGATTCTCGCCGTTGTCATCAGCGGTAAGTACCTCTTTTCTCCTTCAAAACTAAACCCTAACCCTATAACAGGATTACCAGGCGCAGCTGGATCCATATTCGTCTCGAGGCTCTCTACGGCCCTCCATGCAGCTGCCGTTGCGCTCTCCCATCATCCTTCTGCGGTGAGGAAAGATCATCACGAGCCCAGTCCGCGGCTGGTGATGCTCACGCTGTTGCTCATCACGCTACCTGTGGAGATTATATTCCTTGGGATACTTGACGGACTTCAGTGGCTTAATTTACCGATTTTGTTCGTGGCGTTTGCAATTGTGTTTTTCTGTTGTGCTGTGCGTTTTTTCTTCTTTTTTTCCTCCACTCATTCACGAAAACCAAAATATTTTTCAAAAATCAGGTTATAGTATCTCTCATCGTCGCACGCTTCCTCACCGACTTTCTATGGTCGAAAAATCGAGATCCAGATATATACGCGCTACCTATCCATTCGGCATTCATGGATCTTGTGGGACAGCTGCTTTTGGTGTTGTGTTTTGAGATTGTGTCTTGTCTTGGGACGAAGGTCCGTCTTAGGATATGACTCTTTAGAAGCGAACGTTATTTGTGGGTGATCTCTGAAGGAACTTGTATTGTATATTACATTACTTGACGTAGCTAATCTGATGTTTACCAACCAGGCTTAGGCGAGCAAATCGTTGTTCGACATTGTAAACCCGTTAAACCTATATCGTGAACCAAGGTACGACTTCACATAATATCGAAGTCTGTCTACGAGAGACTACGTTAAACCACACGTATTGGTCGATTGCCAGAGTTGCGTGCTTTGCTTCAAAGCTAGAGGTCTCTCTTCGAAACCGACGGGAGGCTGAAGGTCAAGGTAAGTCATGTCCAGTACGAGGGTTGAACGCAAGGAAAGAAAGAGGTTTTGGTTGATGATGACATTGGTAATTCCAACATACATACTACTGAAGGTTCCATGCCACGCAACTCATTCTTGGGTGACACATATACCGGGCAAAGCTCACACATTTTTTCCTGTGACCATCTCCAAAGAAAACATTGGCAGAATACATTGGAAGGATTCTAAAATTACTTGTTGCACCGCCCGGGACAGCAGTTAACAATGCAACCCCAATAACCTGTTCCACAGCTAACGTTGTCGGGGACAGCACCACCATCAGCACAAGTAGCCGCCTGAGTATTCAAACAGAATCCATAAGGGCCCCTCTGGGTACATTGACGGCAGAATGGCTTGATAGGACCTGAACCACAATCAACGCAAGCATTTATATCCTGCGAAATTCGATATCAGGAAAGGACACATTAGGCTTGTGAGCGAGGACAAACCCTGCGATGAGCACGCCCATCCAGTGAATCACTAGCTTGGATTGACTCCATACGTTCCTGCCATCGATACAGGTCAGTCGCCCATCATAATAATAGTGGCGCAGCATACTCACATTCCGAATGGTTGGAGTAGCATGAGCAATGATGGCAATGAGAGCGATGAAAAACAAAGTCTTCATGATGACGCGGTGAACTGGATGGATGCTAGTTCGTGAAAGTGTGCCCTTTGTCCAGAGGGCCTTAAATATGTATGGATCAATCACTGTACGAGTCCTCGGGCCGTTTGTCCTCCTTCCATACCAAGTGCATGGCACAATGAATTAATTTGGAGGACTGAAATGCAATGGTTAATGGAAGACAACTTCGAATGGATTTGGCATGGAAGACGTCGCGAGCCCTCCAAGCCGTTGAATCCCCCCAACTCATGTGTGTCAGACTTGCCTCCAAGTTTGGACGATGACGAAGATGAATTTAACACCAATCATGGCGAGGCGAGTAGAGGTCTTCTTAACAGTACTCATGGCCCGAGCTATAGTGCGCGGTATTTGGAACCTGTGGGTAGGATATGGTTCGAACAAACATATGTCGGACTGTACTTTTTGACTTACTGTGAGCCTGAAGGTCTCTTCGTCATTGGCAAACACTGCGCTCTGCCAGACATTGAAATCGTTCCGCGGTATTCATTGAATGATCACTGAGTGGAGGTGGGTCACCGGGTGGCGAGGCCTGGCGTAAGGACAAACATCAGGAAAACTCACTTCTAGTCTCCGTTTTCGGCCTAGGTTGAACTTGTTGTTCGTCGGGTCCCAGGTCTTCTCGTCGGCTGCCAGCCAAATTTTGAACCTTCAAAATCGTTCGATTTTTGCGGTGAAGCTGATGCTAAGCTAAGCCCCGAACGATTTCGACTGGTCTTCTTCGTCAATGACAAACACTGCGTTCTGCCAGACATTGAAAGCGTTCCGCGGTATTCATTGAATGATCAGTCACCTGGCGAGGCCTGGCGTAAGGATAAAGTGAGGATAAACATCAGGGAAACTCACCAGGTTGAAGCTAGCGAAGCTTTGAAGGGGTTGGAAATTCACTGAAACACAAGGGCCTGTTCGGATCCCCGGTCTTCTCGTCGGCTTCCAGCCAGAGTTCGTTCGATTTTTTTTTGCGTTGTAGCTCTAGCGAAAAGGAACTTGTATTGTATTATAGTTTTACTTTGATACGCCAACCAGGTTTAGGCGAGCCAGTCATTATTCGACATCGAAAACCCGTTAAACCACACGTATTGGTCGATTGGAGTAGCGTACTTTGCTTCGTGCCCGCCGAAGAACGTGCTGAGTGTCATATATATATATCAGCCACAAAGATAAGAAAGAAAGAAAGAAGATCCCAAGGACAAACCTAAAGAAAATCCCAATAAACCCAATCGGTTCAACCTCCAATGCTTGTTGGCCCATCTTGGTAGGACCCAAAGATGCAGTTTGCGGCAAGCTCCACTCATGTTGACCCGTATGAACCGCATCGCCAAGGTCCAAAACCCCACTCAACATCGGGTCCTCATCCTCATCGCCGTCTCCAGGATTCCCTCCCAAAGGAACATCCCGATAAAAAACATCCCTCCTCTCAATCACCCGTTCCCCATTAACGTCCAACGTAAACTGTCCATCTTGTAGCCCCGGAGTGTTAAGGTACACAGTCTGAGTTACCCTCGTCCACCCTCCCGCAGCCCACATGAACGATCCGCGGCCCATTGAGAAGCCATATGCGGCGTTGCAGGTCGATTGGGAGTCGGAGCATAGGGCGGGGGTTTGTTTGTCTTTCGGTGCGTACTGTCCAGGTCAAATCAATCAGCCATTTCCTTTGTTTCGAAATGGATGAAAGAAAAAAAAGTAAGAAAACGAACCAGATAAAGTTCGCCCACCCCACCCTCCCTCCACATCAACCTCGTACTAAAACAATCCAACGCCTCATCCCCACCCGAACACCCCGTATGTCCACCATAAAGCCCCGGCAACTTGCCCGCGAGGACCCAGTCGAAGTCGTTAGGGAAGAAGACGTTATAGCTTAGCGAGACGTTCCTCGCGCCCGACACGGGTAAAGGGGCTGCGTAGAATTGGGCTCCGCCTTGTGGGAATTGGGCGGGGTTGATGGAGTTTGCGGGGTAGTATGCTTGGAGGACTGAGGTGGTGTTGTCCCAGGAGGAGGGGAGGGCGCTGGCTTGTGCGGGGATTCCTGTGACTATTTGTAGGTTTTCTCTTGGTCCGGGGAAGGAAGTGATTTTGAAGGGGGTTAGGTCTGATATGGTGGGTGGTAAGGTCCAGGACCATTGTGTGTCTTCGGGTTCTGGATCGGCTGCAGGAGGAGGAGTGGATGTGATCTCGATTGTGTCGGTGACTGTTGTAGGGGGAGCTAGTACTGTGATTGTGACGGTTTCTGTTGGTTCTGGAGATTGAGATGGAAGAGCCTGAGGGAGGATGAATAAGGGAGAATGGGACGATGGGGAAAGAAGAAGGCTGTTGACTGCAGATGCTGGCGCTGCCAGTGTTGATAAGATTTCAGCAAATGCCAAGAGCAGAAAAATGACCATCAAGGCCATGAAGAGAGAGAGTTTTGGGAGCGGCTGACTGGCATCGTTTAGGATATCACTTGTAGCTCGTTCGTGGTCCTGGTTGGAATGGAATTAGAATCGTTGAGGGTCGGGTGACATTTATAAATAACTTTGTTAAATATTGGTCGGAGTCCCGAAGCGGAGTCAACTTACCTCACCATCTCCCACATCTTGCTCAACTCTCATAAGTACAACTCTGTGTGCACTCCACCATCTCAACTCTACCAAACATACCGCTAACCACATCACCTACAGAATCGCTTGAAATCTCTACTGAAACAACCAAACTCCCAACCCAACATGAAGCTTGCCGCCCTTGCTGCGGTTTTGGCGGGCAGTGCTAGCTACCGTACGTCCCCATTCCCTTCGATTGCCCAAATCGCCAACTCACCTCTCCACTTTGACTCCAGTCCAAGTCAGCGCAGCACCCATCAGACTCCTCCTAATCACAAGCAGCGTCTCCACCAACTCCAACACCGGTCCCGCTGCCAACATCAACCCCGCATTCCAACACATCCGCTTGGAGCACCCAGGCCCCAACCAAGCCGGACGAGTCGCATGGCTCCAAGCCCCCCCCGCTGCTGTACCATCAGGAGGAACCTGGGCCGCCGAGCATCCCCGCCGCCCATGCGGAGGGGGACGCAACAGGTTCCGTAATCGCGTCAAAGCAAAGACGTTGGAGATTACCAATTTCTTCCGTGCGAAGCTTGGGTTGCCTTTGAAGGAGCCTGCGGTCCACCATCACCACCATAAGCATGGGAAACACCACGATGGTGAGCACCACCGCCATCATCATAAAGGCCCCGAGGGCAAACATGGTGGTGGTGCTCCGATGTTCATTGAGGCTGGTGCTCCTGTTCCCCACCATGGCAGCAAGTACCAGCACCAGGCTCCGTGCTTCGGGATGAGGCTCCATCGGGCGCTCATGTCGCTTGGCCCGTGGGAGGGCAGAGCTATGGCTTTTGTCCTTGGTACGTTTTGTCGCTCTTTTGTCATTGATTCGGTCCTCAATAATAATGATGATAGGCTGTGGAATTGGCGTCCTGCTAAGGATGTTCTGGGTCTTTGCAGTAGTCATGATCCGCATCGTTAGAGGTGGTAGGACTTCCTCCTCGCAGTACACCCCTGTTCCCGTGAGCGTGAGCGCTGAAGATCTCATGGTCCCTCCTCCCACCTATGTCTTTGAGGATGTGAAGATTCCGGTTGTTATTGAGGATGTCAAGGCTCCTGTCGTTGTTGAGGAGGTTGAGAAGAAGACTGCAGAGGAGGAATCCAAGTAGGCACGGGCGGTTTTCGTTATGGACTCGAAATATTCTTTCCTTCTGTCTGCCTGCTCCAATCCCCCAGTCCTTCGCTCCGTCTGTATCTCTCGGCTCGTCTGTTCCAAGTCCCAAGTTTCTCCTTTCCGTACCCTTACCCTCCCCCACCCCTATTACTTACCCGTGATCCAGTCTCCCGTTGATAATCTTGTAAAACCCAGATCTCACTTGTGTTGAATACAGTGACTATATATATACACGTTGTCGTGCTCTTATTTCTTCTTCGTGTAAGGTTTTGGGATGAGGGATACAGGATGGGAATGTTCCAGGAAACTTGTAAAGTGGACTGTCCTCCGTCGCATTAATGGGGTAGTGGTAACCTGGGTCGTTGCCATAAGGATGAATGCCGGGTTACAGTGCATCATCGACCCGCCGGGGGTTCGATTCCCTCTTAATGCACTGAGAAATTCTCTTATTTAATCTTTTTCTGGCGCGCAGGGATAAAAAGACATGCACGATTACCCATGCGCAAATCCGTCAAACACGTTATCTTTCTTTTGGCCATCTTGTAAACGTGATGCATATGATGAAAAGTTAAAAATGGAACGTTTTTCAAGGCATTAATGGGGTAGTGGTAACCTGGGTCGTTGCCATGTAGATATGTGACCTTTGATCGACCCGCCGGGGGTTCAATTCCCTCTTAATGCATTCTACCGATCAGGGTATAAAATTTTTCTTGCATAGAGTAAAGCCATGCTTGATTACCCTTGTGGCATGCGCGGATCTGTTAACACCCCATTTTTATCTGTGGATGCCATTTTCTGAATGTGAGATGATGAAAAGTTGAAAAATGGTATGTCTTTCAATACATTAATGGGGTACTATGACCTACCAGCACCTCGGCGCACCCTACGAGTCGGCGGTCACTGATCGTCACGAATTTTGGCTGGACAAGTGTGATGTTGCATGACAACTTGGAAAATGAGACTCACGCTTGTCCAGCCAAAATATGTGACAATCAGTGACTGCCGACTCGTAGGGTGCACCGAGGTGCTGGTAGGTCATAGTAGTGGTAACCTGGGTTGTTGCCATTAACTGATTGATGGCCTCCCAGATCAACCTGCTGGGGGTTTGATTCCCTCTTAATGCATTCAATTACATTTTGCATTTGATTTTTCTTGTGCAGAGTAAAGCCATGTGTTTGCACAGATCTGCTAACACATTACTCAACCATGGCTACTATTTTTTTGAAGGTGATATGTATGATGAAAAGTTAAAAAATAGTATGTCTTTAAATGCATTAATGGGGTAGTTGTAGCCTGGGTCATTGCTAAGCTTGCCAGGCATGATTGACCCACTGGGGGTTCAATTCCCTCTTAATGCATTGACAGATGTCAAGCTTTTCAATTTTTCTTGCACAGAGGAATTAGAGACACCCTTGTCCATTAGGGCATCATTTTAAATCTGTGAATTACCATCTTCTGAACATGATATGATGAGAAGTTGAAAATGGTATATCTTTCAATGCATTAATGGGGTAGTTGTAACCTGGGTCATTGCCATAAATATGGGCCTCCCAGATTGACCCACCAGGGGTTCAATTCCCTCTTAATGTATTGAAGATTAGGTTTGCTATTTTCTTGCATGGAGTAAAGCCATGCTCAATTACCCATGTATCCATTAACACATTATTTAACCATGGCTGCTATTTTCTGAAGGTAATAAGTATGATGAAAAGTTGAGAATGGTATGTCTTTCAATGTGTTAATGGGGTAGTGAGTGGTAACCTGGGCCATTGCCATAAACATTGGCATTTGAGTTCAACTTGCTGAGGGTTCAATTGCCTCTTAATGCACCAATAGACTGAGGGCATTTTTCCTGCACAGAGGGATAAAAAGCTTAGTCAGCTACCCTTTAAATCCATTGACACATTATTTAACCATGGATGCCATTTTCTAAATGTGATATGGGGAGCAAGGGGTTTGGTTCTCTCAGGAATTACAATGTAATGGATAGAGAAAAAAATTTGTAAAGATTGTTTTTGATATGTACTTACTTCACTTGATTTTGCCATAGTACTTGAACAAAATTTAAGTACATAGAGTATACGTGGGGGTACCAGCTAAGCCTGGTGACCTTGCTGGTGACCTCTGGATAAGGGGACCGAGGTCACCACCTGTATATATGCTTGTTTGGTGAAGTCACAGGGCCACCACCCTCCCTTGTACTTCTAAGAACCTGTCAGGAATCTCTGGCGCACATTCCTGAGGCTGGGCCCTCCCAAAAAAGGTAAAGACCACCCTTCCACCAAGCTCACACCCTTCTCACACTGTCACGCAGCGCGCATCAGCTGCCAATCTCCAGCAAAGTGCTGTAGTGTGCCGCTACCTCTCCCTATGTGAAGCCCATGTCATGTTCCTCCCAATGCTGTTAAAATACAAGCTGTAGCTACAAAAATCAACTTGAATTGGAGCCATCTTTGATCCTTTTGGCTCAAACCCATTTTCCTCAACTGAATATTCAAATAAGACCAATTGGAAGCCTCTCCCTTCATTTCATTCAGTTGAATACCTTCCAACAGGAGAAACTTCATTTCCTTCAAACAATATTAATTTTATTCAGTTGAAGGCCCCTCCAAATGAGCCAAACGAAGCAAACAGTCTTGCAGCTTACAGTGCTTTTCACATCTATGCAGAATCGCATTTGCGAAAATTCTGCAGCTTTGGTTATGTTGATGCATGATGTCATGATGCTGGTGCTTCGGCAACGCTGCTTGCCTTTGACATTCAACTTGGACATTAGAGCATCACCTTGATGTTCCCCTCATTAGAGCCAATCTGTATAGTACCACACTCAACACAATCAATTCAGTTTTGACACATCCAGCGGCAAATCCATTGACACTGGCCTCAAAAAATTGTCAAAGAAATTCGATTTGTCTTTCCAGTTTGGAACGGCACCCCATGATTTCACGATCAGCCAGTATGTCTCTTTTCATTGAGCATGCCAAAGGTTTGATAACAAGATATCGGCAGATCAACTCCTTGCTTTCATTGTTCATTGAGAATGTGTGTCGTTAGCGCCTTGGCGTGTCTGCCCATTTGACCTCTTCCTAACTAGGCCATCCCAATTGCACTGGTCATCAACAACACCTGTGCCTCCATCCCCAACATCATAATCACCAACTTTGGTTCCCAAAGCTTCGACGTCTACACTGGCCCCTTCACCAAGAACGACCAACTCACAGTGTTGCCCTTTGCCAATGTGTTCTTGTACACTGCTGACATACCTGCATCCATCGCCAAGCAGGTTCTCCCAACTTTGAATAAAGCTGGCTCAACCTAGCAACATGAGTTGGAGGAGAGGGAGCAGGAGATGTTGTCTTGACTATTTACATACTTACAATGGAACAACCAAGCAAAGGCTTTCAAATGAGTGGGTATAACAATGCCAAAGGTTATAATTGGGGGGGTGCATGTAAGTTTAGCTTGTTGACGAACTTGCACAATGTGTTGCCGAAGCACCGGCATCGTGACGTCATGTGTCAACATAACCAAAGCTGCAGAATTTTCACAAATGCGATTCCGCATAGATGTGAAAAGCACTGTAATTCAAGTTATTTGTCTTCTACTCTGCTGCCAAACAGCGGCTACATAGGCAAACAAGGGAGAAACACTGTTTGCTTTGTTTTGTTCAATTTGAATAATTTGTCCAAATGAAAGGAATGAAAGAAGGCATTGGTGAGCTATTTGAATCCCTTTCAACTGCTTCAGCTGGAAGGGAAAATTTTGAATAGTTAATTTGTTCAGTTGACGGACAGAGAATGTTCATTTTCTTCAACTGAAGATTGACCAAACAGAACAAATGAAGCAAATGAGGGGTCTTGTTTGAAGGCCACACTCACAAGGGATTTCTCATTTTTTGTTAACTCAATTCAATTGAAGAAGTTTTTGTTTGCTTCAATTTTTATTTGGAAATTTCTTCAATTGATTCTTCAAAAGCTTCATTTCATCTGGATGAAGGACAGCCTTACGAAGGAAACAGATCAAACAAAGGCCAAAATGTACATGATGTTTAAATGAAGACCAAATATTATTCATTCTGTTCAACTGAGAATTTTTAAAAGCCTGATTGAGCATATATCAACCCACAGGAGGCCAGGTCACCACTTCATGTATTGAGGCGTGACAGCATGCCAAAGATGTGTGTGACAGGTCATGTGAGAGGTCCTGAGGTCACCACCTGGGTGACCACAGGTGACCGAGACCTGTGGTACATAGATACACACTTGAAATTACACAGTAAATATATACATACATTGTCATGCTTTTATTTCTTCTTTGAGGTTTGTGTGTGTTCAGGATGAGAAGGTACTTACAGGGTGTCAACCTTCCACCAACTTTTATTAGCTTGGTCAGGCTTGAAAGCTTGAAAAATGCATTATCTTTCAGTGCATTAATGGGGTATTGGTAACCTGGGTTGTTGCCATAGTTAGAGGTACCAACCTTGTTTGAGCCATGGGGGGTTTGATTCCCTCTTGATGCATTCCATACCTTTGAGATGGGCAATTTATTTTGCACACAGAAATTAGGCCTTGTGGCATATGCAGATCCCCTAACACATTATGTAATGGGCCATGGATGCTGTTTTTCAGTGCATTAATGGGGTAGTGGTAACCTGGGTTGTTGCCATCCAATAGCAGACATATATTGACCCAAGGGTAGTGCTTGGAAGTCTAGTCTTAAGACTGAAAAAGACTGCAACTGGACTGGACCAAGACTGCAAAAGACCAGACCAGCAGTCTTGGCCTTTTAGATTTGAGATTACAAGACTGCAAAAAAACCAGTTATGGTGGACTGGTCTTATCAGTTAATACCAGTCTTTTGTACCTATTTAAAAACTTTTTAGGACAAAGACTGACAAAGATCTATACAAAACTGTAAAACATATCATCAAAATGGTAGATGTACCTGAATATTTTTGTATGTACATCAATTCTCAATGTAATTTAATGTTCTTGCACTCATTTAAAGGCTATGAAGCATGGCTATAAATTTAGCAACTCACAAATGCAAATTGTATTGCATATGTAGTTGGAAAGCCGGTCTTGAAATGGTTGTAACCAGTTTGGACCAAAACCAGTCCAAATACTGAAAAAGACTGCAGTCTTGGTCTTTTCTGGTCCTGTTCCAGTCTTTTAAGGTTTTAGGAGGTAGGTGGACCAGTCTTGGTCTTGGTCTTCTCGTTTTGGGCCAAAAACCAGACTGGACTGGACTTTCAAGCACTACCCAAGGGGGTTCAATTCCCTCTTAATGCATTTTATGAGAGCCAGGGTTTTCAATTTTTCTTGTGCAGAGGAATTAGAGACACCTTGTGACATGCACACATCTGTTCACAAATTATTTAATGGGCCATGGATGCAGTCTTCTCAACATTTTAGTGCATTAATGGGGTAGTGGTAACCTGGGTTGTTGCCATCCAGCCACATTTGACACTGCTATATATATTGACCTGCTGAGGGTTTGATTCCCTCTTGATGCACTCATACAGGAACTCTGTAATTTTCTTGCATGGAGGGAGAGTATATACAGACAACAGAGATCCGTTAACACATTATTTTGAATGTCATCTTCTGAAGGTGATATGATGAAAGGTTGAAAATGGAATGTCTTTCAGTGCATTAATGGGGTAGTGGTAACCTGGGTCATTGCCATGAGGATTTCATATCTGTTTGTGTTTACCTATATTGACCTGCTGGGGGTTCAATTCCCTCTTAATGCATAGAACATTGCCTCCAACTTTTTGTTGCGCAGAGGGATATAAAGACACACTTGGCTACCCTTCAGATCCATTACATAACACATTATTTAAATAACCCATTTTCTGAATGTGATATGGGAAGCAGGGGGTTCAATTGTCTCAATAATTACATTTAATGGGTGAGGAAAAGCAGGAATATGAAAGGAAAAAGAGTAAAACTTGCAAAAAAGAAAGAAGAAAAAGAAAAAAGGAGGGGATTTGTATAGTCCTGTTTTCTTCGTGCCCCAAAAACCATGTCAGGAAATGTTTATGTAATCTGCGGACTTTGAAACCCAGGCGCGTCAACAACATGTCAACAACTGCGCGCTCCCTCTTGGCTTTTTACGTGTTTACAGCACTATTGTCCTCCCTTCCTATCCAAATTCTATTCTTTTTTCTTCAATACATCAATTCCTATTGAAAACAATGTCACAACTGTCCGAACTTATAAGAAAACGCCCCTGGTTGAGGTCCACATTATATCACACGTTTTCTGCCCCCTACTGTAGCATTTCATTCAATTCGACAGGGCCCGTGACGCGTGACAGGCCTGTCGAAATTTTGGTTTCGACAACCACACAAATTCGCCGTGACAAGCCGAAAATTTGGGCGAATTTTCGACCACTTAGCGCCGCAGGCCACGAAAAATTTCGACATTTATCACAGGAGCACCAGATGATTTCGACACCTTACAAAAATCTGCGTGACCACCGTGACATTTCAGCAATTTGAAGGGCACCGTGACGCGTGACCGTCGAATTGAATGAAATGCTACAGTACCTCGAATTCCCTCCTCCTTTCACATCCGAGTGAGCCAGGGAAACCATCATCTCCCGAGCTGTTGTCACCTCTTCTCGGCTCTCCTTTCAATGAGCTTCATTATCCAAGCGGATCCTCAAGTCAACCACGACTGATAGAAGCTCCACAAGACGACGAGCAAAAGCTCGCATTGAAATTTGATCGGATGGAGCAGTTGCTTAAGGACTCTGGCTTTGACTCTCTCGGCAAATTTCTGAAGATCTTGTTCCACAACCCGAGCTGCGTCTCTGGACAGCCTGATCCAAGAGGTGTATGCCACACCAAGTCTGTTGCTCAGTTTCTACAAGGGCGGAACAAGGTCAAAATTTCAGACATCATAACTCTTGTCTATAAGCCACAAGCACAGCACACCTTCGCCAAGCTCACCACATGCTTCAGAATGTCATGCTCCGTTCTCACCATCAGTCTCTCCTGCCGACTTCTTTTACGCGCGTCCTTCTTTGTTCACGTGGGCAACGAATCTCGTCGCTAATCATGTTCATCGTGAGATCTACGAACTTGCGGCTAAGGATAACAATGTCCATCTCTGAGCTTTGACGAATGGACGGCGTCCAACGGATAGCATCAGTCTCGTCACCTGGGAAGCTTTGGGAAGGTTTAGTATTGCGGCCCTTGTGGAGAAATACAAAAGTCGCGCACCTATTGCTTGGCATCTCACAGAATGTATGGCTGCCTCTCACAAGAATGGTGTTGTGGTGGTAAAGAAGCAATGGCCACATCTGATTGTATGTAAATTTATGGAGCCTACTAAATCTCGACTTCACCTACCTCCACAACACCAATTGGCCTTGGACAGGTGGGCAGATTGGTGGGATATGACTTGGGGTGTTAATTGTACTCTGAAAGACTGAGACATGGAATAGAAAAGGCTGCCAACTTCCCATCTCCTGTTGCAGTGCAGCAGAGAACATCCTGTCCATCAAAGATAGCTGAAATGAGGTTGAGCTGAATCGTATGCAGCCTGCTCGTCCACAGTGGTATAGTCTTTTTGACAATGGTGTTGATGGTTTGTAGCCCTAGAGGGTCCTGCCAGGGGGGTTTGGTCATACTTTTGTGCTCAAAACACGTTCGAAGTAATTCAGAAAGACAAAAAGTCAGTGTTCAGGATGCATAAAGGGACGAATGTATTCAAAACGCGTCAGGGCGTGAAGGGAGCAGACCAATATCGACGCGACGAGGTCGGACCGTGATTTCGGAGTCCGAAGATTACATAAACATTTCCTGACACGGTTTTTGGGGCGCGACAAACAACTGACTTCATATGATCGTGAACCAAGGTACGACTTCACATCATATCGAAGCTGTCTAGGAGAGACTAGGATTTGTAAGTACTGTGACACTTTCCTATGATAAGAAGAAGAAAAAACCAGAAAAATCCCCAGAAATAGGTTGTACACTAAATAACATTAGGGCTCACTATATCCATAAGTTTTTTGATTTTTCTTGCATGGAGGGATTAGAGACACCCTGCAGATCCATTAACACATTATTTATATGGCCATTAATGCCATCTGATGATGATGGAGTTGAAAATGGAATGTCTGTCAGTGCATTAATGGGGTAGTGGTAACCTGGGTCGTTGCCATAGAATAGCAGTCCCTGTCTACCTGTATCGACCTGCCGGGGGTTTGATTCCCTCTTAATGCACTGAGCTGAATGTGCTATATATTAACTTTTCTTACGCGGAGGGAGTAAAGACACACATGCACAGATCTGTTTTTAATGGCCATGGATGCCATCTTCTGAACGTGAGATGATCTATAGGGGTTCCAATCTTGTTGTCAATTGCAAAGACAACGTTGAAAAGAATCTCCAGATAATAAACCGACGACGGTAAACTTCAACTTCCAAATGCAAACGGAAGGTTGAGTGAAGGGCTCAAGAGTCAAACTTGCAAGCTTGATCGTTGGCTGACACATGTCACCGCCACATCATGGCTTCCGGGCGGTTAAACTGTGGGGCAGCCCTTCAAGATCGCTCCAAATGACCTATCTCTCCTACTAGTCACTCCCTCAATTCCCTCAAATCTTCAGAATGTCGAAGCAATCTGAACCGCTTCACATGCGCGATGTGGATGACGATGTCCCCGTTCTTCCCGCAAACATCACAACTTCGGAGGAAAAGAATGCGATGTATGTGGATGTCAAGGAGGAGGATTTGGATTTGAGTAACGCGTCCATTAGTGAGTCCCCTCACCCGTTTTGGTTTACCGGCTCTGACGGGTATCAAGACTACGGAGAATACGTCTCTTCTGGTAAAGGCCTCAAGTCTCTCGCCACGATCGGTCCAGACGGTCAAATTTCGCTCACGTTCGACCTCAAACAACACCTGCCAGACCTACCGACGGACCACGCGCGAGAGGTCAAAGAGTTTGCCATCGATCAAACGCAATGGCGGGATTACCCAAGCATGAATATCGTTATCATGATTGTAGGCAGCAGAGGGGATGTTCAGCCTTACGTTGCTTTGGGCAAAGTCCTTCTCAAGGATGGTCACCGTGTACGGATCGCGTCGCATGAGACTTTTCGATCGTTCGTCCTGGAGGCTGGGCTTGAGTTCTTCAGCATTGGTGGAAATCCGCAAGAGCTTATGAGTTACATGGTCAAGAGTCAGATTGAAGGCCCCTCGTTCATGCCATTGCTCATACTGTTGTAGACCCTGGTCTTATGCCTGGCTTTGAATCCCTTACCAATGGGGACATCAAGAGGAAACGGACGATGCTTGCTGAGGTATGTCGTTGCAGATATGTCTTCGAAAATGCTACTGACAGTGATATCTGAAGATGATAAACGGTTGTTGGCTATCATGTCATTCTCCTTGCACAGACACAGGAAGAACCTTCGCAGCTGACGCAATCATCTCAAACCCGCCTACCTTTGCACACATACATTGTGCGGAGGCCCTAGGGATTCCTCTTCTAATGAGCTTTAGTACGTGAATTTCTCACAAGTACCCATCACACACTAAAGGTGCTCTCAGCAATGCCTTGGTTTGTATTCCGTGTCACCTCTGAATTACAGGTGATGACAGGCCTACAGGAGTCCGACAGCAGCCTTCTCGCACCCGCTCGTGAACATCACCAATTCTAATGCCGGATTTGGTCTCTCTAACTACCTAAGTTACGCGATGGCTGAAATCCTAACCTGGCAAGGGTAAGTTAACTCCACTGATGACATACGGCCGCTGACGATGTTAGGGTTGGCGACGTCGTTAACAACTTCCGAACATCAACACTTGGCCTCCAACCTCTCACTCTACGATCCGGACCAGGCTTGGTAGATCGCCTCAAGGTTCCATGGACATATTGTATGAGCCCTGCCCTCGTACCCAAGCCTGATGATTGGATGAATCACATTGGTATTCGTGTCTTCCTTCACGAAAGTTCACCTGTTGCTGATGTTGGATAGATGTGATTGGTTTTTACTTCTTGGATCTCGCATCAAATTATCGACCGCCGGAGGAATTGGCAACCTTCCTCGCAGCGGGAGAGGCCCCAGTTTATATTGGGTACATTTTGGCGGTTTCAATAAAACTTCCAACTGTTATCTGACTCAGTTTAGGTTCGGTTCAGTAGTGGTTGACGACCCCGCAGCCATGTCAAGTGAATCTCAGTTTCTATCTCATTGTTGTCATTCTCAACCCCACTCAGAGATCATATTCGATGCTACGAAGCAAGCCGGGGTCAGAGCTTTGGTTTCTGCTGGTTGGGTAATTGGCGAGCTTGACTTACGATCCCGTGCCGTATGCTAAATGCATTACTATTTTCAGGGTGGACTGGGCGGCTTATCCGTTCCTCCTCACGTCTTTATCCTGGGAAACGTACCCCACGACTGGCTTTTTGACAACGAGCGTGTGTCTGCCGTCGTCCATCACGGCGGTGCTGGCACCACCGCGGTCGGTCTCGCCAAAGGCCGCCCAACTGTCGTTGTGCCTTTCTTTGGAGACCAGGGGTTCTGGGGTATGCTTTCATCTTTTGGGGGAGTTAACACTGAATCCTGACGTGGTAATGCACAGGAAACATGATTCATAAGGCTGGTGCAGGTCCTAAACCTATTCCGCACAAAGAGCTTGCTGTAGACAACCTTCGAGATGCGATTACTTTCGCTATCAGCCCCCCAGCAAGAGAGGCTGCCAGGCAGATGGCGCAGCAAATTCATGAGGAGGTTCGGTTTCTGTTTTTGTATTTTCACGTACATGCATGCCTGAATATGATGATCTGTAGGATGGGGTGAATAGGGGAGTGGATAGCTTCTATCGTCATCTCCCTCTCCTTAACATGCGCTGTGACTTGGACCCTTCGAGGATGGCGATTTGGTGGTCCACGGAACATGTCCGCTTCTTTGATGTCTCGTTTTGGCCAGAGTCTGATACCTATTTCTCAGTGTATGAAGCTTAGCGCTTTCGCTGCCCAGACCCTGTCCGATGCCAAAAGGCTAGACATGAATTCACTGGATCTTCACCGTAATATCTGACACAAATCTACATCCTTTCGTACCACTCATCGAGAATTTGTTCAACAGGGACGAAGGAGTATGATACCACCAAGAAAGTTTCTGACCCGGTGTCAGGTGGCGCTAACGCTATATTTTGGACTGTCACGCATTACTACGCCGGTATCGCAGAGATCTTCTAGTACGTTTCTCACTCTGGATATGTTCATTGATATTGATAGTCATCTAGCCGTCCGGTTCAGGGCATCATCCATACAACGACTGCCATTCCGCAAGGTGCGCCAGGGGCTCTCCCCACGAACGCGAAGAGCTCACATTTGTTCGTTCCTTGGCCTTTGATAGGCATCATGAAAATTGTATTTTCCGTTCATGAAGGGTTCCAAAACGTTCCGGAATTGTACGGCTCCAAAGTGCGGAAGCCTGGCAAAGTTACAGGTTTCACAAGCGGACTCAAGGAAGGAGGAAAAGTATGCGCTGCTTATTCTTGCACTGTGGATACTGTCCTGACTGTTATAGAGCATTTTTTATGGATACTATGATGGAATCACCGGCCTAATCAAAGAACCTGTGCAAGGTGCTAAGAAGGAGGTGAGCTTTGCCATCACGATAAGCTACTCAATCAGGCTCATCGCATACAGGGTTTTATCGGAGCCATTAAAGGATCCGCTAGAAGTTGTAAGTGCGATATCGTGTTCTCAACGTAACGCTATATCTTCTCTTTCTCGTAGTCGTCAATGTCACCATGCGACCTGCCGCTGGCATCATGGGATTCATAGCATACCCCTTGCAAGGAGCCTGGAAGAGCATGCAATCTGAAGTCGGACGTACTCAGGAGAATCGGCAACATCTTACGCGTCTCGCGGACGGTAAAGCGGCAGTGCAGCAGAGCTCGCCAGCTCAGCGTGCTCAGATTATAGAGCGATTCAACAAGGCGTTACGTGATACACCTGCAAGGCGGAAGCACTATATGGAAGCCGCGGAGAGGGCGATGTTTGAAGATATGGATTTGGATCCCCATGAAATTCAGCAGGCGAGCAAGTTGACCAGTCAGACGGGCAACTCCGATATATCGTCAACGAGTACATCATCTACGTCCGGCACACCCACGCCGCCAACCACTGACACTGCTTCGGCAGATGCAGGCTTGGATGAAGACGCCACGTTCTTGAAGGAACTGGAAATGGCCAAGAGGCTATCGTTAGCAGAATACCAAGAAAAAGGACGATGGTAAGAACCCGATCGTGAGGTAAACATCTAGATTCTACATTATACATAGAAAACAAACAATTGTACGATAATGAGGTGTCGGCGTACTATTGGCCATCAATATCAACGTCCATGGGCGTGGATGGTGTTTCTGGTGTTGGGTTATTGTCCTTATCTTTGTCTTTGTCTTTGTCCCTGTTAATCGGAGGTCTTCCTCGTTTTCCCCGGCCCCTACCTCTTCCTCGCCCTCTCCTAGGCGGAACAACACTTTCTTCGGCAGTTGTATCGTCTTCTTCCGCTCCATGGGTTGTAGTGGTTCCAGGAGTTGCAACCGCTCGTCCACGACCACGACCACGCCCTCTCCCCCTACCCCTTCCTCGTCGTGGAGTTCCGCCTCTCCCCCGAGCCGACGTATCGTCCTGATCGACATCGTTATTACCATCAAAGTATTCGTTCCTCCCATTGCTGGGATCATGTCTTCGCTCGCCAGCTTGCCCTGTCCCCCTCTCTTCGTCCTTCTCCTCCGCCGTCCGGTCCTCGCTCGCCAACAGACCTTGCAAGTCAGGAGGAATCTCCTGCATCGCCACACTAGGCGCACCCTGGAGGTATCGTAATTTATTACGTATACTTATTGTGATACGTTGAAGGGAGGCGGGAGAGTTCTGGTTATCGACTTTTCCAGTCAGAGGCGGATGCAATTTCCAGTGTGAATCCTCAAAGAATGAATCGTAGACTGTGGCTGGTAGTTCGTCTGGTATCTCTGCCCCGACTAGAACAGATGTTTCGTACGTCCAACATCGGCTAACATTTTTTATTGTGTAGCCACCTCCGCCTACAACGAGTAGGGGGACGTTGTATTTTCGAACGAAGTTGACACATTCCCCATGCGCAGCAATAGAGAGATTGAATGCGCCAAGACGATCACAACCTAGAGAATCAGCCCCGCATTGTAGAACGATAGCTGATGGCCGGAATGCTGTGACAGTATCGTCAATGACGGTTTTAAATATCGTCAAATACATGTCGTCGTCGATGCCATCTAGGAGAGGAACATTGAGACAGAAATGCTTGCCCAGCCCGTTCCCATTGTCATCAAGTTTCCCAGTTCCCGGGAAGAAGTCGCCAGTATATTTATGGAAGGAGACTGTCATCACGCGATTGGACTGATAGAAAGCGAGTTCGACACCATCTCCGTGATGAATGTCAATATCAATATAGAGAACGCGGGGGTGATACCTAAAAATATTTGAACATCACTTTCAGTGACCTCCGTATGACGAAACACAAGCGAACCTGAGGAGTTCGAGAATACCCAGCACAATGTCGTTGACGTAGCAAAAGCCACTAGCTTCGCCTCGTTTTGCATGGTGCAAGCCGCCAGACCAGTTAATAGCAATGTCAGTAGTACCCGCACACAATTTTCGAGCACCCGCAAGAGAGCCTCCAGCATACATGCGGCAGAAATCATAGATGTCGGCAAAGATAGGACAATCCTCAACACAGTTGAAATTGTCGATCATCTGCCTCATTTGCCCTTGGTTTTGAGGTGTTACCCTAAGTGCTTTTTGTCAGAAAGTTCAACCAAAAATAATTCACACCTGTTTCATTGCAACTAACTTTGATAGGAATTCAATGTAATCGTGGTCATGGTAATTCTCAAGTTCTTCTTGCGTCGCTGGCCGAGGATCGTATATGTGGTGAATCTGCTTATCAAGTCCGTATCCCATGACGAGCGCATTCGTCAAAGTAAGTCTGTGGGGTTTCATTGGATGTCTTTCCTGTAAAATGGGAGAAAAAAGAGGTCAAGATGGTTGAAAGAAACGGCGAATGAGATTATACTTACTCCATAGTGTTGAGCTCCAACACCTTTTGGAAAGTAATAGGACACGATTGGACGGGAATGCGGCTATAATTTAATAATCACAAGTAGAAGAAAGTGAGAAACCAGAAAAGCTTACGTTGATGCGCTCAGTGATTGGTTGAGCTGTGCCATGAACTCCACGATCGAAGAAATACGGCGAAGACGAGAATGTGGTCGCTTGCGATGAGCGAACCATGTCCCGCTTTAAATTCTTTCAAGTAATGCGGTGTGGAAAACCTTATTCCACAAGGGGAGCGTGGCCAGACGATGTACGCACAGTGCGCGAACTGCCGCTAGTAAAAGTTAAACACAAATTCGACCACACCAGACAGAGGTTTGGTTGACGCCGAATTTTGTTTTATGTTGAGATTTGTTCTCTTTCGGATTCGATGGCGTTAGAAAGTAGATAACTGAAAAGCCTGGAGCCAGCTATCTTAGAGTTGAATGAGGAAGGCAAGACAGAAACAAACGCTGAGTCAGCAAAATCTCACCAATTTCCCTTACTTTATCTGGCCTTGATCCTTACTCCTCCATACCCATTTATTGAACAGCTTCTGCAGGCATCTCGCACCCCGTCTCGACACCATATAAAATAAACCTGGAACGGAATCCACATCGTTTTGCACAACGACCGGCACACTCAAACCAGAATTATGCGGCATTCGTTGACGCCTGCTCTTGTCTTCCTCGTGATATGTCTAACAGCGCTCGCACTGGCCTCTTCGGGAGACAAGAGGACGGAGTACACAGGTTGTGTTTCCACTTGTCAAGTAGAACGTTGTAACCCCCAAACATCCCTGGTTCTTCTCCTTTCCTTGAGGATGACAAGATGGACGTGCACAGACGATTGTAAATATCTCTGCATGCACGAACTAACAGATCGGGACGTCGCGTGGGGCCACGACATCCATCAATATTATGGGAAATGGCCTTTCTGGAGGTTTTCAGGTATGCAAGAGCCTGCGTCCGTCGCGTTCTCCATGTTGAACCTCTGGGCCCATGCGGCAGGAGGGATGAAAATTTGGAAAAATGTACCGGCATCGCACGTCATGAGGCCGTACTACCTCATCTGGTGCTTTGCAAGCATAAATGCCTGGGTATGGTCGTCAGTTTTTCACACCCGAGGTCAGCCTTTTCCCACCTAATGAAACATCGCCCTCATAAGACGAGTAGACACACCCATCACCGAAAAACTCGATTATTTTTCTGCGGCACTTGCTATTCTCTACGCCTTGTACTACACTACCATTCGCCTTTTCCACCTCTACCCTGCCCCTGAACGCTCCCGGCCCTCAAACCCCGCAAAATCACCAATGAATCACAAGCGGAAACTTCTATCGATCCTCTCCATCTTGACATATCTGGGCCATATTTCCTATCTAACATTGCTACCCAGATTCGACTATGCTTACAACATGGCGTTCAACCTCATCCTGGGAGTTCTTCATAATATCTTGTGGACCTTGTACGCTCTACCGGCCTCGATATCTGTTCTAAAAAGATACCCCTCCCGTCCTAAGTCCTACCGCCCATCATTTGTGACAACTGCGGGTGTATTTGTCGCTTTAACAACGCTAGCAACATCTCTAGAGTTGTTCGATTTTCCTCCATGGGGGCGAATCATAGACGCTCACTCATTGTGGCACGCAGTAACGGCTCCAATCGCCTTTTACTGGTACAGCTTTTTGGTTGACGATTCTCTTGATCCCAGCTGGCGTGAGCACCGCGCGTAGTCTTTCCTTCTGGAGTGTAACATTGTAATACCGTCGGCCGGGAATTAAATCACAGTTCCAAAACAATGAGGCCAATTCAGATTGCTACTGCAACGCCTGATTTTTCCTGCACATATAACGATTTCCGGAACGCTTTTCGTGAGCTTCTCAGCTCAGTTTAATTTCTCAACATACACGAGTAGATCACTCGTCACACATAAAAGGAAGCAAACACTTTGATTTATTCCGACATCGAACACAAGATAGCTAATTGTCTTTGCTCCATTCCCTTCCAGCCTCTCGACAAAACCTCCATTTCCTGGTGGGCCAGTGCGTCATATCAGTAAGTGGGACCGGTGCGACTGTGGTCGATGCATACCTCAAGGCTTACTTGGTCAACTGGGTCAGTTTAATGTCCTGAGCAACGAGCTGATCGGCATGGCGCAGGTTGAGAGTGATGGTGTCTGTGCCGCGGGAGGCGTCAAACCAATAGTAGGCCTTGTTGTCGAGGTCTCGGATGATGAACTTCTTGACGTCAGAGTCAGACGCTTTGAGAACGTATTTGGTTGTAAGGTCGAAGGGGCGCTTGTCGACTCCGGATGCATCCTTGGTGAAAGTCGAAAAAACAAGTACGCCACCGCGCTCGACCCATCCGTCAAGGAGAACAACAAAGATGTTCTCGTTAGAGGCGTAGGGCGAGTAGTTGAACTTTCCTGTGAAAACCAGGGACATGACGCACAACTGCGGGGACATATAGTCAATGTCTCCAGGATGGCGATTCGCTTCGTACCTTGTATTCTTAAGAGGTTGAGGGGTAGTAGTGTTGTTGGATATCTGGTTGAGTATTATTTCGTGCCTCCCTTCTCTTTTATATCTCTTCAGTTTGTTTGTAGCTTTGTTGTACATGTAACACTTTCCACCCCAGACGCGGCGACTATTGCTCCAACTGCACTAAGACCAATCACATATGGCGTATTATGTCGTAAGTGTGGTGAGATACATTGGAGAAACCACACCCTTGGGCGAATCTTACCGCTTCAAATGGAGATACGTAGAGAGGATTCACTCTTTATCAGATCGTCTTTAGAAATCTGGGGTTCTTGATCAGTGTGTCATGAGGACTCGATTTTTGCCTAAGCCTGTATTGCCGTCTACATTGTGAGCTAAATTTAGCAACAGTGCGAGTGTCACGTCATGCCGATTGAAGCGCGTACTGTCACGCCTTGAACGTTTGGACGTTTGCACCACTTTTATTGTTAACACCATAAATCGTCATTTAGCGACAGACTGAAGGAATTTCGCTTGCACAAGTTCGAAGAGATTGTCAGGATACATGCCGAGATTTCAGATCCTTTGCAATATCTGCCAAGAGCATTTGCCCCTTCAAAGGGTCTTGTTCTTGGAATGTGGTGTGTGTTTTCAACGTCAAACTGACATCGTCAATGGAGTTGAGGCGCTCACAGGACATGGCTTCTGTAAAGAATGTCTGGACGAGAATGCCAGAACCGCAAGATCAGTTGATAACGAAGCTAGTTGTGGCTCATGTCGGGCGCTCATTGGCGATCACGAGCCACACCCCATATTCGCCACATTCGTGGAATACTCAGTGGAGGAAAGAGCTGACTACGTTGTAAAAGGTCTAGATAAAATTGATGAAACGTCACCTGCAAGTAGCGTGGAGAAGGCGGGACGCAAGATTCGAGAGGTGGAGAAAATACTCCAACTGGACGCAACAACTTCGGTACGTGCGTGGCCCGTGACACATTCAAATCCACAAATTGACGTGCTATGGGAAAAGTCTGAAGAAACTTCTGCAGGCTGCGCAGACACTTGACAAACGTGTGGCGCCCTTATTTGTGGAGCTGGAGCGTATCAAGAAAGATAATGAAATCATGCGAGATGCATTGAAAGAGGCCAAGATCGATCTTGAAGTTACAGAGCTATTGCAACGACATGTGGATGAGTTGAGCCAACTACTTCACGAGGCGCAAAAAAGTCTTGCTTCCGAAAAGGAGGAAAACAACCGGTTGGTGACAGCTTCACGAAGGCAAGCAGACCAAAGGACGTTAGAATTCGAGAGTTCAAGAATACTGGGGTTCAACCGCGATGTCTTCTGGTAAAAAATCCCCACTGCCCACGCTTAGCACTCGCCTCTCCAACATTGCCACCCACATGCTTCAATGGGGCGGCTCGTTGCTGTTGACATTCACCAATCATCTGCTTCTCTAACAACTACCAAGGTACGTTCAACCCTAAGAACGAAGGCGGTCATCTCATCTGTATTGGCAAAATTCAAACAGCATCACACATGCGGCAGGATGGGCAGTTGGCGTTTGACTTGCAGGATGTCGTTGGGACCTATACGGCCAATGGGCAGCGTGCGTTCCTTTCTTCCTCTCACGTTAAACAGGTAAACACCCCCTTTCTTAGCGCTAACGTGATCAATGCCCGACCTACTCAATACGCCACCGCCATACCAAGTCCACGTCCCAGCATCGTCAAATTGTCAAACGTACCACTCAACTGATATACTCCTCGCGGCTAGCTCGACGGTGCGTGGGTTTCTGGTTCCCTTGTTGTGATTCTACCTTTTTTTTTTTTCCTTTTCGTAGACCGCATCGGGGCTTTCTGCGACAGGTTCCACTTCGAAATCGGGTTCTGCGGCGTTTACATGCTTGCGGAAGAATTTTGCAAAGTCTGCGCTAAGAGATCCTCGAGAAGGTTGGGGAATCCAGACGGCCGACATACGAAGATATCAGGGATATGAAGTATCTGCGCGGTTATCAATGGTACGTAATTTCTTTCACAGTTCCTGTTCTCGTCAATTCTCAACTTTGCTACCTTATAGAAACCATAGGCTTTGTCCGGCAGTGTGAGCCACCTTGTTCTGCTCATAGTTGAACAAGACTGACTCATTCAATATTAGGTTTGGCACTCGACTCCGCCTTCAAACTGACCCCTAACACTTTGGACAGGACCACCTCAAGACCCGTCATCTTTCCTGCCAAGAATGGTGCCGGACCCTCCCTTTCAAAGCCGGCCCACGGATATGCTTGAGGCGGCAGGTAGGTTCTCTCTCTGCTCAAGAACTCACTAACATTAACGATGTTCTTGAGTTCATGTCTCCTTTACTGCCATCGCCGCCAAGAAGCTCGGCCTCGTCAAATCCATTTTTGCCTTAGGTGTGTGGGACGTTGATGAGTGTGACCATTTAGGCCAACCTCGCTCCATGTAGCCATCATGTTGACTAGCTGTTTTAGTTCCCCACCGTCTCCACTGTCCTCCTTTGACATTGACACCCCTTACAAGTAAGTTTACCACTCCCGAATGCCCATATCTTGGACTAGCACAGTCATGTTCATCTAGCCATCTACCACCATCCTACCTCTACAGCGGGCACCACTTTCCGCCTTCCCAACGAGAGCCGGCATATGATTTTAGTGCATCTATGGTACAATAAGATGTGTGGTCTCAATGTCTTTGAGGGCTTTAGATCTTTCCAAAGACTACAAAAACGCCCAAAGATTACACTCATGTTTTCTTGATGCTTCAACCTCATCCCAGTGGGAGTTCTTCATAATACCTTGTGGACGTTGTACCGGCCTCCATCTCTGTCTCAAAAAGATACCCTTCCCGTCCTAATTCCTACCGCCCATCATTTGCGACGACTGCGGGTGCATTTGCGGCTTTAACGTCGCTAGCAACTTCGAGTCTAGAGTTGTTTCGATTTTCCTCCATGGGGGAGAATCATAGATGCTCACTCATTGTGGCACGCAGTAACGGCTCCATTCGCCTTTTACTGGTACAGATTCCTGGTGGACGATTCTCTTGATCTCAGCTGGCGTGCGCACCGCGCATAGTGTTTCTTCTTGGAGTGTTACCCTCTGTAATCTCGTCAGCCAGGAATTAAATCATAGTTCCAAAACAATGAGGCCAATTCAGATTGCTACTCCAACGCCTGATTTTCCCTGCACAATTAACAGTTTCCGGAAGGCTTCTCGTGAGCTTCTCAGCTCAATTTAATTCCTCAATACTCGAGTAGATCACTCGTCACACATTGAAGGATGCAAACACTTTGATCTATTCCGACATCGAACACAAGATAGCTAATTGTCCTTGCTCCATTCCCTTCCAGCCTGTCGACAAAATCTCCATTTCCTGGTGGGCCAGTGCATCATATCAGCAAGTGGGACCAGTGCGAATGTGTTCGATGCGTACCTCAAGGCTTACGCGTTTAATTTGGTCAGTTCAATGCCCTCAGTAATGAGCCGATCGCCATGGTTGAGGTTGAGAGTGATGGTGTCTGTGCCCCGGGTGGCGTTGAACCAATAGAAGGCCTCGTTGTTGAGGTCTCGGATGGCGAACGCCTTGACGTCAGAGTCGGACGATCTGAGAACGTATTGGGTGGTAAGGTCAAAGGGGCGCTTCTCGACTCCAGCATCATCCTTGGTGAAGGTCGAAAAAACAAGTACGCCACCGCGCTCAACCCAATCCTCAAGGAGAACAACGAAGATGTTCTCGTTGATGGCGTAGCTCTCGGTGTTGAATTTTCCTGTGTAAACTAACATGGCTCACGACTGTGGGGAAGTATAGTCAACGCCTCTAGTATAGCGATTCGCTTCGTACCTTGTATGTTTGAGAGGTTGAGGGGCGGTAGTGTGTTGGATATCTGGTTGAGTATTATGTGCGTGCCGCGCTTCTCTTTTATATCCCTTCAAGTTGTTTGTAGCTTTGTTATACTTACACGTAACACTTTCCACCCCAGACGCGACGACTATTGCTTCCAATCGCACTATGGCCAATCGCATGTGGCGCCTGTCATAGTAAGTGTGGTGTACTCAGGAGAAACCACATCCTTGGGTGAATCTTACCAGTAGAGACGGTATTCGGATGGGTAGATCGCTATTTATCAGATTGAGGTTATCAGTGTGTCATGAGGACTCAACTTTTGCCCAATCCTGTATGGTTGTCAGTTAACGATTTTTTGTGGGCTAAATTTAGAAAGATTGTGTCACATCATGCCCATTGAAACACGTCCTGTCACGCCTTGAAGCTATGTAACCACTTTTATTGTTATCACCATAGATCGTCAACTGAAGGAATTCAGGAAACGTTATCGAAGAGATTGTTAGGATACATGCCAAGATTCCAGGTCCTTTGCAATATCTGCCAAGAGCATCTACCCCTTCAAAGAATCCTATTCTTGAAATGTGGTGTGTGTCTTCAAAGTCAAACTGTGATCGTTAATGGAGTCGAAACGTCTTGAAACGTTCACAGGACATGGCTTCTGTAAAGAATGTCTGGACGAGAATGCCAGAACCGCAAGATCAGTTGATAACGAAGCTAGTTGTGGCTCATGTCGGGCGATCATTGGCGATCACGAGCCACACCCCATATTCGCCACATTCGTGGAATACTCAGTGGAGGAAAGAGCTCACCACGTTATAAACGGTTTAGATAACATTGATGAAACGTCACCTGCAAATAGCGTGAAGAAGGCAGGACGGAAGATTCGAGAGGTGGAGAAAATACTGCAGACGGACGCAACAACTTCGGTAGGTATGTGGCCCATGACACACTCAAATTCGCGAACTGACGTACCACGGAAAAACTCAGAAGAAACTTCTACAGGCTGCGCAGACACTTGACCAACGTGTGACGCCACTATTTGCGGAGCTAGAGCGTATCAAGAAAGATAATGAAATCATGCGAGATGCCTTGAAAGAATCAAAGGTTGATCTTGAAGTTACAGAGCTATTGCAACGAGATATGGATGAATTGAGCCAACTACTTCACGAGGCGCAAAAAAAACTTGCTTCCGAAGAGGAGGAAAACAACTGGTTGGTGATAGCTTCACGAAGGCAAGCAGCTCAGATTGCGGAAAAGGATGTTAGAATTCGGGAGTTGGAAGGTTTGGTTGAAAAACAGGAGAAAAAGGTATTCCATTTAACAGGGGCGCTTCCCAACGAGGGGGTTCATTTCTTTATCAGATGAAGCTCCAGGCGACGAAGCTAAAGGCATTAAGTGGGAAAACCAAGCATCCCGGCGAGTCTGTTCAAGATCCAGATGCGTCATTGCAGATTGTGCAACCTCCAACTAATGTGGTATGCTTTCTTACTTCGTCACATATTTTGGTTTGAAACGGCTGGCATGGCCCATCAGGTGTGCTGAACGTGGATACGTCCAAGTGAACGACAACCGTCATGAAAGGCAGCAAGCTAGCCAGCTCTTTGACGGTATGGTAGTATATATCCCTGATGAAACAAGCGGTGAAATTGAAGGACTTGTTCCCTTACTATGTACAATTTTATATATGTCGATTATAATAGAGAGTCTATACTACTTGCTCTGAGTATTGGTTTAATTTTACAAGCCGAGCATCGCCAACGTGACATCCCGAACATGACCGTCAAAGTGATCATATCCAATGAAACCAAGGTGTCCCTGTCCAACATCCGCAAAAACAACGCTCGACTGGTAGTTGTTCGTCCGGGAGTTCCAGTATGAGGCACTTTCGGGTCTATACACAGCCATGGTGGGTTCTATTCCCGCAAGGGCCACTTTGCCCTCATCGGTAGCCTCAGAAAAATCCTGGTGCTTCTTCGTGAGCTGGTTTTGTGGGTTTTTGACCAGCTCCGTAGAACCTGGGTTCACGAGGTCCCAAGAGAAGCCCCATGATTCAAAGAAAAACTGTTTCGCCTCAACCATGTCGAGACCAACGGAGAATAACCCCGCAAAAATAACATTTCCACCAGCCTTGGAGTACTCTGCGATCTTGGATAGGATGTACGCATTATTGGGGTCGGCAATTGCTGGACTTGTTACTAGGATGCCTACGAGGTCAGGTGAAGGCATAAGTTCCACCATCCGTTCATTCGATAGATCGCGGACAACCTCGACCCTGCGCCGCAACTCGGCAAAGAAGTTGGAAAAGATGTCCTCCGTGATCTTGGTTAATCCGAACGAAAGAACCATCACAAACTTGCGCGACGACGGCCCCGCAATTGGTGGCGGAGGGTCAAGAAGATCGAGGAGAGCAAGAACCACTTCGGTCGATTCGTCCTCGCCGTTGACATCGCCAACATAACCCAAGTATCCGTTTCCGACACGCGTCCGCAGAACAGGGGATTCAAAACCAGGCGTGGCTGGTTTCGTAAAGACATTAAAGTCATCGTCATCGTCATCCCATAGATCACCACCCTGCATGTAAACAACGTCCGAAGGGCGAATAGACTCGATGTTGACCGCTTTCATGCTGTAAGACTCTGGCAACGAGGGGTTCCGCTTCCCGGTTTCACTAGTCCAAACCGCGTCAAATTCGTTCCAGCCATAAGACCCTCTCTTCCAACTCAACCCAAAGGCAGAAAAGAACTTGGACATTTCCGGATTGGACGCCATGGAGGGAAACATGCCTCCAACAACAAGTGTGCCCCCTGACTTGGTGAACTCAACCACTTTTGTCAAGACGCGTGCGTTTGTCGACTTGATGATGCCTGCGTCGGCCACATATATCGCCCTAAGATCTGGAGATTGAAGAAGTTGTAGAGCTTGAGCTGAGGTCGAAGCAGTCTTGACTTCGTCGTTGTCTTTCAAAGTTGAGACCTGTTCTTCATGGATACGATGGAATACCTCCTCGTCTTCGAGAGTGATAATGAGGGTGAACTTTTTAGGAGATGGCGATGACCCAGAGCTGCTTGAAGCCTTCCCTGTATTCTCCTCTGTCTTGATAGCTGTAGTTGGTGGTTCCGGTGGAGCCAGTGGTATGTTTGAGGTGTCCAGAAAGCCAAGCATGGCAAGAAGTGTATTTGTAGAGCATATTTCGCCATTGACGTCGCCAAGAAACCCAAGATATCCCTGTCCAACACGTGTGCACACCGCCGGAGCTTCAAGCGAGTTTTCTATTTTAACTGGTGCGAAAACTAGAGACTCAAGTCGAGACTCTTCATTGGGTTTGTACATCGCCATCTCCGGGGAGATGCCACCGAGATGAAGCGTCTTCATACTATAGGCATTCGCTAGCGACGGGTTCCTGGCCGCAACCTCATTTAACGGGTTGAGGGCGAACGTAGTGCGGTGGTAAGCACCGTATGTCCAATTGAGGCCAAATGTTTGGCGGAAAAAGGCTTCCATTTCGCGACCAGAAACAAATGAGGCAAAGTTGCCTCCAATGGCAGCCGAGCCGCCCGACTTGACGTACTCCGCGAGCTTTGTGGCAGCCTTTTTGTTTTTGCGCTTGACGATTCCGGGATCCGTAACAAAGACAGCTGCAAGGTCAGGCGACGAGAGCAGAGAGAGAGCCTCGGTAAGGGACTTTGCTTGAACAACTTTGACCTTTGCACGAATGGCTTTGAGGAAATGCTCTTGTATGCTAGAGAAGAATTCCTGATTTTCAAGGGATAGCAACAGGACAAAGCGACTAGATGCTTGAATCGTAGATTTCGCGGGGGACTTTGCCTTTTGCTCGGCCTTGCTGACGAGAACGCCATTCTCTTTTATGTGCTTCGCGATTATCTTCCGACTTGCACGTCCTGCCACCCCGTGGACACCAGGCAGGTGACGAACGAGGGTGTTGAAAACCCCAACATCAGTGGTCTCCCGTTCTGCAAACGCGAAGATTTCCCTTGCAGACGCAACTTGCTCTGGGTCATGCCACCAGCCATTCGAAGGCATGGCCGGTGACGCCTTCGTGTGCGAATAGACGCATCTAGTGGCACCAAATTTACACGTTCCAAGCAAGTCTTTGAGGCAAACATTCTTCCCACTACCATGCAGAAGGATAGTAAGAATTAACACTGTAGGCCAATGTATAACTCACAGATCATCACGAACGCTTTTGTTGTCAGGTGCGTGGGAGTAGGCACAGTTCTCTCCCCTGTTACATTCAAGTCTGTTATAAAAGCGGCAAGGAATCCCGTTGCCAATGTGGTTGCAATCTTCTGAGTCAGAGTCCGAGAGTAAATCCCACGCTTCACCATCGTAATATGGCCAGTTGAGTTCGTCGAATGAATATCCATCTCCAACGTCTCCCTCAGAATCCGTGAGTTTCTCAATGGCTTCCAGTTCGTTACGAGCCTCAGAGCAGCCAGGATCCCGTGCTACAACTACCTCGAGGTCTGCGCCAACGTTACCGCATGTATAATGGGTGACGACGATAAGATCACGTACCAGCCATTGCAGCTCTAAACTGTTTCATTGCCTTCCTGGCCAGCGCTCTCCGAAACCTAGCCTTGATCATCCGAGGATCGAATTGAAGAGCAGTTGTCGCCGCCCATGCGACCTCTTCGTATCTTTCTTAACCAGTCAATTCTGAACAAAGAAACGTCGTTGAAATGACAAACAGCTCAAGTTTCATATACGCTGCCGCTAAGTTGGACATTAGAACAGGCCGTGGACCAAAGAGCTCGACAGCCTGGGCGTAAACGCGAGATGCGCCTTTATAGTCGCCGTCCTTAAACAGGCGGTTTCCCTTCGAGTAAAACGTAAGACTACGTGTATGAAAGTCATTCATTTAACAACTCACGTCGTTTTTTAGCTTCTCTGCCTTTTCCCGACGTTGGGCAGAGTTGATGGCACGTTGTTCTTTGCGTTTTGCGAGGTCGCTTGGGACTCCATCTAGTATCGTTTCCTCCTCGTCCACGAACGCAAAGCCAGTAAATTCCATCGAAGACTTGGTCAAATAACTTGGTGTTCCCCGGCGTCAACTTAGGAAATGGACAATGAAGGGGGTAGAATGCTCCAGCTTTTTGAGAGGTTTAATATATGTCAGTTACGTAATCACAACTTCCGGCTCTGGTGCCATGTCTGGGACACCTTATGTCCATATATAGACATAATTTATGTCTATATTGAGACATGTCCAAAAAAAGACATAAGGTCGTCCAAAAACAGACATAAGCCATCAATCTCACACCCACGCCCAAATTTCATTGATTATTGTTCATAATGACATAAGTGATTGTAAACCTTTCCGAACCTTGATGAGGACTACTCCACTGCGCTCAGTATTGACGATCGCAGGTTCGGATTCTAGTGGAGGCGCTGGAATACAGGTACGTAGCGTCACCAGGCAGCGACGCGAAGCGTAACTATCCCCCTCTGCATTGACAGGCCGACCTCAAAACGTTCGCGGCTCACGGATGCTACGGAGCAAGTGTGATAACGGCCCTCACAGCCCAAAACACCCAAGGAGTACACGGGGTGCATCCGTGTCCTCCAGAATTTGTTGCCCAGCAAGTCAGTCCGCATGCGTTACTCCGATCCTTCCGACACCCACAGGTTAAATAATTGCAAAGATACACTCTGTACTAGAGGACCTCGAAATCAATGCGATCAAGACTGGCATGCTGTATGACGTTGAAAACACCAAACAGGTAGTCAAATCGCTGAAGGCTCACTACAAGAACAAGGCTTTACCTCCCTTGATTTGTGATCCCGTTTGCGTATCAACGTCCGGACACACACTTCTCCATCCCGAGGCTGTAGAGATATTGATTGACGAGCTCTTTCCTCTGGCTACTCTAATCACTCCAAACAAAGCGGAGGCTGAGCTGCTCTTGTCCTCCCGGAACCCGTTTGTGGACATCACGAGTCTGGAAGACATGCTATCTGCTACCGAGCAGTTACTGTCATTTGGATGCGCGGCCGTTCTCCTCAAGGGTGGTCATATCACATCGACGATGACAGACGTCATTCGCATTTCTAGTGGGCATCCTGGTATCAATATCGTTCGTCTGGGACTATACGACGAGAATATGGAGATTCTTCAGACCGGCATTAACGTGGCTGACCATCCTGAGCTGGTCGTTGATGTGTTGTACCAATCCAATGGGAAGAAGTCGTTGTTTGTCATGCCGAGAATCGAATCGACGAGTACTCATGGGACAGGATGTACGCTGAGCTCAGCCATTGCATGCGAACTCGCTTGTGGCCTCAGCTGTAAGTCGAATGATTGCATTGCTTGTTTAACTTGATTTCATATATCTGAAGTGGAAGAGGCAACCAAGAATGCTGCTATATTCACACACATGGGAATCGAGGCTGCCCATCCGATGGGCAAAGGGCATGGGCCTCTCAACCACCTCCATTCACTGACAACTTTGAAAATTCCTCAGTGCGTTTCGCCTGGCTTACAGGTTATTCTACTGACCTAGATAATGATATAGGCGAACACTTTGTAACCCATACCCATTTACACGGATGCTGATCCAAAGCACGGCTGAGCTTTGGAAAGAATACGTCGAACACGACTTTGTGAAACGACTGGGTAGGGGAGTCCTTGAGATTGAGGCCTTCTCTCATTTCATCAGGTACGCCACAAATCTGCACCATACCTTCGAATGTGAATACCTGACGAAACGACCAAGGCAAGACTATCATTATCTGAAGTATTATGCTCGCGCATATGGGTGCGTACCTCACGAAAGAGATCAGATAAAATGTTCAGGGAAAAATGGGCAGTCTCTTATCAGCCAAGTCAACTTCGTTCATGGGGATTGAAAGTTCAGCACAGGCCATCCTTAACATCCTACAAGAAATCCAAACTCACAGAACCCTCTGCGAGTCATTTAGTACAGATTCTCAAGAACTGGAAAACACACCGGAAGCAACCACAACTATAGCGTACGGGTCGTACTTGATGACGGTTGGTCTGGAAGGTCGGTGATTGTTGTCGATAAGCATCATCAGTGCTGACTTTGACCCCATAGGCGACGCAGCAAAGTTGCTGTTGGCGTTGATGGCGTGTTTGTTAGGCTATGGAGAGGTAGGGCTTTGGCTCGCGAAAGAAGCATCCAAAGAGAACAGCTGGGTTGTGATAGAAGGAAACCCATACAAAGAGTGGATTGAGGTATATGCAGGCCAGCAGTATCAGAATGCAGTTAAGATTGGATTAGGTGCGGAATTCCGTCATCATTGTCAACTGAAAGTTGACGAGGGCAACGCAGAAGCAATCGAAAATTTGGCTATCGCTGATCCCCCGTCTCCTGCGAGATTGAAGGAGTGGCGGAGTGTTTGGGAGCAATGTACCCGCTTGGAGAGAGCTTTCTGGGATATGGCCATGGATGCGCGCAAATAGATGATATTAGTAGGATATATAACGTGTTATGAGTTTCACGACTGCCACGGTGATCAAGGAGAATTGTCATCAAGGAATGCCTTTGTCTCCTCGACTTCCAGAGCTACCTCGATGCGCGGAGGAGAGTCTTCTACGACTACTGCTTTGCGTTTCTTTGATTTTACAGCTTCAACTTTGCGTGCACTCGGACATAGCTGCTTGGTGCTCAGAGCGCATGAGTCACATTTTGGACCCACAGGAAGGCAAACAACCTTACTTTTCGATAAGCCGCGAGGATGAAGGGTACGAAGATAGATAAACTTACTTGGCCAAAACCAACGAGCATGTGGTTTATCTCTCGGTGTAGCTCTTTGGGCAGCCATGACTGTAGGTTCAATCTGTAAACTTTGAGCGGAGAGAAGAGACCGGAGCGGAGAGATTCCACCTTGTCTCCTCCGGGTTCTTCGTTGGCTTCTTATGCCACCCTAAGCGATTCGTTATTCGATGCACGTGAACATCGACACCAATACCATGGTTCCTGTGCACCATTAATAAACGCCAGTGTAGGGCACGGGAAATCATACAAATCCCAGGCAACCTGAAGAGCAAGAAAGGCCATTTTGGGACCAACACCTGGCAATGAGCATAACTCGTCCACAGTTTTGGGAACGTCTGAATCAAACTCATCCCGAAGCCGTTGCGCAGCACGCTGTAGATAACTGAGGGAGTCAGTTATGTGCCGCATACGCGAGAACGAAAAAAACGGACTCAGTCTTCCGACGCCAGAATCCTACTTTCGCTATAGCCTCGGATATGACTGAGGGTTCCGCTTCAATCATGGCGTCGACCGTCAAGCTACCCCCAAGGGCTTCTCTGAGCTTGGATACCGCCGCATCTGTCACTTCGTCCTTAGTCTGGGAAGATAACATAAGGGAAACGAGAGTAGCGAAACGTCGACTCTGCAAGAAGAATTGAATATAGCTCGCGAATACGATAAAATTGAATCGCACCTTGGGGTCAGACTCCTTGAACTGAGCCTGGTCGCAGCCCATAGTGTCTACGGGTGCCACGAAATTAGACCGCATTTCCTTGATTGTATCATAAGTCTCCTTCCATCTTTCTGGTTCAGGATGAGGTGTCTTCAAAGCTTGGGGTATCGGTTTCGCTTTCACAGGAGACTTTGCTGGTGAAGAAGACTTGGAAATGGATACCGTCCTCTTCGGTGTATCTTGGACGAGTTTGAAATCCTCGAGGTCAGGGAGTATCTCTAACTTCTGCTCGACCTTGACGCGTTTTGAACGTCGGAGTGGCTCCTCAATTTCCTCAGCTTTGATTTCATAAAGTGTGACTGAAGGATGGAATTCACTTGCGCGTCCTGCGATTCGGCGAGACGAAGAAGCCGTTGCGTTTCGCGTCGACATGATAATACGGTGCAAAATAAAGGGCCGAATGTTGGAGTTTACTGTAGCTGTGATATCAGTTTTGTCTGCGTCAATGAAGGTACTGAGGGAAAGCACATTCAATGTTCGACGGACTCGGAATTGCACATGACCGCACAAGGGTCAGTGCTTTCTTTGGACTTCCATGCTGATCTTGAATGAACGAAACGTAAGTACACCTTCAACCAACCTTCAACTTGCTTGAAAAGCGACGGTGTTGGCATGCTCAATAACGTGCGTACCAGTGTCAGCAGGGTTTTTTCTACACTGACGCTAAACAACGGTAGTAGACTCGTTTCGATTCGTTAGTCTAGGAAATCATTCAGACTTGAGCGTCACCGCTGCCCTTCAACCTCAGAGTTTCGTACCCGTCAAACTCCCGGTATATGAACTCATAGCTATACGTCGCATAGGTCCCTTCCAACTTCACCGAGCAGCTGAGGACGAATATGTCCTCTGAATCACCAACATATGACAGCAGTTTGGGCAGATTTTCCCTCGTATCGCTCTCCGTGAAAAATCTCTTGTCCACGACTTTCTCCACAAACTCTTTCCTATGTTCTTCAAAAATCAATCGCATCTTCACCTTTGTTCCGACGGGCATCCCATCCGGTCCCTTCTGATAAGTTGCGTTATACGGCATCGGGTAATACATCCTCTCCTCGACCACAGGTAGCGCCTCTATAAAATCGATCGCCTCATAGAGCTCCTGGAAGGTGGAGAAAAAGAACTCCATGCAACCCTTGAAGCCGTTCTGTTTGGCAAGGGTGTATTCATCGAAGAGGGTTCGCGAGTAACTCGGCAGGCCTCGGATCAGCCACAGAAACCGAGTCATTTTCTTCTTCACGTCAATGAGAGAGGTCGCGTTATTCTGCTTTGCGGTTTCGGCCCAGTTTTTGCAAAATGCTTTGTGAATTTTCCAATGCGCTCGCTGACATTCCTGGTAACGAATCTCATTAGTACATACAGTGGCATAGACAAGTCGAGGGATTATATGAAGGCTCGCCTTGCTGCAATATCGCGCTGTGCTTGGAGAAACATGAAGATTTTGATAATTTTTAAAAAGCGAGGGCCTACCCGCAATTACCGCATTTTAATGGCGCCTTGTAACCAACCTTGTGCGCGTTCTGGCATTCCATGAAGTAGCAACACACAATGTTTACGCCGATATCGGGAGGCATGTCTGTGGAAAGTTGGTGGAAAGTTAAGTTACGAGAGGGGTTTCTGCAGCTTCAAATACCTGTGGATGGGCTTTGGGGTGGCTTATCGACGAGCTGTAACCGTGGCAGCCCACATCGTGGATGATCATCGTCCCTGCGTTACTTACATATTACGTATATATATACCTCGAGGCTTGAAGCTTGAAGCTTGAGCTTCGAAATGGAATGCCGCCTGGAATAGAATGTTCGTCTACATACTAAGCACAAGCGGGGGAACTTGGAGTCTATGTCCCGGTTATTCTCGTGGAAACCAGTAGACAACATAAGGAAGTGCATTTCATCTTCTCCATAGGTCAAAACTATGTGTATCGGAATTGGCCTGGGGTATATGTAAATCAAAGATCAGCAACGAAAACCTCCACCCTTCATGTGGGCATATTACGATTTGACCAAAGCTACAGTCTGGACCAAGTCTGGACCGCGCCCCTTCAATTCTTCGATGTACCAATGCAGACCCTGAATTACCTGGGTTACACCTGGGGTGGGTGTGCGAGCTCGTCCAACACTGTACTCCACTAGTGACAAGGCCGCTGGGCGACATAGAGGGACTTGAACATTTAAGTTCTGCATCATATAAACTGGTCACCGGGTCACGATTCGGCCCATCACAGATACTAAGGTATTTCGTCAACGTCGTTTGGCTTTGAATCCGATGCAGAAGTTTGAGAGAGAACAGGGAACCATGGGTGGACTTGTGGATCCCACTTCAACGTCTTGGCGTTGAACGAATCAAGTTCTTTTGTTGAGCCAGGTAGTCCGCTGAGGTTGGCACACGCATCGGCAAGGTTCCGTACAAACTTCGACATCGTTAGAAAAGGAGGCATCTCACGTTGAACACAACACTCTCACTTGTGTTCGTTCTTTCTCCCAATAACTTGCCCAGCCGCCAAAACTTTGTGACCGAAGGAGCTCCGACAGGATTACAAGAGCAAATTGTATTGATTCCGCCGGTGATGTGCGCTCCTCTCCCTGCGGCAATGTGTTGGAAGAGATTGATAGAAACTGGGTTGCAAACGCACCTCCAAAATCTCGGCACAGGCCTGCATGAACTCATGCAGTGCAGGCTGAGCAACCACCGGTGCGTTGATGTTTTCGTATTCTGGTCTAAAGGCCCATTTGTAGCGTCTATAGAAATTGGGTCGCATGCGTTCCCATTCGAAGGACATCAAGGGGATGGAAACCTACGGGTAGCGAAATGTGTCATCATGTTCAAAACCAATTGATCAGTGAACTAACCATAAACAAGGCCGCCGTCATTGATTGTAGCGCTGTGAGAAGCTGGCTTTGATAGGTGAGCTCTCTGTATGCATTGGATTCTGTCGTATCGTCAACGCAGGTGAGATGAAGTCATGATTGAAACAAACCCTTCGGCACAACGGCAAACAAGTTATCAATGCAAGTGAGATGGACGTCCAGCATTTGCGTCGCATACCAGTACGCAAAAGGTCGTTCTTCCGGAACGTATAACTCCAATTGAAATCCGGAAAGGACGACCTCCCGCAGAGAAGCAAGCCGCCAACATAGCGCCACGTAGGGAAGCTTCGTCAGGATGTGATTCTGGGGAAGAGCCTAAAGTACTCCGTCAGCTTTACGGCATGGAACACTAGAGGTGCAACCGTTCACATCTATATCGATTTCATCCGTAACTTCCAACATCGAATCATACAAGACATGCCAATCAACAAGTGACTTCATGAGATGTCGTCGCTGCCGTGGCGGGTTAAACCAGAGGGCTCTGATGTGAGGAGTGATTAGCTACCAACGGGAAAACAGGATATTGAGCCAGCAGACAGATGTGCTGGGGAGGGAGGAACCTACCTTGTAAAAACATCGCTCCACCTTTTGCAAAGGCGGAGGGGTTTTACCCCGCCATTCCTCATTGATGCTGTCCGTGATGGAGGAGAATGTCACACCGACAGATTCGAAGAAAAAGCGATCGATAAGCCAGTGGAATGAGTATTTGCTCAACACAAGCAGGCCGTCGTAGAAGGTGGACTGCGGCGGGGACATCAGATACAAGCCAGCTCGTCAGTCAAGATGGTGACGGACCTGGGTGAGAGAACGGATGTATGGTGTCTGCAAAGGGGGATTAGAAAGCCAGAGCCTGAGATGCCCCACCGTCTGTTTTAGCTTGGTGTAAGTGAATCATTTACACACGCTAGTAAATTTCCATACCTCCCAGATCGAGATGCTATGGCATTGGGCTAACAGGCTGAGTTCTTGCCATCCATCTAGAAGCCGTCGGATCGTCTCCCAGGTTTGCTTGACGGAAGGTGCGGGGATGAGGCGCATGGGTATGAATGTATTGAGGCGGCGGCCAATATAAGGATCAAACGCGAGGTGTGGTTTTGAACCTTCTTCAAACTCGGGGGAAGGGTGACCTTCAGCGTAGTCCAGATGTTGACGCGCCACTTGCACGAGACGATGATACTGAGCGGGATCTTTGCAGACATCGCTGTGCATGATTTGAAGAATGGTCTGCAACTGGTTTGAGACGGGGATGAAAAGAATAGCTGTGGATCAACAAACCTTGCGCAGAAGGATCCTTGCTCTTAGCGGGGCGTTCCAGGGGGAAACTGCGACCAATGAGATAGTGAGAAGGAGGGGTTATTCTGATTAACCTTGAAAATGGTTTGATAGCCAAGTCGAAGCCTCCTCTAGGAGAGATAACACGAAGTTGACAGGGAGCCCTGACAACAAGGAAATCTCGCATTTGTCACTCTGCCAGTCTTCTGTCTAAAAAAATGGTCAAAGCCTCCTAGACGGACTCGAGAAAAAAAACTGACATCTTGCATACCACCTTTTGATAGCTCTCGCCAAGAGAGATCGCACGATTTCAACAACCCTTGAACCGCAGAACGCAGTACAAGGGTGACGAGTTCTCGTGGGCGGAGAGGGTCACGCCATGAGGTGGAAGGCAAGAGGTCTGGTTCAATGTCCGGAAGATGGTGCACGTATAAAAACGTGAAAACGGTGTGAGAGAGCAAGTTCCCTGCATGAAATTCCGTCTGGATGAATACGTGAGCTAAAGACACAGATTAAGCGTCGGGCCAACCTCGTATGAAAATGATCTGTCCAGTATCCAGCATAGTTCCTCTGGTAGTAGTGGTGTAAGGGGATCAAATGGGGGACGGCGCTCCTCTTCCAGGACAAGTCCGGAATCAAGTCTCGGTTCCCCTATCTAGGACGAAATTTGTGGCTTCATTTTGTTTTCCTATCAAAAACAAAGTCACCTCCAATGCGCACATCGCATCTTGCAGCGTAAATCCTTCCATAAACATCATGCTGTCTGGCTCCATGTCTTCAAATGGATAGTTGACTATGAACATCCCTCACTCCATACTTCACGATATAACAACGCACCAGCTGCAGCGTCCGTGAGCAAGCTAGTTACGTCGCAGAATCGGAGGGCGTCTCCTGGAAGTTCAAAAGTGCCTGTTCCATCTTCCATAGTTCTGTCAGCAGACTAGTAGGGCCAAGACAGCAGATGCAGAAAGACAAGAAACCCAAGTGGAGTGCGCAAGTCAGATGAGGAAATCGGTGGCTGTGCCAGAAAAATGTTCTCCTGTCGTCGCGTCCTTCGTCTTCGACAAGTCCATCTACCACAAAGAGGGTTGAGCACCTCCAATAGCGTCCACAATGACACGAAAAGTGTTCCAAAACGTGGACGCGTCATTTTCTCAGGTATTCAGCCAACAGGCATACCGCATGTAAGTAACACCCAACCTTGGTGGTATCTATCTGACGAGGACCAGCTAGGCAACTACCTAGGAGCACTCTCGAATTGGGTCAAGCTCCAGCGGAATGCAGACCCAGAAGACGAACTTTTCTTCTCAATCGTCGGATGGCATGCCTTAACTCTCCCTCAAGATCCTCAGGAACTCTCCGCATCACGCATGAACATGCTTGCTACGTTGCTGGCAATCGGAATCGACCCCAAGCGCTCGGTAGTATTTCATCAAGATGATGTGAGCAACACACCATGCCCGTTGCTTTAAACTGACGAGACTGTCAAGAATCAATGTCATACAGAATTGGCTTGGATCTTGAGCTGTGTCACGCCAATAGGGAAGCTACGGCGGATGACAACCTGGAAGGTAGCTGTTCCCATGGATTGTACCCCTCGATTGTCAGAATTAACTGAGGGGGTTATAGTCGCGCTTAGCCGATTCTAGAAACGCTGGATCCGACTCCGAAGTCGACGAGTCTTTGTTAAACGCGGGACTATTCACATATCCCATCTTACAAGCAGCCGACATAATGGCATACAGAGCTACTCACATTCCCGTCGGCGAAGATCAAACACAACACTTGGAACTCTCACGTGAACTCGCGAACATCTTCAATCGGACTTTCGCAGCGAGAAAGCGCTTCTTTCCGATTCCTACACAAGTCAACAGTACGTTTATGTTTGAGGAGCATCTCCAACCATGCTGAAATTCCGTGTAGCTCCGTCTAGACGAATACTCTCCCTCAGAGACCCCACATCCAAGATGTCCAAGTCCTCACCTGATGTTCAATCTCGGATCCTGCTCACCGATTCCACATCAAAAATCAAATCCAAGATTCAAGCATCTGTGACAGACTCTATCCTCGGAGTGACGTACGACCCCGTCAATAGACCAGGGACCTCAAATCTCTTGACTATTCTTGCTGCTTGCACCGACGAGAGCCCAGAGGAAGTGGCGTCAAGATATGAAGGGAAGAGTCATAGGGAGTTGAAGGCTGATACTGCCGACGCCGTCGAGGAGCTACTGAAGGGGCCACGAGAAGACTTTGAGCGGATACGGAACGAGAAGGGATACTTAACAGAGATAGCCAAACAAGGAGCTGACAGGGCTAGGGAACGCTCTAGCGCGACCTTGAAAGAAGTACGAACAATGGTAGGCCTGTCTTAATTACGAGTGTTTTATTTGCATTGCATGCGAAGTCCATCTCGTCTTGCATCTCTCTCTCGAATTTCAGCAGTGCGAATATGGCGCGTTTGTGACTGGTAGCGTCACACCGTGACATTTCGCGCATCTTCGTCGTCAGGCGCTGCTTTGCTGGGTGATATCCAATATCTCTCAAATGTCTTCAGTAATAGCTACCGCTGCTGCCGGAAACATTCTCGCTTGCTACAACCCCGGCTGTTCAAATGCTCACAAACTCAAGTTCAGAGCACCCTTAAAGTGCGCTAACTGCAAGTAAGTTTGATGAGTATAACGATTTTCAGAATTGACCTTGATAAATCCCCTAGAACTGCCCGTTACTGTGACAAGGCAAGCATTTGCTCAGTCGCATTTTATAACGGGGCGGACTCCTGAAGAACATCAACCATCCAGAACTGCCAACGCGCACATTGGAAGGTGCACAAGGAGTTCTGTAACAACTGGGCGGAGACGGCAAAGCGTAACAGCGCAAGCTCTCTCATCGACGTCAAGAAGAAGATGTCGCACTTCCTATGGCTCATCCGTGGACTGCCAGACTACGTGAAAGAGCTGCTCGACGAATATGTCGAGGCCAAACGCGACGGCTTTAGAGGCTGCGTCGAGTTTTATTTTGAGACGTTCCAGGATCTCTTCGACGCGATTGCGCTTATCGAGACGCTTCCCGTGCATGAGGAGAAGATGTATTACCCGATGCCTTATGCACCCACGTTTCAAAAGCGAAGTGATGGGCTTGGTCCTGTGGGAAAGAAGGTGAAGATGCGCTGGATATTTACGGAGCACGAGAAGGAATTTATGAAGAAAGTTCACGATAAGAAAATCCTAACCATCGATCATTCGAGGGAGAACATGAACAAACTTTTGGCGACGATTGTGAAGGATTCTGAAGAGATGTTCTTGCTTTCTTGTGCGGTGAAATTGGAGGGGACGTTTGCAACCCATAGCTATGATTTCATTTACAAGGACCTCAATGGATGGTCGAAGGATTTAATCGAAGAGTTTGAGAGTTGTACACGTAGTAGAACTTGAATTTAATCCAGGTTCAGCCTTGCGTCGCCCTGGCTTTTACCAGCATGTGAAGTTGAGTGCAACGATCGCAAAATGATCCCCTGTGACCCACAACAAAGTCGTCGCTACGCCTCGTGCGTCCTTGATGTCGAATTTCGTCAATGGGTTTTGGTGGGCCGCTTGACCATCACACACGTTGTTGATCAATCCGATTCAATCGAGTCATGACGATTTCTGTGAGTGAATGCCTATCGCTCCCGTGGCTCTAGGTATCTACTTAGAACACATGTCGCTTCCTACTAGATCATTTGCTTTTATCCTCAACATGGCCCGCCGTAGCAGAAGACGCAGGGACCGAAGCCCTTCTCCACAACCCGCGCATAGCAGCTTTGTAGCGCCCATCCTGACGGGAAATCACAGTGATCAGAATAGCTGCCCTCTCTTCTCCCTGATCCCACCAGAGCTACGACACGAAATCTTCGTGCTTGCTCTCACCAGCTATGACGACGAAACACGACCATTCCCACCCACCGCTTATTACACTCGGAAGGGGTACCGTTATCATCAACGCATCCACACTGCCTTACTGGCTACCTGCCTCCGCATTTACAGCGAAACACGCGATCTCCCAATCTCGCTCAATGAACATGTATTTTGGTTCTACCGGGGTCCCGAAGGGCTAAACGGCGACCCCCGTGCCTACTTTTTGGGCTTGACTCCGAGGCAGCGTGATGCAGTGCAGCGCGTTCACTTCTTCACTCAGCTTTACTGGCTTCGCCACGATTTTGCTCGGGTTTGTGCATTGCCAAAAATGCGCCCGAAGCATCTCAAGATTACCATCCGACATTCTGATTGGTGGTGGTGGGAGCATAACGAGAGATTGAGCATGGAAAATCCGGTTTGGGGTAAGAACTTGAAGATGATACAAAGTTTAGAGTCCTTCGAGATTGAAATGGAAACGATGGAAAGAGACAAGGATCAAGTGTGTTTTTTATCTGGTCTTTTCGCTTTGATCTGACTTCTTGGTTCATGACGGTTGGAGGATATTGCACAAGAAATGCTGAAATGGAGATTTGATTTATTCGGCGGTCGGGTTTTGACTACAAATGGCACGGAGATTAAGCGTGGCTGCTGGATCGGCCAATCTTCATTCGGTGGACAATATCGTTACATTGCTGATCGGAACGAGTGGGAGATAATACAGGCATCACCTGTCGCTGAATATGGACCCGAGCCAGGTTTAGCATACCACGTTGTGACGCTGAGGTGGCAGCCTGAGGCTCAGACTACATAGTTGATTTTGGATTTGAGTTTGTTAAACTTTGTTTGCCTTGCCCCTCATAGGAAATGGGGTTGTTGAAGGTGGTCTGGGTTTCTCGGCTATTGTGATCGTCATTCCCCGCCACTAGTCTTGGAACGAAAACACATTGTTTGAAAGCCTCAAAGCAAGACAGAATGGCAGCTCTGTTGTTGAGCGACCGCAGGTCGAAGAGTCGTTCAACAGGTAGTTTCAGCTTGTGCACCGCGGTGGATGGCCAGAATACCGAGCTCTTTCAACTGCTCTCACAGAGCAGCCGAGACGTTGGAGGATCAACTTGGGCTGGTAAAATGCAGGCACGCTACCGTTTAACATGACAATGCCAGGTGGTGTAGTCCTCTGATTTGCGTTGTTGGGGAGGCCAAGCATGAACCGATGCATCATATTGTGGGCCTGAAAAGCGGCGATCGCCCCCGCGATGAGATAACTTTCTGGCTGGCTCAGTCTGCCCAAGATACCTTCGGTCCTCCTGCACGAGAACTTGAAGAATGATGCCCTTGGGATGCACTCGTCTAGGCCGATGACGCAGACTGTACATTGAACGTTATAATTCTAAACCCCACTGGGCCCCACCACCAACACGCAAAACCCCACCTTGACCCCAATACCCCGCCTTCTACACACCTGCCCCCGCTTCCCCTCTATCCCAACCCCAATCATTCGCGCCGGTTCCAGCACTCCAACATACGCAGCTGGATCGACACCTCAAGCCTCTAGCAGGCGGTCCACCCTCACTAGCACTCCTGGTGGCTACTTCGCAGGAAGATCAGTCAAAGGCCTCACACCCAATCCATCGGCAATGTTCCTCCACCCAGGATTCGCCGTATCCCCTCGAAATTCTGGGAGACGTCGCTCTCCCCCGCCTCTACTTACCACCATCCGCAGGAACGGAAGCACAAGAGCATCTACGACCCTCATTCGACGCCCAAACGACACCTCAGGCCTCAGACCCCAGCATAACCCGCATTCTCGCCTAAATCCACTATACCGATAGTCGCGGATTGGCAGCCCACTTTGGCCCTCGTCATGCCAGAGTTTGAGGATTCCGGCATATCATGACGCAATTTTCAGAGGTAATTTTCGGAAGTGCAGAACTATGAACCAGAGCGCCATGTTTTCGGGCCGTGTCAACATTTGATAAGAGATCTTGTTAGCGCCCGTTGCTCTTCCTCAACTTGTAACCACCATGGCCAAGCTGTCTCTCGAGCCCCCCTCTTCTGAGGACCTTGTATACATCTTAAACCATGTTTTTATGCCTCCTAGACTACCCCAAGAAGACGACCATGACGATAATCACGACATCGCTCTTTGTCGTGTCATATGTGATGCTTCCCAAAAATTTGCTGAATCTCTATTGCAACACCAGCGAGGGCTGTGGTCCACCGTGGATCAAATGCTTCAGAAAGTGCTGCGGACAACAGAAGTTCGTGGAAAAGATATCCTCGTTGACAACATATTGTCGCTCGGGGACGGAGGTCAGTTTTGTTGAGATTCATGATGTTCCAATTTGCTCACTCATTCTCTCTGTCTTATCCCGTTCAGAGGTTCTTGTACTTCACATCCGTGCTCAAAATGCCGCTATTATTTTACGCAGGCTTCACGATGCTATGGTTTTTGAAGTCTTCGAGGTTTCGCCGACTCCCGAGGCTGTCATGGCCGTTAAGGGGAAACTCATCTGCTCGTATCCCGGCCCTGCTGTCGAACTTCCTCTCAGTGTCGCACACGATCGCTCATTTGTTGAACAGCTCGTTTCTTTTCTCCTTCACATGGACGTTGATCAGCTGGATGCACAACCTACCACAACCAAAGCCGGGTCCAAAGTCCCCGAGACTCGAGCCACCGCCCACCCACGATACATCAGTCAGCTCCTCGTTATGATACTTTGCGGGATGGGGAAGGAAGCCGACGTCAACCGTATCACTAAACGCATTGCAGATGACGTATGCTGGGAGAATGCTAAAAACCCTTGGCGGAGGTCGTCACTTTGGCTTGTGCTCCGAGTAGCCATACAAACACTGGCAACCGCTGACTCCCATCATATTTACAAAACATTTATGATTTTCTTTCAGACCGATCTTCTCCGTATGTTTCTCAACCATAATTTCTCTAGCGAGCTACTGCACGCTGCCAGAATCAAGACATGCAGGCGTGTTCATAAGCTTGGCGCCTCCGCACCTCAATTCCTCTTGAAAGCGGTGGAGGACATCAGTCAAGCGATTGAGAATTGTCTTCAAGCAAGATGGTCTAAAGAGCAACTCCGACAAGCCAGCTCTCCATCCTTCATTCCCGTTCCTGCTGCCCTCGAAAAGGATATCACAATTTCACTTCAGAAATCCCATGCGTATCTCACCAAAATCATTCACCCAGATCCTTGCACACATACTCCCTCGCTGTTTGTTCCATCTCACTTCCCCCGTCTTCGTGACAATTTTGACCTTCACCATTGTGACGGCTTAACCAACACGGTTCAAGCTGACCCTTTCGTCGCCCTTGCTGACTTTGAGTTCTTCGTCCAGGAAAAATTGGATACATGGGTTAAAGAGAACCATCAAGATGAGTCGGCATGCGAGAAGTTAGGATTGTGCTTGGAACAGTATATCTCCTTCTCCAAGACTCTATATTCCTCCAACCCAGAGGACGAGTCGCTCATGCTTTTGACAATCATGGAACTCTGGGTCGCGCTTGATACCATCGCCGTCTCCCACTGTCCGCTCCTTCGGGAATACTCTCCTGAGATTCCAGCCTCAATTTTGGAACCCCTCCTTCTTCGCAAAGCAAAATCCATCGAACGCGCTGCCAAAATAGAGCTTTATCTACGCTGCCGGCACTCCAGCGTTACTGTTGCAACGTCGATTTACTCCGATAAGATGCAAGAAAGCATGTTCGCTGTGCGTTATTTTGAGCAGGAATCTTCCCTTGCAGACCTCAAAGCCTCTATTGAATCATATGCCACCAATAACCGTAAAAACAAGCATGCAGAGCTCCAGAAGAAACAAAAGGAGTATAGGCAACTCTTGGATGTCATTGCCAGTGCTAGTTGCGAATACGTTGAGAGCTATTGGGGCACTACGCATTACCGTTTCTGCTTCAAGTGCAAACTCCAGAACCAGGCCAATTCCATGAGTATTAATGTACATGAGTGGCCCTTGCCCCGGCATGATCTGGATGCTAAAGCGGTTGTCTTTGAGCTCAACTGTCCTCCGGTCTTCTCCATCTGGAGGACACGGACATACCAGATCCTTCGTGATATTGGGATGGCACATGTCAACGTCCAGTCGGAGATTACTCCTAATATTCTCATTGAGGGTTATGAAGGACTGGCAATCTGGTCAAAGAAAGGCACGTCAGGTCGCATCACCTTTGGTTCGGATACAAAGTCATTTCCCAATTCCCATTACCGAGAGGTCCTGATCAGCACTGCCGACGTAAACAGTGTCTCTGTCAACAACGGCCTACACTTCCGGCTTTATGACAGCGTGAAGAGGGAATATGTGTGTTTCCCCTTCAATCTCAGTCTCGATTCATACTGCACACTTCGTCTACCCAAGGATGGAGAAGCGCTATACCAGCATCTCCAAGATGCCGTGGCACACACAACCCACACTCACAATGGAACGATCGTCAATCAGGGAGATTGTCCCATGAACCTGAGCATGCATGAGCAACTTGCTTTCTCTAACCTTCGATGTGGACCACAGCTGCAATGGATGAACATCGCCCGTGAACTTCGCACGGCTGTCCTGACGTTTTCTCGTGAGGAAGTTCATACACTTATCACACAAGCAGCCTGGCAGCTAGGACCTCTCTCTGAGGCTGGCCCCCGGTTTGTTAGAGACTGGCATTTTGAACTTGAAGAGCCAGATTTTGGTCTTGTTTTAATTCGAGAGGCCATGGGCCTCCTGACTCGCATTGAGGCAAATTGGGTTGAAGGAACAACAGTGAAGAGCATCAGTATGTCTTTTTTGTTTACCTTACATTGACAAATGGCACTTCATGTTAATGACATTGCTTAGTTTATCTCACAAGTCGCCTTCTTGCTTCCACTACAGATGTCCAAGTCCAGAAGGATGGATACGCACTGTTGCACAAAGCTCGAGAGGTAACATTTAACTGGATGCGTCAGATAGGACAAAAGCTTCAATTTGCTGTCGCCGATGACTCGGATGAGGCTAGCAACCTCCACAGACTTGTCTGTGAGATGGCTGCGACCTGCAGGGCAACCTTTGATGTTGATGCTGAAACTCATCTTGAAGCCCTCCTCCACTCTTCAGCAGATGTTGCCACTCTCATTGAGTGTGCCATCATGATTCATGACCATGCCCCCCTGCATCTTGGCCACATGTTTCCAGATTTTCAGAAATTGCTCCATCGAGATCGCCGACTCTCTCATTTTCTGGAATCACTTCTCAATAAGCTCATTCATGGTGACCGATCCGGATTGGACACCGCAATCCAATCTGTTTGGTCAGGGTACAGGCCTGGAAATGGCGCGTGGCAACAGTTGAGTGAGCCCAACTCACGATGGCTAAAATCATCCACCACCGCTGAGTTACCTGGTCAGCGAAGTCAAGAGGTTCATTACAACATGCTAGACGGAACGTTACTTGTGGATGGGAAGCTGCTCGGGCGCCTGCCTCATGAGATTGTCAGCCATTCAACTTACAGACGGATATTTGGCCAGGTATGTATATTTTTATTATTTCAGATGAATGAGCCTCATATTCCTGCATCCAGAAAATATTGGATGTCATTCCTGCTGATATGGCTGGGATGGAATATGTTACTCGATCTCCGGTCTATAATTATAATGTAGGTTTTTTCTACGCATTTGCGTTGTGATGTCGTTTAGAGCAGACGCCGGCTGCATTAGGTTTTCTTCGCTCTTCGCAATGAGGGTCAAGATCTCATTATACGTGCACGAACACCTTCAGGCCAAGTCTTTGAACTGGTTCCCCATCATATTCTGCTTGAGGATTTCCCTACCTTTTTCTCAACGGAACACGTGCATTGGATGCACATTTATAGTGGTGAAGTTGAATTTCGACCTCTTGATCAGTTGTGGGAACAGTCACCTCAGAATTGGCGGCTTGTCTTCTTGCCAAGCGGTTGCGGTAGGATGATTCATGGCACGGGCAAGACTCGCTACCTTGTTGACATCCGAAGCAAGACATTCCAGGACATTGCGGCCCGTATACGCCCTTTAGAACACTCGAAATATCTGACTGCCATCTATGATCTCCAATCGCAAACTGTCTCAATTGAGCTACCTCGATTCCGGCTTTCATTTTTTGTAAGTGGTGGCGAGCTAGAATCAAAGAACTTCCAGGGTATGGTCATCGACAACAACCAATCCACACAGACTATGATTGGGCTAAGCAGCCAGCTCGTCCTCTGCCATAAAGACCCAATTTTTGCAAGTCTCCCTCGCTCGCGCTGTGTGCTCATACCCCATGGTGACGTCAACTTCTCCCTTGCCTCAAATCAAAATCATGTCCATGTATATATCGATACCAGCACCAAATTCATCCGTCAAGTTATGTGGTACAAATACGAGATCGACTCTGATCTTGGCTTGCTCGTTGGCAATGTCAACCTCACAAGTCGGCTCTACAGGATCTACCTGCATGCTCTATGCAGCCATGCTCTTCCAGACCCTTTGACGAGCCAGACAGGTACAGATCATGCGCTGCAGGAGTTGAGTGCTGCTGGCAGTTTCTCATTCCAAAGTTTGACAGAGGCTGATGTCGAGCTTCTTCGGCTTATTGGGAGCATCAGCCCTCGTCGGAATTACTATCCAAGGCACCTTTGTGCTATGCAAACCACGGAATGGTCTTCCTGCCTTCCTGCACTCTCTCAGCACGGCAGGTTTGACACTGCTGTCCGCAGCATCCTGCAATATGCACAATCTCTCAATATCTTCCTTGCGCCGACAGATAGGAAAGTTGATCTTGACTACGAGTGCGTTGGTGATTCCTTCTTAATGGCACGTGCAACACAAAGAAATGCTGTTTACTATGAAGAAGGTGTTCAGAGATCACCGGATTTGGATACGAGATACAATTCTCGTGATTCTCCTCACATCGCCAAGTATGACTCCGATGGACTTGAGGCCCGGAACATCTCCCGATTGGTGTATTCCTGGCCTGTAGGTCTAACTCGTGATCGCCGTCTCAACTCCTCTGACCTCCTCAATATCTTCAAAGAATGGCGCCACATGAACGGAATTGTCCCTGACACATCATTGGTTTACACCAAAGAGTGGTTGGATCTGGATCTGCCTGCGAAATTCCTTAGTATCTATGATCTTTGTCATAGAAAATCGCCATCCATCTCAATGAAGTTTGAGTTGGTCTTTTCATTCGCTGCACTGGCTTATAGTATGCCAAGCCTTCGGCATCTCATCCCAGTTCTACTAGCTTTCGCCACTGTTCGTGGGTCATCATTCATCGCTCCACCCATTCACCCGTCATATGACCTGACAGATGAATTTGAGCCATGTCGGGAGCGAGTGCGTTCCATGATCAGTTCTGGGACCCACCCTATTGTTGACAGCCCCGCGAGACAGCTCTCACGAAGACCTAACGAAATTGAACGTGACTTCCTCTCCCGACAACTTCAACATTATAACGACAATTCTAAGCGCCGAATTGACAATGCTGTCAACTACTTGATGGACTGGCGACACCTTTCTACCCCAGGATCCCCTTTCCATCGCTGGGATGACTCAGACTGGTTCAACACTGAAAGAATTATGGCTAATCTTAGAAAATATTTTGCCAGCTGTTCCTGCAATAGAGACCTTCGCTCATTTGGTTATCAGGTTACAGATATGTTGCAGGATGGCTACATTGATTTTGCATTGACTGGAGAAAATATGCCAAGATTCTGCTTTACCACCTCCCACTTCAATGTTGACAACAGTCAACTAGTCTCTCCCTTTACCTTGGTCAGGCTTCTTTCCAGTCGTAAAGATCAAATCCCAGCACGTTCTACTCACAAGTTTGGAGAAGGAGCACTCACAACCAACCCCATAGAGAATCCTATCTCTCAATTTCGGCGTAATAGCGACTCTGGAAAAGCAGCACCCACAACCAACCCCATAGAGAACCTTATCTCTCAATTTCGGTGTAATAGCCACGCTCCACTCAGGCTTACTCAACGGTATAGTGAGCACCTCGAAAAAAGTCAGAGAGAATTACCTGGCAAGCAAATTTCAATCTCGTCCAAGCAGTTACCTCCCATCAATGTCTGTTTTACATATCGGGACCAGTGCCAGACTTACATGAACGATGTCTCGAGTTCAATTTGCTCTGCTTTGGCGCCTTCAACTGCCATAGAAAGGATCCTCAAAGTTGCAGGTTTGTGGCCTCGCATTCATCCTCGTACCATGTTATCTCCTCTGGGATCCACGGCTAACATTCATCTCACTTCTGAATGGGCCCAGAGTTTGACTGCCTTTGCCAAGGCGTTCATCGAGTACCAGCTTTCTCAGCGGTTGTTGGAATACGCCCTGCGCGTTGAAGTTGACAACTTCTTTAAAGAGCTTCAAAATGCGTCATTCAATCTGTCCGATGCAGAAAATAATCCTGACTGGCTACTCATACAGGTGAGAACTAACTTTCCCCGACTAATAGAATGAAATTAGACATCTGATTGGATTGACTAAATTTTAGATCCAAGGAAACTTCATCATCCGCCCAGTCCAGTCTGCCGTCGCGCGCGAGATGATAACACCTTCTTCGAATCAAAGCACACTTCTGCAGCTGAACATGGGTGAAGGAAAGTCTCATGTCATCGTGCCTCTCGTGGCCGCCGCCCTGGCCGACTCGGACAAGCTAGCTCGAGTCATTGTCTTGAAGCCTCTTGCAGGCCAAATGTTCCATCTGCTTGTTGAACGAATCTCTGGCCTTGCCAATCGTCGTATTTTCTATCTCCCATTCTCTCGCAACATCAAGATGAAGTTGCAACAGGTGCAGCAAATCCGAGATCTGTTTGAAGAGTGTGCTCGCGTTCGAGGAGTCCTAGTGGCTCAACCAGAGCACGTACTTTCTTTCAGGTTGATGGTGGTTGAACAAACTTTATCATCAAGCTCTCATCTCGACAATGTTGCGCAGGAGTTGCAGAAGACGCAGGCATGGTTGAATTCCACTTCGCGAGACATCCTTGACGAGAGCGACGCACTTCTTCATGTCCAATACCAACTCATCTATACCATGGGCCAGCAGCAGCCACTTGATGACAGCCCAGATCGTTGGAACACCGTGCAACAGATATTTAACCGCGTGCATCGGCATATCACCCAACTTCAGAAAGATTTTCCTAAAGAGGTTGAATTCAAGCGCCGTGCAGCAACGAAATGTGAAGGAGACTTCTCCCATGTTCGTCTCCTTGGAACCTTGGCTTCTCAGAAACTTGTTTCCCAAATTGCGGAAGATGCCTTGGATGGAGTGCTTGACAACTTGAACTTCATTGGTCTCCGCACACAGCCTCATCTCCGTAATGTGGTCCGTCGCTTTATTAGGGAACATGACATTGATAGTCAAACATACCTCGATGTCGAGCGTTCCTACAAAACGTCTGCCATATGGAAGGGCCTTCTCCTACTTCGTGGCCTTCTGGCGGAGGGCATATTGATATATGTTCTTAGCCAACAACGTTGGCGAGTGGACTACGGCCTTGATCTGAAACGCTCAATGCTTGCTGTCCCTTACAGAGCTAAGGTAAGTATCAAAACTTTCTGACTTCCCCATATCGGATTTTGATCACATTATTGCCTATAGGATGTTCCCAGCTTACGAAGCGAGTTCGGTCATCCAGATGTAGCCATTTGCTTGACTTGCCTAAGCTACTATTATGGAGGTCTCACGGCATCTCAAGTGCAAGAATGCTTCGAGCTTCTCATCAAGCTTGACAATCCTTCTCTCGAGTATGAGAAGTGGGTCAAGCGTGGAAATGGTGACGTTCCTGTAATGCTTCGCCAGCTAATAGGGGTAAACATGAAGGACGCGCAGGGGTTCACGAGCGATGTTGTTCCTGTATATCGACATAACCAAGCCGTCATCGACTTCTTCCTTTCAAAAGTCGTTTTCCCCAGGGACGCCAAAGAGTTTCCTTCCAAGCTGGGCACGTCTGGATGGGATTTGGTCGAGCAGAAAGCTAACTTCACCACTGGTTTTAGTGGAACAAACGACAACTCTGATCTGCTGCCCCTGTCTATTACCCAGAGCGACCCCGTCAATCAACTTCAAACAAATGCGCAAGTTCTTGGGTATTTACTTCAACCCGAGAATGATAGGTATATATGTACTCAGGGAGCAGACGGACAACAATGCTCAGCAAAGGAATTTTTGGCATCATTAACTCGGACCGCAGAGCTAAAGGAGGTAAGAGTTCTGCTAGACGTTGGCGCCCAGGTGACTTTGTTTTGTTATGAATTAAGCAATACGCTAACTGCAGCATCAGATGCTGGAAATGACGAACCATCAATTGATCAAGCACTGGCTATCATTAAGACAAGATATTGCGGCAGGCGTATTTTTCGACGACGCGGACAACTTATCAGTTCTCAGTCAGGATGGCGTGGTTGAGCCATTCTACTCCTCATCCTTTTTCCGGCGGCTTGACCAATGCATTGTCTATCTTGATGACGCCCATACGAGGGGAACTGATCTTAAGCTTCCTCTCAACTTTCAAGCTGCGGTAACTCTGGGTCCTAAAGTCACGAAAGACAGGTTAGTTCAAGGTATGCTGGTATATTATGCTCCCCCGCTTCACGGATCTTTAACGAATACAAAATTTAGGCTGCATGCGGATGCGAAAGCTGGGTCATGGCCAATCTTTGGTCTTCTGCGCACCTCCTGAGGTTGACAGGCAAATACGAGAGCCTAAAAACATCAGTTTTTCGCACCACTGGCAAGTAAAGGTCATCGACGTTCTAAGCTGGGCAATGTCCAAGACCTGCACCGAAATAGAGCGTCAGATACCCCACTGGGTTCAGCAGGGCATCGACCATCACAAGAGACGTACGGGAGAAGCCGCATTTTCTGTGTCTGATTCGTTCAAGGTAGAACTTCTGGAAAATGGTTGGCTTCAACCCGCAGCACGATCCCTCGAGGAAATGTATGGTCGAATGACCAAATATTCCTTTGATTCACTCAGCGACATTCCAGCCATGCGCGACCGCCTTAGCATGTTTGGGGTCACGACGGTGCGTGATGCACAGATTGAGGAGGAACAAGAAAGAGAGGTTAGTCATGAAGTCGAGCAGGAACTACAGCTAGAGAGACCTCCCAGAGAGATGCCCGCTGTGCATTTCCTCGACGAGGAAGTTCGCCGCTTTATCCAATGCGGGACCAGCCCAACCAAATCTAAAATCTTCATCCCCCTCATGACCCCACTTTGCTCTAAATCTGACGAGCTCCTCCCCAAGAACCCATGGTCGAGACAGCTCCTGGCTACTCGAGACTTCATTACCACAACAAAAGGCGGAAACGAGAAATCCGTTCTCACTGACTATCTCCGTCCCGTCAACTGGATCGTCTCACACGTGCTTGAAGATAGACTTGTGGTCATGAGCCCATACGAGGTCAATGCTCTTCTTCAGGACATTCGCGCAAGCAAGCACGTCCGTCTGCATATGTATGCGCCTCGTACCACCCAGGCTATTAAATCATTTGACGACCTCACATTCTACTGTGTCCCGCCATTACCATGTGGAAATACTGCTTTGGAATCCCTGTCCCTCGACGTAAGGTGTCAGCTCAACATCTGGGGAGGCCAGCTCTATTTGGACCAATACGAGACATACCTCCGTCTGTGCCATCTCTTGGGTGTCTCAACAAGTGAAACAGCGGGTTATAGTTCAGTGGAGAGCGATCGATTTGTTCCTCGACGCAGTCGGATCGGGGAGATGGTGAAACTATGCTTGTTCGACGAGAGTCCGTTGACGTTGCTAAAGACATTGTTTGCACTGAGGAGGAAGGGCATGAGTTATCAGCAGACACATATGGGTAAGATTTTGCACGCTCGCCTTCTTTCACAAGAAGACTTTGAGGAGTGATCTACAAATGATCTGGATGATTTGGAAGGCTAAGAAGAAGTACGTCATCCAGCATTGCCCTTCGTTATCTCAGTACTGGTAGCCCTAACTCACCGGCATTTATGTGCATTTAGGGCAGTCACTGTGATCGTTGAGTCCTTGTTGCCAACTTAGAAGTTTGAATGTTTGTTTCCTTCATAATTAGTGCGCTTTCCTGCTATGTATATTCTTGTGTATCACGCCTGGTTACGTGACCCGGGTTACGTCACGTGAGCGCTGGCAACCCTCCCTTTTGGCGCACGCCGTCACCTCCGTCACGCGGCTGGTAACTATGGAAAGCAAGACTGATCTGCTCGGAATTCTCGGTTGCCGATTGATGGCCGCATATTTGCTAAGTAATATAATTGATTTGTGGTATTTGCACCACAATTACATAATATACAGCTATGTTGTTCAAGTGCCTTTCTTCATGGTCTACTCGATGCCTTCATCATGTAGCAGGCAAATTACATCATGGCCTTGCTTGCTCGTCTGATATTCCACTTCAATTCATCCCAGGGCTTGACAGTTATATGAGTGTCCTTGTGATTTTTCCTGACAAGTTAATTTAAGGGTACAACTTGCATTTCTATGCAGCACTGTTTTCTTCAGCCAGCATTGAATCTAGTCACATGAATTATATATAAATAATCTTTCTTCTGTGGCGGATGATGAGTCCATCACCCATTTTGCCATTCACTGGAAAAGACTAAAGAAATTTACTATCTTGTTGTGGTCTATTCTGCCTGTAAAAAATATGCATTATTTTCTTGAAGGTCTCTTCAATGGAAGTATGATCCCCACCCCAGGAAATCCTGCAGGAGAGTGGGTTATTTATCAAAAGTGACTGAGGAACAAGACTCACCAGTTCAGCAATGTCTCTCATGTTTACATCCAGTCCAATGGTAATTGATTTCATCTTGAGGTTTAAAATTCCTTCTTTCACTTCTCAATCAGGTGGACCAATCAACATATAGAATGTGATCAAGTCTTCTGGGGCACATCACAGTGTCCTATCATCAAATAAATTATCACAAACAACACTGGGTGTTGGGGAGTTTCATGATAACTTGGAGGCAGTTGTTTGCTGCAACAACAATGCCCACAATTTCTTGCATAGGGGTGCTCATGGTAGCCATTTTTGATTCATTTTTTGTTCATTTTTGTAGACATAGAACATCAAAAATGAAGTGAAAAATGAAGTGAAAAATGGCTACTGTGAACCTGCCCTCCTTGAAATTTTCGAAAATGAGATAAAAAATGAGTGAAAAATGGAACAGCCCATTTTTTGGCACCCTGGCAGCCTTGAACTCTGCACCTTGTTGCAGACCCCACCTTATCTTATCATTTCTCCAATAGTATCTGTCAGCTGCAATTCTTCCCTGAGCCTCAACTAATTGGTTTTCAGTCTATTAAGAGTAATTTTTTTTGATTTTTTTGCTCATTCTGCAGTGCAAACGGTGAATAGAATAAAGTGGTTGTCATATCGGGAAAAAAGAAAAAGAACAGACAACACTGAAACACCCTTCAGCAACTTGAAACCTGAACACAAAAAATGGATGAAAAATAGATGAAAAACAGAAACACATCAAAAATGGACACAATGGCTGTTTTTGAAAAATGGCATTTTTGGGATCATTTTTGATGTGTTTCTTTGCCCGTTTTTGATTCTATTTTTCAGAAAAACGAGATGAGAAATGAGATGAAAAATGATTCAAAAACAGTAACTGTGAATGGCACTAATGCCATCCACCCAGTTTGTTTGATAAACTAGTTACCACAACATCATGTGCAAGATGGCATTGCTAATAGAAAGTATGTGAAGTTGTGAGTGTGTCTATTCAAAATTATGTGGGGAGAAGCCTCACATCCTTTTCTGAATATTTCCTGAATACCTCTTTCTGAGTCAGCCACAAATTGATTCAAAAGGTGCAAGATCACAATGAGTCTGCATGAAAATTTGCACAAAATCATACTCATCTTGGGACTTTGGCAGTGACAAAATTACTCTGCTTTCACAAGCACAACCATCCCTGCATGGTCTGAGATGCCACCAGATGCCATTCCATGATTGGAGGCTAGTCTACTGTCATCTGAGAGCTGTGTGAGGCTATAGGGTGGGCTTTGTTGCACCTGGAAGCATTGTAGTGTATTGGATGCAGCAAAACTACTTTAGCACTGACATAGCCATGCACTCAAGATGCTAATGCTTGGAGGTTGGTTGGAGGATCATTGTGTGATGTTTCTTCAAGGAAGTATGTGCAAATGTGCCTCAGTGTTGGTGTATTTTGTCAATTTGAGCCTGAAACATCTTGGGAACATCAAGTAAGTTGATTTAAATCTGTAATTACATTGCAGAATTACTGATATTCTTTAAATTAATAAGATACCCAGTAATGATATGTGTTCCGACAGTGCCAATACTTGATGGATGTTAGACGGCAAGACTTGGGCGATGGCTCCGTGAAATTCTTCATTGCAGATTGCATAATTATGGTACAAATACCACGAATCAATTATATTACTTAGCAAATATGCGGCCATCAATCGGCAACCGAGAATTCCGAGCAGATCAGTCTTGCTTTCCATAGGTAACCTCTCTCCGGCAATCCGTGTTCGCGGAGTCCTCGATAGCGTAGATAGCGTCACACGAATGAATCCGTTTTTTCCGCTCTCTCCCCGTTCCCCTCTGATCCCTGTCTCCCCTCCTCCTCTTTGGGATCAACGGTCTGCTCTCGCCCTCAGGCATCCCTGAACTCCCAACTGGGTTGTTTGGACCTCAGTCCCCCTCTCCGTTCAGTCCTTGTTTGTGTGTCGACCCCCTCATCTGTTCAAGCGAGGTGACCCCGATCAAGGAAACCTCGCATCCCGAATGTGGAAACCGCCATTGCGGGTCCCGCTTTTCCCTCGAAAACGGGATCCTCAAATGCGACTTCAACAATAGGGGATAGCGAGGCCCCAATCGTGGAATTAAAGTGCATCAAAAGGTGTTTCCGCGATTGAGGAAACCTGTACCAAATAGACTACATTTTAAGGATAAAAGGCGAAGTTTTAGAGGCCACAATTTTTCCAACACCCGTTGGGATTTAGATAATGCACGGCTAAAATATAAATGAGGTTCTTTGTACATACTGGCTGCAAAAAAAAAATGCCATTTTTCTGGGAGGGCTCATTGGGAAATACACTGCAGTTCTCAAGCCTCTGCTTTTAAATTTTTATATGCTACTGTGCTTCCAAGACATACTTTGAAGGGGTGATGTAATTAAATTAAAGCAGTTTGAGTGAGGGAGTGAAGGAGCAGGCTCACGCGACGCTTCGACGCGTCGTCGCAAAAATATCTACTTATAATGGCTCCGAGAGCCACACATTCCGTATTTGGCTAAACTCGCTAACGGGATAATGTAAATACATGAGAGCTATTATAAAACAATGGTAGTATGTGGGGGACAATGGCGATATATGCCAAGAATTTAGGTATTCAGACTGGTAACGTTACCTGGGGCATAGGTAACGTTACCAGTGGGTTACCAGCAGGTAACGTTTGTCTATGATATATCCTGTATACTCATGCCTTCTTCACCCCCTTCCCCACTTTCTTGGGTTCCTGTCCCTTTCATCCTTTCTTGCTTGTGAATGTTATATTTGTAGATATCATAGCCATTGATCTATATGCTTAGCTGCCCGATCACCCCTTGTTCAAGGTGCTTGATCAAGTTACTGGATACAATAAATAGAATTGAGACTTCTTTATCTGCTTGAATGGTCTATTGGTATGATACCTGCTTCGGGTTCCAACCCTGGTGGTCATGTAACTTTGAAGAGCAAGCATAGCAGAAGACCAGATTCGGTGACGAAATGGAGAAATTCATTCTTGAGGAGATTCTTGGGTTCGCCAGACGATGATTTGTAAGCGAAGAACGTGGAAGAGGCTAGAATTGACGAGTTGACTTCCAGGTGGTTTTTAGAGGCGTCGACGGGACCTAAGGGGTCGCCCTCGCGGCGTGCGGTAGGGATGACGGTGGCCCCAAGCTCTTTGGTTGTCTTGGTCCAGGGGATCTCGAAACTGGCGGAGTGGAAAGCCATCACGCAATATACGGAATAGAATTCTGAAGGGGGTAAGAAAAGTTGTAGTTAATGTGCAGAGAGTGTGGAAACGAACGTACTTGGTAGAACGGAGTCCGTGGTACTTAGGATCAAGGGCCGCGGCGACGGTAAGAGTTGTTTCACCAAGGCGGCGGCAACCAAAGAAGGTTACGAGGGCGACGGCCCACACAGCGGCGTGGAGAGATCTAGAGAGCGGCAAAGGTAAGTTAGATGTTCAATGGAGACAGGAGCTCGAAGAGCGAGATTGTGTTTCGTACCTGCCGAAATACAAGCGAGGTGTACCCACTCGTCGTCACTGGCATACCAGGGAGCGTGGTTCATGATATGCCAGCTGCGCAGGCCAGCTAGCCAAGAGCGGATGGTGTTGCCAGATTGCAGGCCCTTGAATTCACCGATGAAGGCGCACAGAAGAGCATAGTCGGCGGGCATGCGAGCCTCCTCGGAAATTTCCCACTTGTCGCAGAACTGTGTGAAGCGTAAGGGGCCCGCGCCGTAAGTCGATTCAGTGTTGGGAGCAAGAGCTCCTCGGACGGCCATAAGTGCAGATTCAAGAAGAGGGGGAGGGAGAGTTCGTGCTACAGCGGCATGGTGGCGAGAACCAAAAGGGGTGCGCCATGAAGAAATGCGGTTGGCAGTGGGGACGTGGGGGCGAAATTCGTTGTGAGTGATGGAGCGACCAGTCTGGGGTTTACGAGATCGTATAGTGCGTGAAGAGGCGTTGGAAATTTGAGGGGCAGATGATGTTAATGGTGAATGACAATCAGGGGGAGGAGATTTGATGGTGCGATTGGTAGGAGGAGGAGGTAGAGGGCGCAGAAAAGGATGGAAAGAATTTCGAGAACGCGTGGGGCGTGGCGACATGGAGTTAGGAGATTTTATCTTACCCATGGGTCTCTCGACGACACATGTCGACGAGGCAAGCTTTCGGTCGAGGCTAAACATAAAAGAAACAGTCGATTAGCTCGTCAGGGAGCTTGAAGATGGCTTGAAGGTGCGAGATGGCGTTGGCTGAGTATATCAAGTAAACCTCCTTTGCCTTCATCTGCCTGAATGGTCTAGTGGTATGATACGGCTGGTCACGCTGTTGCTTATGTTCTGTAAGTTTTTCCACTAACGATGATACATGCGTAGCTGGCGTCGTAGGGAATTTCACAACCTGATGTACAACCCCGCTAAGAACCAAACGGCCTCGCACCCTCGAGGGTCTAACCTCCTCGTCGAGCACCAGCTTTCTGGGACGTCCACGGTGGAGGCACGGGATACTAATGGGCTGCCATCGCTTGGTTGTCTGGGTCCTCTTCGGGTGTAGGTACGTACGCAATTCCCTCGACTCTCATTGTTTATGCCTCTCATTTCTATGGTTCAAAGAGTCCAAGGACCTCCTGCACATCGAAACGTCGACTTGGCGAAGCTTCAGGTTATTTATCGTTTTGACGGCGCTCGCTGACCTTGCCTACGATGGACGACGACTCTTTGCTTCTGGACAAGGTGGCCTAATGGGTGTTCGTTTGGTACTCGTCTCCAGCTCGACAGATGTCAGAGGCGATGATGAAGGAAGGTAATGTCGAGGAGGTGCCATCTGTTAATTCAGAACTCTTTTGTGGTATAACCACTGTATCGCTACTATTGTAATCTTAATCAGAATCCTCAGAAAGATCAGACAACTCTTCAACGAGCTCAAGAAGCTCCAACATTGTGACCGGGATGTGTTTGTCCGACGTGGAAAAGGTGTCGGCCTGGCCAATGAGGGAGTCGACGTTGGCATGCAGTCTTGCACGATGGCTCTGCACAAAAACAATCAGAATGAAATTCAATGATGGATGCGTATGATTGACCTCATCCTCCACATCATTGAAAATGGACCTGACTTCCATCAGCAACTGTGTATAACCTTCCACACGTCTTGTGGCTCGCTGCGTAATCTGGGTGCTGGTGATCTGGTGGCTTTTGATCCCACGTCTAGCCCTGTACTTTGTGGTGTGCGACTTTGCAAATGTACCATACAATTCAGATGCACTGCACTCAAGGCAGTGGGTGCGAACGAGGGCTTCTGTCTCTGCCCTGCGTCGTTTAGATAAGTTATGATCCCAGCCAGATGATGAGGTAAACTTACTTGAAGTCACAGTCATGAGTAGGGCATTTGAATACGTCGCTGTTGGCAGTAAGCATTTGGAGGACAAGATCTTTCCAGTCTGAATGTTTGGTATAACTAAAAGTCGTTAGCATCAAAAAGAATATACATTCAAATAGTTGACGTACATGTATGTCTCTCCAAATGTGTCCGCGATCCATGGTCGTGTTCTTGTGATTCAGGGTCATGGCCATACAATTCTTGACAACGCGGACACCGCCATTTGCCATCATCATCCTGATAATAATTGGTAGAGAGTTATACAATTGAAAGAAAGACTCACCTGTGACATGGCGAGCAAGGCTCGATCCAGAAAGATAGGCTGAAGGACCACCTCCATGAACAGTGAACGGATTTCAGCTGCTGTGAACTCTGCATCTGCGGGAGGCGGTTTCTCAACATCTGCGATGCTCGTAGGTGGTTCACTTTCGTCAACGAGAGGGTTGGGATCATCAGGCTTGTACTCAGCTGAGGTGAGTTGCACTGCACACACCAATGCGCCTGTTGTATCTTGAAAGAAATTGTGCGTCGCATGCGATGCTGCGCGTAGGAAAGTGCTCCGAGCGTAGGACTTGACGTCGAACAGGCCGTCGATAGGTGGTGAGTGCTGGAGGCTCCTGATGCTGCGAGCAATGTGATCAGTTAAGAGCACAAAGTTGCATAAGTGAACGACTTGCAGGAGCTGGCGTCGGACAAATATCCGGTGTCAGAGTAAGGGCGGTGAGATTGGCAGAGCCATTTGGCAGTCCTACTTCACAGACGCCTGGGCGCCCCATTTTGAGGTTTTCCTCGACTAGCAATAGCCCAGATCGTAGCTGAATTGGTAGTGAAGCCTGCGTAAGTCTGGAGAGTTTGGGTCAACCTTTATAAGTACCACTCACAGAGTTCCGCTTCCTGTGATTTTCGGCTAGCGAATGTGTAAAGGGAGCGACCAGATTCCGTTTCTTTCCGTTCTCCTTTCTGTGCAAATGATATCAGAACGTCAACCTGTAACGACATTAATGATTGTTCAGTGGTTCGTAACAACAAGAAAACGGACGCACAGTCAAAATGTCTCGTCCAGATTTTGTCCGTCAACTTCCAAGACTGTTTCATGACAGTTGGGCTTGTCGACTTTGACGGTGACGATGAAGGGCCACGCGAGTGCGTCTGGGCGTGGATGTTGACGCTGTTGCTCGCAAGTCAGTTGCCATGGTTCTACAGTGAAATTGTTGGGATATGTCGTCGCTTGAGAATGTTGGCTATTTGAGGAACTGAGCCGCTCCAAACGTCGCTCGGTCAAAGGAATGTGTTGCTGGCAGTGACGGAGAGCGCTGGACAATGCTAACAAAGGTCGGTAGTGGCGCAACATAAAAAAAAGGCCTGAATCCAGGATTGAACTGGAGACCTCCTGCACCCAAAGCAGGAATCATACCACTAGACCATCCAGGCTTCTATAGCAATGGCTAGAGTTCACTTCTGTTAAGCTGCGGGCGCTGTCTCGAGTGGCAAGTATTCAGTGACAACGACAGCCCCTGTGGTCTTGGCGATCACAGCGCCATCGAGCTACGTGTATCAAAATTAAATCAAAAGGCTAGTGCACGTTAAAGACATACTAGCGTGCATTCGCGTGAGGCCTTCGCGGCAGGGTGCTTGAACTTGAAGAAATTCATAGAAGAGGATCGAGGAGACACGCTCAATTGATAACTTGATAAAGGCGACACAAGCAAGAGGTAGAGATGGTCCTAACCCGCAAGTCCTAGTACTCTCTCGCGTTGAACACAGCGAGGAGAAGTAACGGAAAATGCAAGGCTGCCAGTTCGTGGATGTGGTGGGTAGGTTTGTCTCCGTGAGACTCGGAAAGTATATTTATCAATGGTTGTGCCTGCCTACAGCTGTCTCTCTAGTCTATTAGGAATGCAGTTTTAATAGAGGGCGTACAGCTACTATGAATCGGAACGACGATGTGTCTAAACGAGGCGTGACGAATGCAAACGTATCTATGGGGGTTGGGCAATGGACTGGAATGGGGAAGTGGGCATGGCTGGGGCTTGTGGTGGCGGCATGTTCCTGTACATGAACTGGGGATGGGGTTGGGGGAAGTAGGGAGGCTGGTAGAATTGGGTGTGTTGAGCCTGCGCGTTTGCGATAGCAGTGTCCCTGAGTATCTTTAACTTTTCTACTTCTCGGCGGTGCTGCTCCTCCTGCCCTCGAGCTTGCTTGCATAAGCAGTGCCTTGAGGTACGCGCAGACGTTGACGTTGAAGACGTGCTTCCAAAATTAGCGTGAGTTGTGGTAGGAGTTGTGATTGTTTCGTGGCAGAAGCCCGCGCGTGGTGCCAAAAATCCCAATTTCATAGGACACGCTGAAATCCTTCAGCGGAAAATCTGCGAGAACGAACCGCACTCGACTTTCAAGTTCACGGCATGATTGTTGTGATGCTTCTTTTGTCTTGAGCACAAGTCGTTACGTACAAGTAGGCGATAAAAATACACATCTATCCGACTTTGAAGGTTACAATGTACGAAATCAATTCATACTAAATAGTCATAATTGCCATTCCATGGGTAGCGGAGGTATGTGAAGTCGAATCGATCAAGCTCCATCCAAGAAATAAAAAACCGGCCCTCGAATTAAATACTGCGAAGGTTCAACCACCAACAGCTCCAGCGGGGGAGATAGGGTGAATAATTTTAGGCGTCAAGCGCCAGTTGTCAAAGTCGGACGGATAGGGTTGCTGGCGGTGATACAATAATCCGTTGTGAATGCATGGGCGGACGAAGAGTGGTGAGGCAAACAACGGGCGAAGAGAGCGGGGTTCTCTTCTTCTTTCAGGCCTCGGACTCGGCAATTGCTTTGGCGTGCCTCGCCGCAAGGGTACCTCCGCGTACACCTAGGTCTGCCACAGCCACTGGCACGCGGGCGACGTGCACGTTGGCGAGCCGGCGTTGGAACCTGTCAGCTCGCTTTAGTTCCTGCTCCCGGGCATCGATGGTAGCGGCGTCAGAGCGACGAGCCACGGAAGAATCATGGCGAGAGTAGGTGCGACCCATGAGACTTCCAGGTGCTGTGGGAAGTGCGTGGGCGGAGACGGTGAGGAGCGAGAAGAGAAGGGTGAAAAGGGCGATGAAAGTAAGGGTGGGGAGTTTGAAGAACATCGTGTTTGGCGCTGGGCGAGATTTGCGAATGTGGTTAAAAAGAGAATGTAACGTCGGTAAAGTTGGATACGACGGTAGGTGCTGCGGTGGAAAAGAGAAAGGACCTGCACAGCGAGGTGTGATTTACGGGCGTAGGAGTCGTGGAAGAGGGACACGCTCTTCAAGAGCTTTTGAACCTTGAGCTGCGGGAAGGAAGTCAAAGATGGTTCGGAAGAACTCTTGACTGGTTGATAAAGGACGCCAAAGCCAAAGCTTGACAAACTGTTTCGATGCTACCCTGACCGGCCAACCGGGCGGCAGTGAATAGGTACAATGGAGGGCGTCAATCACCGAGCCAGTTCAATCTTCGTGCCCATTGTAATTACCCTGAGAAAGAACGCCAGACAATGGACGAGATGATGTTGGCTCCAAAACTTATAACAAGCAAGTTACTTCTCATCGCTACAATATAAAAATGTGAGCCCGATTTTCGCTTGCCCTGCACTTACCGCTATGATTCAAATAAGCACTGGCATTGGTTGTGTTGACCGAGGAAGGAGGCAATAATAGAATGATCGTACCTTGATATGTCACAAACTTGTCACAAACCCAACTCTTGGACAACCCATGCCCTTTTGGACCCATGTCAACTTACCGCAAACCGCCAGTCGATTGGGAAATTTTGCCACTAGAGATTTGGAGCTTGATTCTCAGGCATGCAACACTCGTTCCCGATCTTACCTCGACAGAGCTATGCAACTACGGTATGGGCAACCCCATGGTGTCACAAAGAACAAAGATGCACAAGCGGTCTTTGGTGAGATTTATGTCTTCTTCTTCAACCCATTGATTGTCATATTGGTTCTAGAGGACGAAGCAAAGTCTGGTTCGGGTATGCAAAACTTGGTATGCAAGCGCCATACGGTTTTTATATGAAGCTGTTTTGCTTGGCCAGGGGAAGTCCCTGGCTTCACTGTACGAGGGTCTCAAGCGTTCTCATCGCCCATTGATTGATTCCGATACTGGAGAGCTGTCTTTAGGTTGGTGGACAAAACGATTAGATGTTAGGATGCGAGACTCTACCGACGATGTCAAGAGCGATATGGTTCTCGTTGGGAGAATTGTCGCTATGCTGCCGAACCTTTCCATCCTTACATTCGATGTCCGTGGCTATGGTTATTGTCCAGTCTATGGAGGCCTGCAGACTCTTCCAAGCAATGTACTGCGATCAACCTCTCCTGAGAAGCTCAACGTGGTATACTGGCACAGTCCAAATGTTCTACCTATGGCAGAGTACTGGCTCGAGCTTCTGAGTAGTCGGCCTTATCTCCGCTCGATCAGCGACTTCGCATGGGGAGACCATCGTCCCATGGCCACCGCCGTTCCCAACTTTCCCTCACTAACGTCTTTGCATCTATCTCGTTCGTGGAGCGCCGAATACTTTAGTCGCTTAGAGCTCCCCCACCTCCAGCACTTAACATATCGTGCGAACCACGACTTCACGCAAAATTTAGCTCCGTTTCTCCAAAACCATGGCGCAAACCTGATGTCTTTCACAACGGATTGTTCCGCGAATATCCTCCCGCTGATTTTGGAAACCTGCCCAAATCTCATAAGCTTGGAGCTTGTCGTGGGTGACTGGATCTCTTTACCTGACAATAGGCCCGCACTCCCCCTATCAGAACAATGAAACTCACTTGCCGGCGGCATCAGCACGGAAGCCTGTATGTGTATCATCACCTTTTTACCTTTATCATTGATGCCATGTCCATGTGTCCTACTTTGAAAACTGTTCGTTTGGCCGATGAACGGATAAACAAACACCTCCATAAACTTCAAGGTCAACTGAAAATCCTTTCGGAGGCGGGGGTAACATTAGAAAATGGGGAAGGACTGCTGATCGCCCTAAGCTGAGGTGTAAAGTTCCGTTTCCGGGTACAACTTTCGTGTATCATTCCATCCACTAAAAGTAAGCCTTCCGATCCTAATCAAGAGCTGCCATGCCTGACGATTTGCACTCAAGGTGCGGGCCACCGACGGACAAATCGTTTTCTGTTGAATCAATTTTGGAAACTCCCCCAAACTTCGAAACTTCGAAAGCTCACCATCAACCACTGGACCAACTTGCGCACAGATATATCACAACGCGATTAAACCCGTCTCCTGGAATCTTCACAGCAAACGGGGACTTTAACTCCTCATCTTCGATCTTATCCTCAAGACCAAGGCTATCCGCTCTACAATAAATACAGTTCGATTATCCGATAAATGAAACGTTGTTGGTTTGAAAGCACAAACTCGTCTACCTAGAGAACTTTAAAGGTCCTTTCAGCGACGGCATGGCTTTCCTTTCGCGAGGCGAGCTCGTTCCAGAGCCGCATTACCTGCGCATAAGTTGCCTTTTGTAAGTCGTAACCGAAGGCCAGCTCGAGCTCGTTTATCGTGTTTCATTTCCCCCCCTCTCCCGAAATATTTCCGATGATAACAGCGCGCCCGCCTAACAACTATGTTGGGGTTAAAACGGCCACCTATCGACGGTCGTCTTCTATGTATCATAGCCAGAGGCCGATGCCCCTTACAAACACGTGAACTTTTGTAAACAATTTTCAGAGTCGAGACAAATTTGCCTCATCCAATAACACTTAAGTTTGGTGGCGTTACAGAGGCGGAAGGGGACTTTAAGTAGCCGAAATCAGAAGTCGGGTGCCTTTCGCACCCGACTCCGACATAATTTCACTCGAGGTATGGCTGCGTACATACAGAAGAGAAATGTATCTAAAAGGCAGTGGGAGGGTGGGTGACGAAAAATAGAGACAGCTTCAACTATAAAGTGGGAGTGAGCTGTTGTCACGAGAGCCTTACAATAAAATGAGAAAATCGCACCTAGCTGAGGGAGTGAGAGTTGAAACGAGAGCCTTATGGAAAGGGGGCGTTTCATCTCACTCCTCAACTAGCGGTGCGAGTTTAAAAATAAACTGTGTTCAAGCGTGAAGCACAGCGCGTAAATCCAAGCGTGGATTGTGAAGTTTGCCAGCGGGCGAGTGAGCGGCGGCTCAGTAGTCGTGCGTTGGCGAACGTGACGACAGTGTTGTGCGCGTGTAACTCAAACTTTGGACAGTGTTCATTGGACTTGAGTAAACATAGTTTAAACTCGACCAATAACACTTAAGTTTGGTGGCGTTACAGAGGCGGAAGGGGACTTTAAGTAGCCGAAATCAGAAGTCGGGTGCCTTTCGCACCCGACTCCGACATAATTTCACTCGAGGTATGGCTATAGTCCTATTGAAAGAGAAGAGAAAAGTGATGAGTTTACGTAGTGAAGGATGTGAGGAGCGAGTGGAAAGATGTGGGCGCGCACGAGATAAATCATTTGTTAAAAATACAACTTGTCCAATAGTAAAGTAGTTGATGTCCATAGAATAGCTGAGGGGGGGTGGTGGTGGGGTGTAAAGGTAAATGTCGATAAGAGTCTGTTAATAAAGAAGATAAGAAATGTCTATGGGAAGATAAAGAGGAAAAAGTTGGTTCTCCAAAGCGTGGAGTTAATTCTCCAAAGCGTGGAGAAAGGTAGTCTGGGATCGCTTCGTCTGTCCGAAAAGGAGTGCCTGAATGAGCACGGGGTTTTTCCGAACGTAAATCTTGAAGGTGTCGGACGCCCATCTGCCGATAGCTTGAATTATTGAGGGAGGGACACCGTTTTCCGCTAAGGAAGTTGCTCCTCCGGCTCGGAGAGACTGACCGGCGGTGTCAGAATTGAAGAAACGACGTAGACGTCGTATGAAGAAGGAGCGGGTAGGGACGGTCCCCTGGCTAGTGAGCCATAGCGGCGAGCTGAAGGGGAATTTGGCATCACGGGCTCGCAGATAAGTTAGAAATCGATTGTGGGGGTCAAATTTGTGTGGGTTTTTGCGCACGATGATAGTATTTCCCTCGTAAAACCTGTCGGCCTTATGTCCAGGCAGGAAAAACTTGTAGAAATCGTCGTTGGTTTGCACCGTGCTGCGCTTTGTGAGTTTTCTGGGGTCCCTAAGTTCTGGGTCGTCAGGGTACGTCATTTCGCCCAAGTGAAGAAGCGCAAAGAACCCGGTTAACAGTTGAGCGAGGAAAAGAATGTCGTCGTAGTCGGTGGAAGAGGAGAGTTTGTCGACGACAGTTTCAAGGTCTTCAATTGTCAAGGCACGCTTGCGTGAGGTAGGGACAGCTCGCATCCTTTTGCAACCCTGCAATGTACGATGTACCAGGGCAGAGTTGCGTGAAGAGCGAATGTCAGGGAAGTATGGTTCCAACTGATGGCATATACCTGACAGGTATGTTCCCACCGAATCGGGCTTGATGTGGTGACACATGTATACGGTGAAAAGGCTCAAGGTATCGGGGGTGGGGTCTAGAGGGTAGTCATGCATTTTTACGAAATTTAGGTATGAGTTGAGGGCTGAACCGTAGTTTTTCCAAGTCGAGTTGTCCACGGCTTGTCCGAGAGCAATAGCGCGTTCATGGACGAGGCGCTCTCGTGTCCAGACTTCCCTGAGGGGTTGTCTAGACCTGACGTTTGATGTGATCATTTTTTTGTTGCCCCCAGCATCAGTCGAGGGGGTGTGAACGGCGTTATGGTAATACCAGGCACATACCGTCTTGCCAAGTTGAAATTGTTTCGTGAGATTGCGTCGGCGACGTAGTTGAGTTCACCTGCGATGTGAAGCACTCGGAGGTGAAGGCTGCCATTGATTAAGGCATCAGCAGCATTGATTAAAATGTTGTTGTAGTGAGGCAGGCACCGCAAAGTGTTGAAAATTGTGACGGTGTTGTCGTTATCGGTGTAAAGCAATATGCGTGATGAGGGGGGCGGATGTTGGGATTCAACAACATGGTTGAGTGCAGCAAGTACACATAGTGCTTCGAAATAAAAGATCTGTTCTTCGTCAAGTCCATCGGGTACAGGAGAGTAGAAGCCGACGCATTTGTCAGGCCACCAAAATCCCATGCCTTCTAGACAGGCATCGCAGTATAACGTGAAATCGGCAGACGAGGCATCCCAGCGAATTTGTTGGATCAGGTGAATACCTGAGTCTCTTTCAAGGTGGCTAATCGCCCAGGACAAGTCGGCACGTACAGCATTGTTGATCCTCACACACCTGTCAGGGGCATTTTTGCCGCTTATTTTTGCGTAGAAGTTGTTAAGCGCAGGTCTGAGCAGGGGGAAGACATTGAAGCTCCAGTTCATCCAACCAGCCAATCGTTGCCATTCCCTCAACGAAAAACGACGACGGTTGGTGATGAAGTCAGTTATTGCATTGATCAAGTCTTTCAAGGAGTCCGGGGGCATGGACATGGTGAGTGCATTTGTGTCGACCTCTATTCCGATGATGGTGAGGATTGATCCATAGACTTGTTTCTTCTCCTTGTGGGGTAGGTTAATTTCGTCCCAAAGGCGTAAGATTTTCACTTGATTCGTGGGCATGAATTTTCGGTATGGTTGGTACCAAGTGACGTTGGAGGCGTGCTCAGGTCCAAAGGAGTCATCGGAGTAGGTGCCTAAAAATTCAATATCCCGCTTTTTCTTTGCAATCCACGACACCAGGGACATAAAGGCAATCCAGTTGCATCCTGAACCACGTCCACCAAAAGCGCAGTTCCTGTCAACATGTAGAAGGTTGTCGATACGATTGATTTGCTTTATCTGCCAGTAGGGGTGTACTGGTAGAAGTCTGTAGGCTTCGGCAACATCTGATTTGAATAGTATGCAAGGTGATTCGGGGTCGCGACGGTGCATCGACAAGAGAAATTCCCCAAGATGGCGTAGGTTGTCCAGTGGGTACCCTGCAATGTCGTCTCTGGGGATCATGCTATTTAATGAATACTTCCCAGCGCTCTGATGTGTGACCATTCGCAAATCCGTGGAGTGAGGTTTGGGAATGGCGAATATGGGCATACAATACATGCCTGGTAAGAGACATTCTCCAAAAGACTCAGAGAAACGTCCCTTAAATATTTCGTGATCGCGTTGGTCACGTAGAAATTGCACCTCCTTCACATCATCTGGTGGAGGGTATGAAAGGTCCAATGTGTCTGGATACTCTCCGCGGTGGGTATCGGCCCATGGCCAGAAACCCTCCCGGAGACCAAGGCACACTGAGGCTACAAATGGTTGATTGGGGTGTGTTTCAAGGAGTTGCTCAAAGCGGTCGACGTAGATGGGAGTCACTATGTCAAACAGCTCCGGGTTTTCATTGATGGTCTTGGTAACAATAGGATTTGATAGCTCTGATTTGGGGATGGGTGGCAAGGGTGCCGCAGTTTCCGACCAGTCAGCTGATGACTTTGAGAAATAATCGTCACTTTCCCAAACATTATGACGAAGGTATCTAGGTTGAAGGTTTTGAGCTAGATCCTTCTTTAAAATCGCAATTTTCCTTTCCGTGACCGGTGCACTTGCATTTCTTGCAGGCATGTCGGAAGCGACAGTCTTCGGCGGAATTTCTGCATCCATTGATAGAATTGAATCGGTTGCAGAGCTCGGTCTTGTTGCCTGTCCTGGATGTGAGTCGGTTAGACGAGAGGCGAGAGCTGTCTGATTCGACTCCATCCGGCATGACGATGGCTGAGAAAAGTCTTGAGAAACGGTGAGCATCGGTGAGCAGAGCGTTTTGTCCTCCCCCGACTTCGTTTCTGATAGCGATATCGTACAGGATGATTTTTCGATGCGAGGATTGAACCCTGGCTGAGAAATGGCCTTCGATGTACTCGCAGTGTTCGAGTCGAGGATACCGATAATCGTCGATAAGGCTTTGAGTTTCGTAGTCTCCTTTCTTCGAAAACTTTCGACGACGTCGTCCATGAGGTTGATGGATTCTTGCTCGAAAGGCGAGTCGTCGTTCCGTAGGTCTCCTGTGTTTGATTCATTGCGCTCTGGACTTGGTTGTCGTTGTCCATTCTCAGGCGTTCCCATAGAGATAACGTTGGTGTCTCCATCTGCAGTCTGTTGAGTAACGTTGGGGTTCCCTGGGTCCTGTGAGGCATGTTCTCCTCTAGGTAACCCTGGATTCGAGTCGAAAGTGGTAGAAGAGCCTTGCCTCCCTCCATCTGCGTTATTAGCGTCGGAGGACTCATGTCCGGGTTCTGCAGATGCAAAGTATATGGCATGACCTTCACTCATAGGAGTTGAACTGAGGTACGATGAATACGCAGTATTTTATTGACGAAAAATAGAGACAGCTTCAACTATAAAGTGGGAGTGAGCTGTTGTCACGAGAGCCTTACAATAAAATGAGAAAATCACACCTAGCTGAGGGAGTGAGAGTTGAAACGAGAGCCTTATGGAAAGGGGGCGTTTCATCTCACTCCTCAACTAGCGGTGCGAGTTTAAAAATAAACTGTGTTCAAGCGTGAAGCACAGCGCGTAAATCCAAGCGTGGATTGTGAAGTTTGCCAGCGGGCGAGTGAGCGGCGGCTCAGTAGTCGTGCGTTGGCGAACGTGACGACAGTGTTGTGCGCGTGTAACTCAAACTTTGGACAGTGTTCCAGCTAACTGCATAATCGTAGACCACATCTGAAATTTCACTTTGCGCCTTTGTCTACATCCGTTTTAGGCCGTGGCTATGTAAATCATGACGCCGATTCGCGCGCGCTGCCCATTGCTCCAAGTTCTAGCACCGTTTCGGTAGTTGCTCCAAACGCTCCAATCCCGCCCCGCACGTCATAAGGGTGGAGCGGTTGGAACTTGCCAACTTGGAAGGGCGTTCTACCTAATACAGTTGTTTGTACAAATAAAGGCGCACAAAGTAAAATTTAGATATGGTCTACGGTTATGCAGTTAGCTGTCATTGGACTTGAGTAAACATAGTTTAAACTCGATCAATTCAAGAATGTTGAGATCTGAGATCTGAGAGGTCACATTTGCCAGCGTTTGCCAAGCAAACCCAACTCCCTATGAAACGCACATATCACACAATGCGCAAACCGCCAGTCGACTGGGAAATTTTGCCTCCAGAGATTTGGACATTGATTTTTAGGCATGCAACGCTCGTTCCCGATCTTACCTCGACAGATTTATGCAACTACGGTATGGGCGACCCCATAAATTGTCAACAAAGAAAACTGCACAAACGGTCTTTGGTGAGTTTTATGTCTTCTTCTTCGACTCCATCACTATATTGTTTCTAGAGGACGAAGCAAATTTTGGTCCGGGTATGCAAGACTTGGTATACAAGCGCTATCCGTTTTTTAAATGAAGCGGTTTTGCTGGGCCGGGGGAAGTCCCTGGCTTCGCTACACAAGGGTCTTCAGCGTTCTCATCGTTCATCGATTGATTCCGATACTGGAGAGCTGCCTCTGGGTTGGTGGACAAAACGGTTAGACGTTGCGATGCGAGACTCTACCAACGATGCCAAGAGTGACATGGTTCTCGTTGGGAGAATTGTTGCGATGCTGCCAAACCTTTCCATCCTTACATTCAATGTCCGTGGCCATGGTTATTTTCCAGCCTATGGAGGCCTGCAGACTCTTCCAAGCAGTATACTGCAATCAACCTCTCCTGAGAACCTTAACGTGGTATACTGGCACAGTCCACATATTCTGCCTACGGCAGAGGATTGGGTCAAGCTCCTGAGTAGTCGTCCTCACCTTCGCTCGATGAGCGACTTTGGGTGGGGAGAATATCGACCCGTGGTCAACGCCGTTCCCAACCTTCCCTCACTCACGTCTTTACATCTATCTTTTTCGTGGAGCATCGAATACTTCAGTCGCTTAGAGCTCCCCCACCTCCAGCACTTGACATATCGTGCGAACTCCGACTTCACGACAAATTTCGCTCCGTTTCTCCAAAATCATGGCGCAAAATTGATGTCTTTCACAACGGATTATCACACATCTGAGTGGAATATGCTCCCCCTAGTTTCGGAAACCTGTCCAAATCTCATAAGCTTGGAGCTATCCATGGATGACTGGATCTTCTTACCTGGCAACATCTGCGCACTTCCCCCTATCAGATTAATGAAACTCACTTGCCGGCGGCTTGAGCACGGAAGGCATCTGTATCGTCGTCTTTTTCCCTTCATCATTGATGCAATGACCGTGTGTCCTACACTGAAAACTGTTCGGTTTGCCGACGAACGCGTCTTCTGTGATTTAAACAATCACCTTCATGTATTTCAAGGTCAACTGAAAACCCTTTTGGAGGCGGGGGTAACATTCGAAAATGCGGAAGGACGGCTGATCGCCCTAAGCTGAGGTGTTTGTTCTGGCCACAGCTTTCGTGTATCGTTCCATCCTTTAAAAGTAAGCCTTCCGATCTTGATCAAGAGCTGCCATTCCTGACGATTTGCACTTAAGCTGCTTTGCGACCGCCGATGGACAAACGTTACCTATGTACTATGAATTATTTCCGGAAATGCGGAGATTATCCTCACCACTGGGCGCACAAAAACCTCAACAGCAAAAGGGCAATTGACTTCCTCATCTTCGATTTCATCGTCAAGGCCAAGGCCATCTGCACTACACTAAATACAGTTGGGTTATCCAGTGAACGAAACGTTGTTGGTTTGAAAGCACAAACTCGTCTACGTAGAGAACAATTGAAGGTGGGGTAGCTTTAAAAATTCGGAAGGAAATCAACCCAGAGGTGCAATACCTCCACATGAGATGCCTTTGTAGGTCGTAACCGGTGGCGAGCTCGTTTATCGTGATTCATTTCCCCCCCCCCTCTTCCGAAATATTTCCGATCAACAACGAGCGTGCCCGCCTAACAACTACGTTGGGGTAAAAACGGCCACTTCTCCACGGTTGTCTTCTATGTATCATGGCCAGCGGCCGATGCCCCTTCCAAACGCGTAAACAATTTTCAAAATCAACGAGAGTGGGGACAAATTGGCCTCACTCAAAATTGTTTGAATGTTGAGTCTTGAGATGTCACGTTTGCCAAGCAAACCCAACTCCGTTTGAAGCGCATCTGATATCACACACTGGACAACCCCCATGTTGAAACCGCCAGTCGACTGGGAAATTTTGCCACCAGAGATCTGGACGTTGATTTTCAGGCATGCCACGCTCGTTCCCAATCTTATCTCGACGGAGTTATACAACTACGGCACGGGCGACCCCACAATGTTCCAACAAAGAAAACTGCACAAGCGGTCTTTAGTGAGTTTTATGTCTTCTTCTTCAACTCCATCACTATATTGTTTCCAGTGGACGAAGCAAAGTTTGGTTCGGGTATGCAAGACTTGGTATACAAGCGCTATCCGTTTTTTATATGAAGCGGTTTTGCTGGGCCGGGGGAAGTCCCTGGCTTCACTGCACGAGGGTCTTCTGCGTTCTCATCGTCCATCGATTGATTTCGAAACTGGAGAGCTGCCTCTAGGTTGGTGGACAAAACGATTAGATGTTGGGATGCGAGACTCTACCGACGATGCCAAGAGTGACATGGCTCTCGTTGGGAGTATTGTCGCAATGCTGCCAAACCTTTCCATCCTTACATTCGATGTCCATGGCCATGGTTATTCCCCAGACAATGGAGGCCTGACTCTTCCAAGCAGTATACTGCGATCAACCTCTCCTGAGAACCTCAACGTGGTATACTGGCACAGTCCAAATGTTCTGCCTACGGCAGAGGATTGGCTCGAGCTTCTGAGTAGCCGCCCTCACCTTCGCTCGATCAGCGACTTTGCATGGGGAGAATACCGTCCCATGGCCACCGCCGTTCCCAACTTTCCCTCACTCACATCTTTACATCTGTCTCGTTCGTGGAGCGTCGAATACTTCAGTCACTTGGAGCTCCTCCACCTCAAGCACTTGACATATCGCGCGCACTACGCTGACTTTGCGCAAAATTTAGCTCCGTTTTTCCAAAACCATGGCGCAAACCTGATGTCTCTAACAACGGATTGTCACGCATCTGGGTGGAACATCCTCCCCCTGATTTCGGAAACCTGTCCAAATCTCATAAGCTTAGAGCTTGTCATTGAGGACTGGAGCTCTTTACCTGACAATAGGTCCGCGCTTCCCCCTATCAGAACAATGAAATACGCCTGTGGGCGGCCTCAGCATGGAAGGCGTCTGTATCGTCGCCTTTTTGCCTTCATCGTTGACGCCATGACCCTGTGTCCTACATTGAAAACTTTCCGGTTTTCCAATGATCGCAGCATTTCTAATCTGAGCGTACACCTTCATGTACTTCAAAGTCAAGTGAAAGTCCTTTTGGAGGCGGGGGTAATATTAGAAAATGCCGAAGGATTGTTAATTGACCTAGGCTGAGGTATTTGTATGGAGCAAGGTGCCTTGTTTTCGAGCACAGTTTTGGTGTAGCATTCCATCCAATAAGGTAAGCTTCCAATTCTAATCAAGAGCTGCCATGCCTGACGATTTGCACCTAAGGTGCGTTACGGCCACCCACGGACATACGTTATTTGTGTACTACGATTTTTTTTTCGAATATGTGGAGATTATTTTCAACTAGTGCACCAACTCTTCCGCGTAGACATCTCACTTTCCCTCAGCGAACGTGTCGCCTCCTGGCGTCTTCACAGCAAAAACGCACTTTACTTCCTCATTTTCGATCTTATCATCAAGGCTATCTGTTCTACACCAATGTACAGTTCGGTTTGAAAGCACGAACTCATCTCCTTGGAGAACAATTGAACGTCCTTTCAGCTCTGGGGTGGCTTTATAAGAAATTTGGAAGGAATACTGATCATCTTGGAGACGCATTATCTCCACATGAGATAAAGTCCTGGAAGTCGTTCGGACGCCAGCTCGAGTTCATCTTTCACGGTTCATTTCCCCCTCCCCCGAACTAATTCCGATATCGATTTGTGTGCCCTATCGGAACGTTGCTCTACAACTTACATGTTTGTGGGGGTAGGAACGGCCACCTGTCGACGGTTGCCTTCTATATTCATGGCACCTTGTGAACAATAACCAGACTGGAGACAAAAATACATACTTGGATTTTGACTGTCCGTTTCAGACTAGCCTTGTCACGCAAAATGACGACCAAGCTTCAGCTGGCTATGCTTCTGAGCGACAAAAGATATGCAAAGCGATGTTCACTGAGATACATAATTGTCCAAGCATCTAACCAGGTCACATTGTACAAAAATATTTGACTAATAGGGTAGTGTTCGTTTATCATGCGTACAAGTTCAATGCAAATGAGAAATATGTATGTAGCAAAGAGCCGTTCAAAGAAGGAAGAAAAAAAAAACAGAATGAGCTGAATGAACCAATGCACGTCAAGCGCAAATCATCAACCAAGCAAAAAGAAATATGGTGCACCTGGGTCACATAACAACGCACACAGACTCGGGCTCACACACCCTCTCACACCAAGACTTCTCGTCCTGCTCCTCCAACTTCCTCGGCTTCTTCCCCTTCCTCCTCCGATTCACGTCCGTGGACTTGATAACCCCTCCTTGCCTCTTCACCTCAATCGTATACTCCCGCGGCGGTTCTCCCTCTGCAGGAACATCATACCACCAGAAAAGCGTCTGACCGTCTACCCGCCACGTCCCGCTGCTCACTTTCACTTCCACGTCCACGAGCAAAGGCGTGGGAGAGGGGGGAGAGAGCGACAGTGGGCCAGGTATTGATGGGTCACAAAGGAGAGATGTAGACGATCCGCTTTCAATGCAGCCTTGCTCCGTGTCAGAGGACCGATTTGCCATCTCTAGATCCTCTGAAGGTTGTGCCCGTTCTCGTATTGACTCCGACAACGACAAAGTGCTGCTGTTGGTCGACCTGGCATCATTGCTCAGTTTGCTTGTCTTCCGCCGCCGCAGTTGTGGTCGCTTGTTTGTTGACGGTGTGGAAGCCTTGCCTTGGACGAGTAGGCGGGGGTGTGCATAATGCACTAGGGGTATATAAACCTCCGTCGCAAGGCCTTTCTCCTCTTCTTCGTCAACTTCTCGCTCCTCGTAGGCTGTCCTGAAAGAATCAACACTCTTGTGCTTTATCCGCTTATTTTGTTCACGGAAGGACGAAGGCAGCTTGACAGGCCGGTCCTCAGGCCCTACAGTGACGACCATCCTGAACAACCCCTTCCCAATGTCGAACTTTACATCTAGTGGCTTCCCCACCACTTTACTAGGATAAGGCCGAGCGAATGCACGAACGGCTCGGGCGCCATTCGTCAAAAAGTCGTATGGGTTGGGAGGTGAGTTACGTGCCAGCGAGTGACCGAAACGCTTCAAACCGAGAGTCGACAATGATCCAATAGAGCCAGTTGTAGCAAGAGTATCGAGACTCGGAGAAGAAATCGCAGGCGTACCACGCAGCTTGGGAGGTGCGAGGGGCCCAGGCTGTTGTTGAACCTCTGGTTGCTTGCTCAGCAATCCAGCACGACTGTCCATTGCATCCCGTTCGGGGATATTACAAACATCATCGTCAGCGTCCTGATCTCGTTGCTTCAAGGAAGATTTCTCGTCCTCGACGTCGTTCCAAACATCGTCGGGGCTCCACAAGCTCAGGTCCTCCATATTCCAACCATCACCCCACTGGTGCGAGTGGTCGTCGGGGCAGAACGTCCAAATTGTATAATTAAGGCCGTTGGATCCATCACAGCCGTTCAGACTGGCGTCGAGAGCCTTTTCCTGGTTACGATAATCCCCTTTGAACTTGCCTTTATCCGTCCAGCCATACGACTTTTTACCATCCATGTCGAATGGTGTACCAATCTCACCAATGATGGTTGGATACGGGCCAAGGATGTCCGCATCGGACTGCAGCAATGCCAACTGCTCTTGAAGGGACTTGCGAATAGCGCCAGAACCGACTTTGACTGCTTGCAAAGGGGAAGAATATTTTCCCCGCAGCAAACCCAGTGCATCGGCGTTGAACCAGTTCCAGTGCCGTGTCACGAGTGTGAGACCGTCGTAGTAGTGAGCAGAATAGGCACAGCGTCCTTGCAAGCAGTCATCGTCCTCTTCGAATTTTGGTGGCTTTGCGAACACGGGGGGTTGAACGAATATGATGGCTTCGGGATGCGCTGAACGGATACGCTGGGTATAAGCCACAAAATGAGGCTTCCAATAGTCAGTGATGAAGTCGACTTCTTGGCCGGTCAGGGGATGGTACTTGAAGTAGTCAGGGCGAACGATGTAACCTGTTTCAATGTCCCAAACGCCGTGTTGGGCCCATATGCATGTCCCAAGAGTCCACTTGGTCGTATCGCGCTTCCATCCCCACTTTGGATGAACTCCATCAACTTCCTCTTCGCCGTCTGACCAGAGCTTCCGGCCCTTAGGGTCAATGGTTACTGTTCCGTCCCGTGAGGGCCCGAACATTCCGAAAGTCCAGTGGTCCACTGTCTGCGCCTTACCCATTCCCAACCTGAGACCTTGCGCTGGCGTTGGAGAGGGCCCTTTCTTGAGTGTGGAGCCCTGCCGCGCGGGAATGGTGTTGAGGTCATCCCACCCGCAAAGACCTTCGAATGGTTCATTCATGTTGTCCCACCCAATGATACAGTCGTCCAAGAGACTACCATTGTCGTATTCTCTTATGCGGTCCGCTAGGACTCCACATGCACCAATGTAGTGGTCCTGAAGATAATCTTGGATATTGACACCGTCAATTATGCAATCAGGTGCAAAGTCGCGACCAGCGAAGAAGAGGGTGAAGACAGTCTGTGAAAACAGACGGCCGTAGTTCGTGCTCCATATCATGGCAGGTAGGGCAGCAGGATCAGGAGCATGGGCTAGTGGATACTCGCAATGAATGATAGCGGCCTGAGTGTCGGTGATATGCTTTGGGTTAATACCGCAAGCAGCGAGGGTCCAGTACGGTGCACCTGAACCACCAGAGAAGCGGGACCACTAAGGCAATTCAGCAAGAGAGAAATGTGCGACAGGATGAGACTCACTGTGTCTTGGTGGGGATCTAAGTAAACACGAAAGCCATAGTCCTTGCACTTTTGCAGGACGCGTATTGTGTAGTCAATGAATTCGTAGTCGTACTTCTTAGGCCCAGCGTGCTCTATGGCCTCCCATGTGAAAGGGAACCTCAGCATGTTGAACCCCCAACCTCTCAGCCGCGCCAAATGCACGTCCGCGGACCCATCGTCGATGTTAAGTGGTCTCCCGACGAAGCTCTCCCCGCCAGCCTCTGCGCTATCCCAAAAGTCTTCGAGGAGATATGACAGGTGGCCAACGGGAGCTTTAGATGCCCCAGAAAGATTCACACCACGTAGGAGAAGAGTCCGACCAGCGGAGTCGACAAAATGGCAGTCGAGGGTGTATATGTAAGAGCTTGACGTCGGAAGGCCCGTCGCTGGGGACGTTTGTGGGACCTTGGGCATGGTGTCGAGCAAAAGGATGCTTGTGGCACTGAAGAACGATTCAGCGTGGATTCCACCACAGGATTCACTTTGATTGTGAGGTCATCGCTACAAAATATAGTCGTACCACTCTTCTTTATCCGCTTTAGGCACTTTCTCCACAACTCCAGTAAATTAAGAACACTGCACAGCGATACTACGGCCGATGCGTCGCACAAGAAACGCAATACTTTCATAATCCTAAGGGCAAGTGAGAGGATATTTCCTTGACAACCGACTCATGTTTTTGCCGAAATATGGACTCTGAATCTATTTCTGTCCTCGATCTATCATCTAATTCAAGATTGTCTAGCAAATTTTCGACTAAAGTGCTGCGCGATTCTGAGGAGCATCGACGGCTGGTAATCGTTTTCCACCTCTGCTCATCAGGTAGAAGCACATTTTTTATAATCGCACGTTCCTCGGGCGGATGAATACACACACGCGAGAGTCCGAGACGTCTTTGCGACATACGCCTCAGCCCGGGTGGAGCAACCTTCCTTCCGCATCCTCAAAAGCCACCCCTGCCGCACGGAGGACTTCCAGTTGATCCCGGAGTAGGCGAGGGTGTGTCTTCAGACCTGCGACATTCCGTTCATCGGATAACCGAACGGTTTTCAGTGTAGGGCATATCGTCTTGGCCTGGACGACGAAGTCAAACATACGGGAGTAGAATGCCGATTTGCCCTGGAGTTTCCTGGAAGCAATTTTGATCAGGTTGATAGGGGGGAATGTGGTTATGTCGGTCGTCAAGTCAGTCCAGCTCTCAACGATGAGCTCTAAAATTACGAGGTTAGGACAGGTTTCCAGAATCAAATCAATCATCCAGGGTGTAAGAAAATTCAGCGCCAGAGACCTTAGTTGCACGCCATGCTTGCGAAAAAGCGGTCCAGGCGACGGCAAGTCGCGGTACAGGTCGTCGATACAATACGTCAAGTGCTGCAAGTTCGGGAGCTCCAAGTAACGCAATAAGTCGAGGGTCCACGAATGAGAAATATGTATAGACGTGAGGGAGGAAAGGCAGTGAGGGATTCCTTGATACTTGAATGGGTAGTCTATTGGATCAAAGTCGCTTATCGAGCGGAGGTGAGGGCGGCTATTCAGAAATGGAAGCCAATCATCTCTATGAGGCACAACATCAAGACAGCAGCAGTATGCCACCTTCAAGTTCTCGGGGGAGGTAGAAAGCAGTACACTGCTTGGAAAATTGCGCACTTTCGAGAAGTAAAGATGGCCCATGACATCCAATATAATGATGCTAAGGTTTGGTAACATGGCGATGATGTCTCCAACGAGAGCAACGTCACGGTTTGGATCGTTGGTAGAATCTCGCATCGCAACGTCTATCCGTTTGGTCCACCACCCCAATGGAAGTGTCGCATCACTTGATACGTTATGAGAACGCCTCAGCGCCTCGAACAATGTAGCCACATCCTTTCCTCGACCAAGCCAAAGGGACTCATACAAAAAACAGATGGCATTCGCATACCAAGCTTTGCATACCAGAACCAGACACCGTCTCGTTACCTGATGAAAAGACGATTAGTCGTTCAAGGTAGACGACATCCAACTCACCAGAGACTCAGGCTGTTTGAACGACTTCCTCTGTCTGCGCATGGCGGGGTCGTGCTTGTCGTAGTTATCTAAATCTGTAGAGAGAAGATCTGGAACGAGGGTTGCATGCCTGAAAATCAAGGTCCAGATTTCCGGTGGCAAGTTTGGCCAGTTGGCCTGCGGTTTGCTGTACGTCTGCTTCGCCGACATGATCCATTCACTGTTTGAATTTTACGAGCTTTGGTAGGGTGCTTTCCTGTATGCTCTGGGCAAACGTAAAGCGTCACGTGGCTCGCTCGATCTCGAGTTCTGATATGTTTGCGTTCCGACATTGTTTCCGGCTTTTGCCCATCTATGTACTATCAGACAACCTCAAGACATTATATTATTGTGATCAAGATGTAGTGCCAGGTGTAGTCCAGAAGAGGTCCCTAAATAGCTCGACGTAACTATTGCAATGCGACGAAGTAGCGATAAGGTGGCTCATGTAGCTGTGGTTGGCCTGAGTCTGAATCCGGGTGTGGGGTATTGGTACGAACTTCCATTGGGGTATCCTTCCGTGGAACCACGGACGTCACAGTTGGGCTCTTGGATGTCGAAGATGAGGTGGGATCTGGATATGTGGTAAGTGAAGTGGTGTGTGTGTTGAAGCTCTACCGTTGCGTGAAATACGCCTCAGCCCGGGTGGAGCAACCTTCCTTCCGCATCCTCAAAAGCCACCCCTGCCGCACGGAGGACTTCCAGTTGATCCCGGAGTAGGCGAGGGTGTGTCTTCAGACCTGCGACGTTCCGCTCATCGGATAACCGAACCGTTTTCAGTGTAGGACATATCACCTTGGCCCGGACGACGAAGTCAAATAGATGGGAGTAAGATGCCGATTTGTTTTGGAGTTTCCTGCAAGCAATTTTGATCAGGATGACAGGGGGGAAAGTGGTCATGTTGGTGGTCAAGTTAGTCCAGTCCCCGACAGTAAACTCAAAGGTTACGAGGTTGGGACAGGTCTCTGAAATCAAATCAATCATCCAGGGTATAGGGCTAGCCATCGCCAGAGACCTCAGCTTTACGCCATGCCTGCGAAAAAGCGGTCCGGGAGACGGGTATTCGTGGCACAGGTCGTCGATATGATACGTCAAGTGTTGTAGGTTCGGGACCTCCGAGTTAATCAATAAGTCAAGGGTCCACGGACAAGAAAGCTGTATAGACGTAAGGGAGGGAAGGTGAGGGATAGACTGAAGCATGAGCATGATCGTCATGGTTCTCGAATCAAAGTCGCTTATTGAGCGAAGGTGAGGGCGGCTGTTCAAAAATGGAAACCAACCGCTTTCCTGAGGTACAACATCGAAATGGCAGCAGTATACCACCTTCAAGTTCTCGGGAGAAGTAGACAGCAGTACACTGCTTGGAAAAGTGCCTGATTTTAGCAACGAGTAACGATTGCCGGTGACGTCCAATATGATGATGCTAAGGTTTGGTAGCATGGCGATGATGTCTCCAACGAGAGCAACGTCACGGCTTGGATCGTCGGTAGAATCTCGCATCGCAACATCTATTCGTTTGGTCCACCACCCCAATGGAAGTGTCGCATCACTTGATACGTTATGAGAACGCCTCAGCGCCTCGTACAGTGTGGCCACGTCCTTTCCTCGACCAAGCCAAAGGGATTCATACAGAAAACAGATGGCATTCGCATACCAAGCTTTGCATACCAGAACCAGACACCGTCTCGTTACCTGATGAAAAGACGGTTAGTCGTTCGAGGTAAACGATATCCCGCTCACCAGAGACTGTTTGAACGACTTCCTTTGTCTTCGCATTGCGGGGTCGTGCTTGTCGTAGTTATCTAAATCTGTAGAGAGAAGATCTGAAACGAGGGTTGCATGCCTGAAAATCAAGGTCCAGATTTCCGGTGGCAAGGTTGGCCGGTTGACCTGCGGCTTGCCATATGTCTGCTTCGCCGACATGAGCCGTTCACTGTCTGAATTTTACGAGGTTTGGAGGTTTGGTAGAGTGCGTGGATGCGATTCGTGACAGTGTCACGGCAAACCTAGTAACACATCACGTCGCTGGCTCTCAAGGATTCCGTTTGAACCATCTGATAGACTTGCGTTCTGACATTGTTTCCAGATTCTAACCATCTATAATGTTGTACTATTAGACAACCTCAAGCCGTCATTCTATTGTTGTAATGAAGATGTGGTGTAGTTTATGCGGGATTTGAAGAGGCCGATGATAAATAGATCGACGTAAATATTGCAATGCGATAAGGGGACTCGAGCATTATTCACGTAGGTTGTGGTTTGTCTGAGTCTGAATCCGAGTGTGGGGTATTGGCACGAACTTCTATTGGGGTATCCTTCGGTGGGAGCGTGGATGTCACCGTTGGGCTCTTCGAATCCTCGACGGTCTCATCCGATAAATGTCGGAGATGAGGTGGGATCTGGATACGTGGTAGCTGAAGTGGTGTGTCTTGAAGCTCTACCCAACCGCCACGCAGGCCAATTTCGACGATGCGTTCTAGAATCCGCGACAGCTCGTCATTTCTGCGGTGAGAGAGAAGATGTTAGCCAAGATTAAGATATGGAACATTAGAAATAGAGAAAGAAAGAAAAAGTGATAGCTGGGCAGGGCAAAACGAGGAAAAGCTCTTTGAAAGGGATAGGCATGGGAGGTTCAAGACCAAGTTAGGGCACCGAAGGGCTAAATGTGCAAACCCAATCCAACAAGGGTCGACAAAGGGGAGGAATGATAAGTCATTAAGATAACTTACCTCTGCTTCTCTTGCAACAACTCCTCTTCCCATCTTTGGGTCAAGGTATCCACTCTACTGTTCAACTCCGCCAAACCCGTCCCAAGGCCATCTATTTGATCGTCAATAGCATCTCGCCGCTTTGATTGATTTCTTGAACTACGCCACGTCTCGCCTATTATAAGACTCGCAGCAACAGCAAAGAGGAATCCTTCTGCCAGTGCGTTGGAACCATTCTCTATCGCTCTACCGAGTTTGTGGTAAGTGAGCCATAGGAAAGCAAACAAGCCTATGAACGTACCGCGATTCTGAAAGTGGCCGAATATGTCGCGCCGGCTCACCAAGGATATTGGTCCGAAGCTTCGTTTCAGAACGATACATGAACTGAGCGAGGCTAACACACATTTCGCGAAATCGTTCGTGTCTGAAGCCTCACCGTCAGAACAGGTCAAATTTGACCAAGTACGACGTACTGCCGAGCCTGTTCTTTTATTTGGGAAGAAATGGGCTTTGCTAACGTCTTTCATGAACTTTGTCAGTAGGTAGGAGATGATATTAGCGGGGAACACACTCGGATGATTAGAGTCGCAAGTTTCGCAGTTGCCATGATGAAAAATGAGAATGATATTCCAGCAGCTGACTGCCCGTTTTACAAAATTCGTCGTATAAAGTGAGCAGGATCTTGTTTCCGGGCTTTGTCGCGCCGAGGAAGCTCGTCACGACGAGGAACACTGTTTGTGTTTGCTTTCTGACAGCCTCTTCGACGCCTCTCTCATGACGTACCCTGGACCAGCCCTGGACGTACTTACCTCTCCCTCGTTCGCTGTTCACATGGATCAAGTCAATTGAGACAGAGCTTGCGGCGCCGCCGCTGAACTGAAGGTTGGGACTATTATATCTCGTTTTTTTATATGGAGACTCAGAGATAGCGTTGGCCTAGGGCAGAGGACACCATGCTATATCGCCAATAACATGCCGTGGAGAGACCTCGAAGTTCGACGCCCTGTGGTATGGTATATAAACCGTGTCTGGCCACTGGCGATGGAAACAATCGCGTTCAAATTGATTTACATAAACAGTACTGGCTCACGAATAATTGGCGAACTCTCGACCGACTTACCGGTATGTTCTAGCTCCTCTTGATTCCAGTCACCTTTTCAACCTGATTTCGGATTGCCTCAGCGACCATCTTGTCCTTCAAGTGGTCCGCCAAAGAGTCATTACTCTGGGACCCCTTCTTCAGGACGTGCTCCTGAAATAGGCCGATAGCTTTGGTAGGTCAGTCGCCAGTGTGCACATTTAACACTCGCATACCTTTATCTAATGGATCTGCAAAGATTTAAATTATGTGTTGACTTCAATAACGCGACACTTACCCTCTTTCTTTGCCCCTCCCCCGAGCGCAGAGCTTAACAAGTTGTCCACTAGACCATGCGACTTGGGAGGCTCTTGCTTTTGCCCTCCGATCGCGCTGCCTATCTTCCCCAACAAATCCCCATGGTCACTTCTTTTCTGCTTTTCCGGTTGCTCCTGATGCAGTACGTCCCCGAGCGCGCCCATGAAACTATGGTGTGTTGGGGGCGTCGGTGAGGTTTGGCTCTGATCGCTCAACCCTGCGATGAGGGCCCCACCAATCTTTCCCGCCAACCCTTCGTGATTAGCACCTGAAGTGGCAAAAGCGCCTAGTACTCCCTCTTGTTTCGATGGCGTTGCTGAAGATGGCTTTTGATGTGTCAATCCGGAGATCAGAGCCCCACCGATTATCCCCGTCAACCCTTCATGATTGGCACCTGGAGACGCTATAGCGGTCGATGGACCCTCTTGTTTCTGGAAAGACGGTGTGGATGACTTCTGATGGGTCAATTCTGAGATGAGAGCGCTGCCGATCTTTCCCGCCAACCCGGAATCATGCTGGGAAGATGACGAGGACGAAGATGGCTTTTGATGTGTCAATCCCGAGATCAGAGCCCCACCGATTATCCCCGTCAACCCTTCATGATTGGCACCTGGAGACGCTATAGCACTCGACGGACCCACTTGTTTCTGGGGAGACGGTGTGGATGACTTCTGATGGGTCAATTCTGAGATGAGAGCGCTGCCGATCTTTCCCGCCAACCCAGAATCATGTTGTTGGGAAGATGACGAGGACGATTTATGGTTCCCCAACTCTCCCATGAGAGCACTACCTATCTTCCCCGCCAATCCTTCGTGCTTGGGAGGGAGAGTCGAAGCAGTCGATGTGGCTGGTTTATGGTCGGCCGGTTGGTTATGACCGTTGTCCCCGATTTTTAAATCTTTCAAGAGATGATCCATGGGTGATGATGGGGATTGGTGCCAGTCAGTGCCTCGCGGATTGCGAACTTGATGTTGTCAAGGCTCAGGCCCCTTTATATGCCCTCGCCGCAAACATTAGGCTTGGCAACGCCGTGAATATGGTCTCCTGCGAAATCGATTGTATATCGATGAATCCAAGAAGTCTTGTCATTCCTTGGGGCTGTGTTGGAAGTCGGTCATAATTAAGACGTGAGGGTCTGCGGGCTTGGTTGACTTTCCAGCATACGAAGTATATGGAAATCCGGTGAGCCCCAGCCACGTTTTCAAAAAAAGAGAGAACATCAACATCCTCGCTCCAAACAGAAATAACGCCTTCTTGGCTCAGTTGGTTAGAGCGCAGGTCTCATATTCGAAATATGAGTAATCACATGATTACGTAATCCTGAGGTCGCAAGTTCGAACCTTGCAGGGGGCAATTAATTATCCTTTTTGCTTTGCAACACCACTGGACTGCTCGCAATTTTTCCTCAGTCTGCATTGGTACCAACCACACACCAATAAAGCCGAATTGAAAACCACTTTGGGATCGACCCACATTCTATTTACAGGTTTCTTCATAGTCACTCAGCTCCAGCCCTAGACAGATGGTGGCAATGTTCCCAATATCGGCCAGTAATTGTCAATTTGCGTCGTAATAAACGTCAATCACGCGTCCAAAGAATCTGGACACCTGATGAGAAATGTCGTTCTAAAACATGGAGACGCTATCCATCAACACAAATTGTCACCGCATGAGACCGTTATCGAAGAAAGCAACTTTCATGTTCTGCAAAGAACACTCTGAGTTGAGAACGGTAGGCGCAATTCACCTAAGTATCATTTTGGACAAATTACTTAGGTACATATCAAGCACAGCCTGTATGGGTTAGTATGGGTTCCATCCTTCAAGGCTCGGATTGATAGCCTTTTCGCAACGAACTCCCACCCTGACTGGGTGGGGAAGCTTCAAAAGGAGGCAACCCAACTGTTGTTGACTTCAGCAGCGCCTGGTGCCTCTCCCCAACCAACTCAATAGGTAAACGCTAGTCGCGCAACGTCTTTCGTCTTTTTGGACTGACCCCCGCGTTATCAGAACTTAGGCTGGTCCTATATCTTACTTCCTTCCTTCAAGACACCTCCAACGACGTGAGTTCTTTCTGTGTGTTGATGTCTGCGTTTTCCTTAGCGCTGACTCTCTCGATGTAGTCTACGTTCACTACTCTCAACCTAACTTACAATCATCATGCAGCTCACCTCCACTTTTGTTTTCCTTGCCGTCCTCGCTTCCGGTGGTAGCCGTGTCTTCTCGCTCCCAATGGTCAGTGCCATATTGTTTACTGTGTAGCAACGGTATCCTGAAAACGTCCTTCCAGGGTGCTGACCTTACCGATCTCGATGCTCGTGATGTTGAGCTTGATATCGAAGCTCGGGATTACGATGCTGACTTCGAAGTTCGCGATTTCGATGCTGACTTTGAGGCCCGTGAATACGCGGACTTTGAAGTCGAAGCTCGCGACTTTGAGGAGGACATTGAGGCCCGTGCCGTTGACCCTACTGTCAAAGCACCTTCGGTTAGTCCTCGTTCTGTCCACATTATTTTGCGGTCTGACAAACCTAATCAGAACTCCACCACTGTTGCCTCTCCCGCTCAGAAGCCCTTGTCAGGGTCTTTAACATCTACCACCACTGGCTCTAAAGTCGATTTGGCTGCTACCAAGCCCACCACGGCCAACAGCACGACCACTTCCGGCGCCGTCACGCCCAAAGAGTCGAAACCCTTGACCAAGAAAGAGAGGAAAGCCCGTGCTAAGGCCCTTCGCAAGAAGAAAGCCGCTGCCAAGAAAGCCGCTCTTCGCAAGAAGAAGGCTGCCCTCCGAAAGAAAAAGGCCCTCCGCAAGGCCAAGCTCGCCGCCCTGCGCAAGAAGAAACATGCCGCCCACAAGAAGGCCATCGCAGACAAGAAGGCCAAGAAGGCAGCGGCGAAGGCTAAGAAGGCAGCGGAGAAGAAGGCCAAGAGCGTGAAGGCAGTGGAGAAGAAGGCTAAGAGCGTGAAGGCGGCAACGAACACCACATCAACGGCAAAGCCCAAGAAGCTCTCTCCACTGGCTAAACTCAAAAAATCCATCGCTGACAAGAAAGCCAAGGCCGCAGAGAAGAAGACGAAGAGCGTGAAGGCCGCAACGAACACCACGTCGACGGCAACGCCTAAGAAGCTTTCTCCTCTTGCTAAACTTAAGAAATCCATCGCTGACAAGAAGGCCAAGGCCGCAGAGAAGAAGGCCAAAAAGACAGCTGAGAAGAAGGCGAAGGCTGACAAGGTCATGGATGCGAAGAGCCTGAAGGTGTCCAAGACCGAGGCGTCCAAGACTGCTGCGGATAAGACTGTGGAGTCATCGCTTCCCGAAACCAGCGAGAAGCCCCACCACAGGCATCACCACTACAGGACCAAGGCCGAGCGCTATGCTGCTCGTAAAGCTGCCAGGAAAGCGCGCAAGGCCAAGTTCGCTAAGGAGTACGGTTTGACCTCGGAAGATGATTTCTCGTCTTCAAGGTTTGACACTCATTACCCTTCGTACTCTCACAAGTCCTTGGTAAGTTCTCTTCCCACTGTGTGTCATGGTGTGTTGCTGACCACCTCGTTTCGCAGAGGAAGTCTCACTACGTTGATGCCCCAGCTGCCTCTCCCTCTACCACTGCCGTTCCCCGTCTTTAAGTGAGCAAGTAGACAAGAGTAGAAATGATTTTTTGTAGTAGGTTCTAGAATCGTACCTTGGTCTGGGGGAAGTTGATTGGTCTGAGGACGTGTGTCTCGGCAGTCGGTAACTGTTGCGAAATGGGTCTTTGTTTTTTTTTTTTTTTTGGCTGGTTGAACACGAGAATATCTCCGCAATAATAGGGTCATGCCGAACGCTGCCCCTCGAAAGCCTCGCAATTCTATTCCTGTTCAATGCAAGTGGTATGTTGAAGAATGGAACTACGTGATGGTACAAGTGATTCAAAAATTCAACCTTCAATTTGTGCGATCCTCGCATCCAACAGCCTAAGAACAGTATCAAGGCCAAGCAAAACACCTTCGTCACGGCCTTCTCCCGGTGCCAGGCGTGTATGAGCAAAATCAATAATTTTGACGACGAATGGAGGGCCTGGCCGATCGTCGTCGTCGTCATCTTCATCTTCGTCCTCTTCCTCGTCTTCATTGCCTTCGTCCAGCAACAGCCGCTGCAAACCATCCTCCGCTCTAGCCCAGTCAGCTTCGTAGACAATGAATAAGCTGCCCCCAGCCATGCGGATTTCAAGAGTCGTGAAGACCCCACGGATATCCGCAACATCCTCTCGGATGGCACGGAGGATCGGTAGCAACGTTTTTTTAGAGAGCCCGGAAGAGGCGTTCGGTGCTTGTCCGACAGGGAAGAAGCGCGAGATACCATCAGGAAGATCGCTTGGTTTGATACTTTTGCCGTAAGATTTCGGAGTGATGACTGGGAGGGAAGTGGCATTATCATATACCTACAATTCTGTATATTAGTGTTGTCGAGAGGAGGGAATGGAGGCAAACCTGAAATCCGGTCAACCTGACGCCAGTCTCGAAGGAAGTCGTATTTCTTGCGGTCTTCTTCATCCGCTCGACCTTTTCTGGTGACGCGGTTTCATCATACAGTATCGTACCAAGCTTAACGTCCAGAATGTTTGGTTTGAGGAAGGGATATGTAACATTCTCTAAGACAATGGACTGTATTGTCCAAAACACTATCAGCGATACAAAAGTCGATTTCACGGAGAACACTCATCTTTATGGTCGTCTATGGGTTTAATAGCGATCCCGCCGTTAGGTGTGATGGGGTTGCTCTGGTCGACTTCCCCCTCTAGTTCCAAAGTTCCCAGAAAGTCAGCTGTGAAGGGCCGCAAGGCTTCCAAGGCTGGATCGTATTGCAGTTTCTGGTAGATCTCAAGCTCGCGAGGTAAGGCCGCTTTTATAAGAAGTGAACCGTCTTCGGTGGTGAGTACACCAGCGTGCCCGCCTACTTGGGAGTTCAGTGTTCGAGTTGGACCTATCTCCATCCGACCCCAGTGTACTTATATGCTTTCGAGGCCGTGTGGTGCTGTGCAGGAACTGGGGCAAAGTTGTTGAGCTTTACCACATTTACCTCTGAGTCGCAACCACAACGCCTCAAACTCTGGACTATGACCACAACACCTACCTCGCCGTCGCCCTCTCTACAGCACCTCATACTCGCTTTCAACCTTCGTCGCTGTCGGCCGTGCACCCCTCCTTGGCGTACCATGGGCAAGTGGGCGAACTACATGACGTGCAATTATTTGCCGTGCCCAAGGCTGACTGGGATCAGGTTGGAGAAGATATTCTGGCTGTTTTGAAGGCCAAGCAGGGTGTTTTGGGTGTAGATGTTCAGGTGCCAAAGCAACGGGTCAAGCGAGGAAGCGATGAGTTATAATTGTGAGTTTCGAATAATTACGAGTCCTACATTCACCACGGCATCAGGAGGCAATAAACCTGTGCAAGATACCTCTCTCGTAATATAACCTGCTTCTTAGTTTTGGCTTTCGAACCCTCGACGATCCGGTTATCAATGTGAGCCTGTTCTTTGACTGCATCATCTCACAGTTCTCACCCACATGTGGAAAAGATAGACACGAATTGACGTTCTTCCCGCCCAGTTGATTAATGTTCCTCGTAACAGGGAGCATAGTACTACGCAAGAACGCCTATCGCCTGACTGAATAAATTTACAGTTTATTTAACGGCGCTCTGGCTTGGCCGCGCTCGCCTCCCCTCCATTTGCGCCCATTCTTATATTGAAGAAGAATGTAGGGAAGTGACGGTAAGTGAAAGCGAACTTAGCTGGTATTCTGCGCATGACAATGATGACCTCTAGCCGCGAACCTTGCCTCCTGGGGAACGGATCCCAGCGTGCTCTGCAGATGAGTCTTGTCCGCGGCAAACTCTGCCATGTCCACCCAGTTTCAATTTGACGAACAGCGACGTATGATCAGATGAGCTCGAAACCGTTTATTGCGCTCTCGACGATCTGGTCATCGATAGTGAGCTATTTCTTCTGGCATCGCGATCACCAAGTTTTTGGTCTTACACAACTTGGTTTGCAGGGTTCATAGATGCAAATCGAGTGCAAAAAATGAACAGTATTTCTAGTTCCCGGTGCACCACACTTCTGACTTGTCCGCGCACCACACGCGTCATTTTCCTAAATCGAAAGGCGTAATGAAGGTAAGTGCGAAGAAGCTTGAAAAGTGTTCTGCGTTGACGTAGGACAACTGGTAGCACGACCCTCAACCTTGCCGCATCAGAAACAACTCCCGAGGCTCTTTGGAAGGGCGAGCAAATTCGGCGGAGCCCATTCACATGCGCCTTGCCTCAGGTCGTAAAAGAATGGTGTCCACGGACAACCTGACCTAGTGCCTCCATTCGACGAAGATGACGGTCTACCAAAGGTCCTCAAGCTTGCGGCTTTGAAAATAAATCCCGATGTGCTTTGTAGACGAGCGTTTTCGGAAAAACTGCTTCACGTAACTTCCCTACATCGTTGAAGAACACAGCCAGATGGAATGACGGTATGTCCACACAAACTTGACTGGTGTTCTGCGCTTGATAATGACAACCGATAGAACATGGGTTGTTTGTCATCGATTATATTCAGCTCCTCGCCGACTCAGCGGATAAGTTGCCCCTTTTCTTTAATAATTCGAGTTTTCAGCCATAGTTTGGTATTCGTTCTATGCACTTAAAATGTATCCAAGCCGTCGATAGTCGGGGTGTGGTCCGAAAGCTGAGAACATTCTCAGCAGGACAGGCAAAACACGTATGCCACAAATTACATTGCCCTTGGATAACCTGAGGGTGTAAAACTGGGGTTTTCGAACCATAGGATTACTGAGCTTTTTGAGAAGGCTGTAGAGGTTGAGCCCTGCATTCTTGGAACCAACTATTCCCACGGAAATGCTGATTAGGTGAAGGTTGTATCCTGTCCACGTATTGCAACACGAAGATGAGCAACCTCTTATCCGGTGGCCCAATCCTTGCTGTAGGTATCATAGTCGTGGTGGGATGGGCTGCATGCACAAAGTTACTGCGCAAGAAGACCAGTTTACCCGAAGCGACACCACTGTCACCAGAGTGGCATGACCTCGTCCATCGAAACCAGTACGGGCGGCGTCGATTGCATGACGATCAACAGAGCATGTTGAGGGACTTCGTTTTAATCTCGATGAGAGGTTCCCTGAACTGCGTACGCAGGGTACGTCGACCGTCCTGGGTATGGTCCAGGTTCTGTGACTAACTGACCCAAGATGTGCAACTACTTGGGGAGGCGCAAAATGCCTGAGCACCTGCGCATCGCGCCAGAATCCATCATCGACATGGGAGCCTACCAGGCACTCCGAACGCCGAACTACAGAAACGGCAACATTTTAGAGTTCGTCAACAGGCGAGCGGTTAGTGATGGAAGGAAGTTGCAGCTGGTAAGCAATCTCCATTATGTGGAAGCACGAGCTCATCGGAAACCATTTAGCTCCTGCAAATCGCGCAAGGGCTTGCATACCTCCACAGCCTCGGAATCGTCCACGGAAATCTGTACCCGGTATGTAGGAGGAGAGTCAGGACGTTGTTGTAACTAACTCGACTCCCAGGCCAACGTTCTTGTAACGGACGACGAGGACATTGTGCTGACAGATGCAGGAATATATACCGAAGTTGTGAAATTGATGCTTTTGCCCTCTGGTCGCGTACGCATTCCCGAATCGTTCATATACAAGTCTCATCAAGAACTTCGTGGAGAGGAAGTGCCAACAAAGAGTGCTGATGTTTACGCGTTCGCAAGCACCTGCTATGCTGTAAGTAAACAGCTCTAAATGTTGATGATTGCTGTAACCGGGATTGACAGATTATGACTGGTCGGGCACCATTTTCCGAAATTGCCAACCCATATCAACGCATTATCAAGATTGCCCAGGATGGGCACACAACGCTCCCAAAACCATCATCGACCAGCACATTGTTGTGGGATCTCATGATGGAGTGCTGGTCAGCCGAACCAACAAAGCGACCGGCAATGGTCGACGTTGTTCACTGGCTGGGAGTGGCCACTCCGAATCGTTGAAGCTTTCTCATCTGATGAGACGTCGATGAGATTTTGGTCTACTTATATTGGGTGAAATGGGCAGGAAGTCGCAGGTGATTTCGAAATATTTATGTTCACGTGTTGTGTCGATAGGAATGTAGGATTGGTTTTTGGTCAGAAATTTTGATCTGGAGGAGAACATTGTCACTCATAAATCAGAAGATCACGCAAGTTAAAGGGGCAACTCACAGTTTCTAAAGTAGCCCCGCAGAACTGGGATTTTGAATCTGAATTTTTAATGACAGGTTTAGAGTGAAACAACGCTTCTAGAAACACGCCGTTGTGATTAACCTGCGCAACGGTCTTAGAGGGGACCAAAGCAAGAGGATGAACAGTGGTTTCTGTCCTCCTCCAGACCATACTTGGCCATCACTTGCACGGCTGACAATCCCAACTGATAGTTGTTATCGATGGTCGTAGAGTACGATCAAAGGGGTAGCTGCGTGCTTCGCAACCAAGCAGGGAGAATGAAGCTGATAGTATGCAGAGAGGGGCGGAGTAGGTGAAGAGTGAGCGTGGCGGACAATATGCGTATCTGGTCGCGGTAGAAGAAAAGAACGAGTAAGGGCAGTGGTGCGCTCCTATGTGACTGATGTTGGGGTTCTTCCTCGTCCATTTGCTGACAAAGTATTTGTAGTGCGTCGGAAAAGCAGCCTGTGATGAGCCGGGACGCGGGACAGATATGGGGGACAAGTCATCGCGAGATACGTGCGACCGTAGGTGCTCATTACGATCCTTCGGTTATAACCAGCCTCAGTGATAGAATCCCGATCCTCGAGGCCCCGAGGATTACCCACCAAGCGAATCAAGGCACTAAAATCAGGATGATCATCGCTCGTAAGGGGGATAAGGAAAAGACAACGAAGGGACTTGGCGTGATGGGGTACCAGATAGCTAGCGTAGTCGTACATAGTCTTTCTTTCCTCAAATTTTACATCTGCATGAAGACCAGAAGCTCAGCCGATCCACTTCGAACATGAGATGAAGCAACCAATACGTCAACCAGGGGCAATTTGGTTCCAATTCCCAGTCCAGCAAACATGCTCTTGATGTGATTGCATATGTCTCTCGATCGCTCGACGAGCAATTCACCAACAGCAAGGAAGGGCGGGATTTTGGAGAAGACTGAAGTCACATAGAATTGGAATATAGTTAAACGCAGCTGGTTATCGTTGGAACGTTATTACCTGGCCATAGTTGAATTGATAACCATTGAATGTCAGCCCCCTGGCTATCCCGAGGGACCAACTCCAGCGAAAACACAAAACGACAAGGAAAATCAACCGCGGGTGAGACTGCGTAGTAACCGACCTAGTGATCCCATGTTATCCCGCGGAATGCGTTGAAAACAAATGGCCTACCAACACGCCATTGGTCAATACCAGACCGTGAAAAAGATTTGCTTCCATGTTAAACAATATCATATCTGTGGCGAGCAAGATATACTGCCCAGATCCAGATCCCATGGACAGCATCCCAGGTCCTTCTCTTTCCTCAATGCCATTTATGAAGTCCTGCCTACCGATTCAAGACGCTACAAAGTTGGACGCGATTTGGAACTCAATTCCGAGAGATAGTGTCATTCCTCGACAGAGTGCACTGCCAAAGGCCTCTTCGCGGAAAGACGTTATGAGATTGACAAAGAGCCACAGAAGGGGTAAGAGGAGGCCGGGCTACCGCACAACGGCCTTGGACGACGTAAGATTGAGAAGAATCTTTGGATGGTTATTGGAGAAGCAGTAACGGCGACAGAATAACGCGCATCGAACAGAAATGTCCCAGCTCCCAATGCCTGACGCTGTTGCGATGAGGATGGGATAGACTTGAGACAGAAGCATCAAAGTTGAGGTCTTCAAGTTATGTGTTGACCAGCGCAGGTGGATCGCTATCATCTCGAGATGTGGCATACGTTTGAAAAGTTCCACAAGGGTAACTTACAAAGTAGAATATTGATGGCGATAATCAAGTTTATACATACGCCAGAGCAACGACGCTCCTACTGCAATTCCTCCTACATCTGGGTCAACGGGGCCAGGACGAATCGCGAGGCAAGGATTAGGTAGGCGAATGGAATTCATGGCCGAGAGGATTGGAAGAACTTTGGGGTGATAGAGATGAAAGAGGCGGATATGGGGTTTTCCTGAGTTTGGTGTTATATCATATACACGGTTGTACTAATCGAACGATAGGATAAACGGCCGCAGAGCCATGTTTGCGGACCATGGGAGCTGGAACGATGTTGCAAGGGTTGATACGGGTCATCAAGAAAGGCCGTTATGGGGTTTTCCTGAGTTTGGTGTTGTGCGGTTGATATCATGTACACGGTTGTACTGATTGAACGATAAAATAAACGGCCACAGTGCCATGTTTGCGGACCATGAGAGCTGGAACTGTGTTGCAAGGGTTGATGCGGGTCATCCAGAAGGGCTGTCAAATGCAACTTCATACGGGTCATCAGGAAGGCCGTCGAGAGCAAGAATCTTGAAATTTACCGGCCATTGGAAAGGATGATAAGGTGGAATGTAGCGCTGGGCTCGGCGAATTTGCGACAATATCTCATCCCCATCTAAAGGGGTTCCAGGCCATGGGCCGTCGTCCATCAACTGTTGCCTTCTGTCTGGCATGAACACACGAAAATGGAGTCAGATGCGTCTTTGAAGAGTTTTGCGATTTGGCGTAAAACCTCTACCTATTTACGTCGGTGAGTGCTTCGAAAGACAAAAATGGAAGAAAACTGGACCTCATCGAATCAATCGTATACCGATTTGGGCAACGGAACATAGGCGCACGTGGAGTTACGTTGTCTCAAGATGTGCAGCGCGTCTATTGCTAGGACCTGCGGTGATAACGGGGGAGAATGTCCAATTGTCGATACGTATCTGGATCGCAGTGTTGTTTGATTTTCTGGACATATTGGACAACAGGCTCAATGACTTGTCGTTCGATACCGTACGACCTGGGGTCGGGCGACGCCACAGGTTCCATGGGTGGGGCTATTCCCTTTTTTGAGCCTTGAATTGGATGCGACGTTAACTTGCACGAACCGTAGTCAACCGCACCCTCCTGGCGCCACATGGGACCTCTCCCGGCCCGTTATTCGTAGCCTGCATCGTGGTACCGTGACTGTAATAAGTTGGAATCGCGTGCGTCTGTCGAGCATTCAATACAATATCCGACAGGAAGAAATTGAAGTCTTGAATAAGGGACGAACGCTGAACACATAGAAACGCGTTTGATAACGGCAGGAGTGTTGATTCTGGTGACCAAAGTAAGACGTAGTACACAGCTCATTTTTAGGCTCCTCATGGTTATCCAAAAAGTGATTGTAGACATCGGGTTGGTCAAAAATTGGACCTTGGCAACAAGATGGCTGCGAGCGTCTGGCATGTTAAGTGGAAAATCTAGCGAGTAGTTCTGAGCGTCGGCCGGTGACTTCTGGACGGCCAAATGGGTTGTTCGGGATCGTCATAGGCACGACTGGTTCAAATACTGACGGAGGGGCAATATTTTGAGGTAGGCAGGAGAATTTACAGTAAATGGTATGATGGTACGTGGTGGGAAAGCAGTCGTGAGCCGTAATGTTCAGCTATGTTTCTTGTGCTTGCAGAAGGCTGTGTCTGGCTGTGTCTTTCAACTTCAAGATGAGCGTTAGCAGATCGACCGATCTGACACAGCCTAGCACAGCCTTCCTCTAGCATGGGAAAGCTAGCAGACCGATCGATCTGACACCCGAATACGGCAATACGGCACGGCGTCGGTGACATCCATATCTCTTCCACCAGACGCGTCGACGCGTAGGCAAGACGACGCGTCCTCCTCGACATACAGTCGTGGACAAGCAAAGCCCACTAATTTGGTATCTTGGTAAATAATGTATCTAGAGCTGAGATTTTTCCAGATTCTGGCTCAGATTTGCGAAATGCGTCGAAAAACGCACCTCCGAAGTTTTTCCCACGAGGAATTGGCGTGGCCAAAATTTTGGACCAAAAAACTGCAACATTTGGGGAGAAAAACAGGTCGAAACCGGCCAGAAATTATCGAAAGTTGGTACCTGTGCTGGGCTTCGGCTGGAAGCTACTCAGAAAGGGCAAAGAATCTATCAGAAAGGGATTTCCCTGCATTTCGAAAGCCTAGTGTGATGGAATTTCTTAGTCCCGTGATAGATGTCACATCTTTTTGGTGTCCGGCCAAAAATTTAGGGTCTATTTTTGTATATGGCCATTTTCTCCAAAACGGCTCGTGAGACTTGGCTGAAATTTGGCCAGAAGCTTCCCTCAACGTATCTGCACGTTTTCCGGGCACTTTGGTAGTCATCAATAATTTCCATTTTTATTAGTGGGCTTTGCTTGTCCACGACTGTATCCCATCAAACATAGGCTGATTGATCATTGAACACCCATGTGGTTTTTGCAGGCAGTCGAGTTTGAATGGTGCATGCAAGATCCAAATTCGGGAAAATTCCCCGCATGTGGCATATGATTCCAAAGTGAGTTCAAATTCAGCCTCTAAGATTTCGAAACTGTGCCCGAAGAGTGCCTCATTTGTCGTGATGGACTTACATTGGAACTTCAGAAGTATAACATGCAGCGTCATCTTCAAGAACGGCATCGGAGTTGGGAGCGCGATGGTAAATGATTTTCGTGACGGAATTTTGTCAGAACAAACGAGGAGGAAGCCAAATGTTACGGGACCTATCAACTCCTATCAACCACTCATGACAGCCATGGTGATTCTCCCCTGAGACCTCGCCACACTCATTTTACAAACACATCTCCTAATTTGCCTTTCTCACTATCACCACATTGCTAAAAAGCATCTCCAGCTTAGTCTCCCGATGTCAGACTCCGATATGAAGTTGATGATAGTCGATCAATTTCATATGGAGTCTGCTTTCAAACGCGCCCGCAACATGGGCGTAGATTATTCTCACGGCATTTATTCCCACGGTTCAAGACAGCTCGTTAAAAAAAGTTGTCATGTGATCGCTTCGCGCGACACGTCTTGTAGATCGAACAGAAATAGAGGTTGCAATTTCGAGTTTTCCATGGCTCAATGTCCGTGAAACCGGCCCCAATCCCACCTGAGACACCTCATCAACAAAATATTCTTGCACCGATCACTCCTACCCCATTCTGGAACTACAATGGAGTTTTAAATAGTTCATTCTCTCCATTTCCTTATTCCCTGTCCTTCCCAACTTGTTCCTAGATTTGAGGATTAGTATATTTACAACATTAGAGGTATGAAGAGCCAATACCTGGTCTTCCTCAAGTGCAGTTGTTGGATATATAGCAAGAATGGCTGGATTGGAGGGAAAATTCGCGGATGGACAAAGGGTAGGATCCTCCAGGATAGCAAGTATGACATGCATAAGCATGTACATATATGCAGATCTCCCTGATCCCGTTGCCGAGATCGCAAGGAGGTTGTTTCCGTCGAGCATTGAGGTAATGCCCTGAAGTTGGTAGTCATGTGGACCAGACGACGTGTTTATGTTGGATTTGGCGGGAGAGGGCCCACCCCTCTGCAGAGTTGAATGTAAACTTTTTGGTTGCAGGTGTTTCAGGCATTATTGCCAGAGAAAACGCGTATAATTCGTCGACGAAGCACAACTAATTAACAACGCGACGCGGTCCGTGGGAACAAAACGTGACCATTATTTTTACGCCCATGTTGACCTTACCACAAGGCCCAGACTATCTCCAGCTCGATCTCCTATGAAAATGATGTTTTTCATTCCTTACCAACCAGTTACTAACACCCCTACGTCAATATAACTTTACTTCCACTACATAGTTTGATGAACGAATACTTATATTTCGCTGATGATTTTACCTACTGATGAGTTGTCTTTGCCGTTGACATGCCGACCCTCAGCAGCTAGATGTAGCAGATGGGCTGATGTGACACGGTCCTAGGCGCCCAAAGTTGTCATGTCAGATCCTCATCCCAGCGATGGGCAGAGATGGATATTCCGGGGGAGTCCTTGGAAAAAAGGCCGTCTGTGAAGGCTGCATGCAACGAACACCACGTCGAGGCAAAACCCAAGAAGTTCTTTCATCTGGCTAAACTCAAGAAATTCATCGCTGACAAGAAGGCCAAGAGCGTGAAGGACGCAACGAACACAACGTCGACGGCAAAGCCAAAGAAGCTCTCTCCTCTGGCTCAACTCAAGAAAGCTGACAAGAAGACTTAGGCCGCAGAGAAGAAGGCCGAGAAGACAGTTGAGGGGAAGGCAAAGGCTGACAAGGTCACGGATGCGAAGAGCCTGAAGGTGTCCAAGACCGAGGCGTCCGAAACTGCTGCGGATAGGACTGTGGAGTCCTCGCTTCCCGAGACGAGCGAGAAGCTCCACCACAGGCACCATCACTACAGGCCCAAGGCCGAACGCAATGCTGCTCGTAAAGCCCCCAGGAAATCGCGCAAGGCCAAGTTTGCTAAGGAGTATGGTTTGACCTCGGAAGATGATTTTTTGTCTTCAAGGTTTGAGAGGAATATCGCTTGGTTTGATACTTTTGCCATAAAATTTCAGAATGATGACTAGGAGGGAGGTGGCATTGTCGTATACCTACAATTTTGTATATTAGTGTTGTCGAGAGGATGGAATGAAGGCAATACTGGAATCCGGTTAACCTGACGCCAGTCTCAAATGAAGCCATATCTCTTGCAGCCTTCTTCCGCTGTTTGACCATACAGTATCGTATCGAGCTTTACGTCTAGAATCTTTGATTTGAAGAAGGGGTATGTAACATTCTCTAAGACGATGGACTGTATTGTCCAAAACACTATCAGCGATACAAAGGATGATTTCACTGGAAACACTCACCTTTATGGTCGTTTGTGGGTTTGATGGCGATCCCGCCGTTAGCTGTGATGGGGTTGCTCTGGTCGACTTCCCCTTCCAGTTTCAAAGTTCCCAGAAAGTCAGCTGTAAAGGGCCGCAAGGCCTCAAAGGCTGGATCGTATAGCAGTTTCTGGTAGATCCCAAGCTCGGGAGGTAATGCCGCTTTTATCAGAAGTGAACCGTCTTCGGTGGTGAGTACACCAGCGTGCCCGCCTACTTGGGAGTTCAGTGTTCGAGTTGGACCTATCTCTATCCGACTCCAGTGTATATGCTTTCGAGGCCGTACGCGTGTGGCTGTGCAGAAACAGGGGCAAAGTTGTTGAGCTTCACCACATTTACCTCCGAGTCGCAACCACAATGCCTCAGACTCTGGACTATGACCACAACACCTACCTCGCCGTCACCCTCTCTACAGCATCTCATACTCGCTTTCAACCTTCGTCGCTGTCGGCCGTGCACCCCTCCTTGACGTACCATGGGCAAGTGGGCGAGCTACACGACGTGCAATTATTTGCCGTTCCCAAGGCTGACTGGGATCAGGTTGGAGAAGATATTCTGGCCGTTTTGAAGGCCAAGGAGGGTGTTTTGGGTGTTGATGTTCAGGTGCCAAAGCAACGGGTCAAGCGGGGCAGCGATGAGTTGTAAATTGTGAGTTTCGAACACTTACATCCTGCGCGAGCCCTGCATCCACCACAACATCAGAAGGCAATAAACCTGTGTAGGATACCTCTCTTGAAATATAACTAGGATACCTCTCTTGAAATTCAACTTGCTCGCTCTTAATTTTGGCTTTCGAACCCTGACGATCCGGTATCAATTAAGATGTGAGCATGTTCTTTCATTGCATCAAGCTTTTTTGTCTCACAACGCTATTTGTAGGATTTTCACCGAGACGATCATCTACGTAAGGACGCCTACAGTCTGACTGAAGTAAATTTCCCCCGTTTATTTAACAGCTCAGAGTTTTTTTTCTGGCTTGGCTATGCAAACCCCTCCTTCATCGTCCTCAGACCGGAGAAGAACGCAGAAAAGTGACGGAAAGTGAAACCGAATTTGGCTGGTGTTCTGTGCATGACAATGATAGCCTCTAGCCGGAAATTTCAACATCCACGTTGCAACCATGCCGCCTCCCAGCGTGCTATGCAGGTAAGTCTCGTCCGCCGAACGGTGCCACGTCTGCCCGCCCTCGGATCGAAAAACAGAGACGTATGACTAGATGAGATCGAAAGCAAGTCGAAAGTCTGTCTATTGGACCCTCGCGATAGTTGGTGTGGTCCGAAAGCTGAGAACATTCTCAGCAGGACAGGCAAAACACGTATGCCACAAATTAAGTTTCCCTTGTTTAATCCGGGGATATAAAACGGGGGCTTTGAACCATAGGATTACTGAGCTCTTCGAGGCTGTTAAGTATTAACGTAAGGCCGACGACCCAAGTATTCCCACGTCAACACTGATCGCTGATCAGTGTGAGCTGAGGATTGTGACTCCCCAACGTATTGCAACAACGAAGCGACTAACATGGGTAACCTCATATCCAGGGGCCCAGTCCTTCACGTCTTCACTGCAAGCACCATACTCGTGGTGGGGTGGGCTACCTGCACAAAGTTGAGGTGCAAAAAGACCAGTCCACCCGAAGCGACACCACTACGACCAGAGTGGCAGAACATCGACCATCGAAACTGCTACGGGCGGCGTAGATTGCACGAGGTTGGCCACAATGACGTTCAACAGCGCATGTTGAGGGACTTCGTTTTGATCTCGGAGAGAGGCTCTAAAAACTGTGTGAACAGGGTATGTCGCTCGTCCTGGGTAGGGTGCAACTTCTGCAACTAACTGACCCAAGATGTGCGAGTACTTGGGGGGGCGCGAAATGCCTCAGCACCGGCACCTCGCCCCAGAATCCGTCATCGACATGGAAGCCTACCGAGCACTCGTAACGCCGAACTACAGAAACGGCAACATTTTGGAGTTCATCAACCAGCGGGTGGTTACTGATAAAAGGAAGTTGCAGCTGGTGAGCAATCTCCATCACCTGGTAGCACGAGCTCATCGGAAACTGTTTAGCTCCTGCAAATCGCGCGAGGGCTTGCATACCTCCACAGCCTCGGAATCGTCCACGGAAATCTGTACCCGGTATGTAGGAGGGGAGTCAGGACATTGTTGCAACTAACTCGACTCCCAGGCCAACGTTCTTGTAACGGACGATGAGGACATTGTGTTGACGGATACGGGAATATATACTGAAGTTGTGAGGTTGATGCTTGCGCCCTCTGGTCGCATCCCCATTCCCGAATCGTTCGTATACAAGTCTAACCAAGAGCTTGGTGGAGAGGAAGTACCAACAAAGAGTGCTGATGTTTACGCTTTCGCGAGCACTTGCTATGCTGTGAGTAAATTGCTCTGAATGTGGAGGATCGCTGTGACCGGGAGTGACAGATTATTACGGGTCGGGCACCATTTTCTGAGATCGCCAACCCATATCAACGCATTTTGAAGATCGCCCGGGATGGGCACACGACGCTCCCCAAACCGTTATCGACCAGCACAATGGTGTGGGATCTCCTGATGGAGTGCTGGTCAGCTGAGCCAACAAAGCGACCGACAATGGACGACGTTGTTTACTGGCTGGGAAGGGCCGCTCCGAATCGTCGAAGCCTTCTCATTGGATGAGACGTCGATGAGATTCAAAGAGACATATATATCGACAGAATGCCGAATGCGATTTCAAATGATTTATGTTCACGTGTTTTCTAGAAATATGCTGAAAGAATGCAGGATTGGTTTTTGATCAGAAAATTTGGTCTAGAGAGGAACATTGCCATTCATCATAAATCGGAAGATCATGCACAGTAAAGGGGCAACTCACAGCTTCTACAGTAACCCCCTGGAAGGAACTGGGCTTGAATCTGAATGTCTATAAGACAAGTGTAGAACAAGACAACACTTCTAAAAATGCGCCGTTGTAATTGACCTGCACAAGGGTAATAAAGGGACCAAGGCAAGAGGATGGACCATGCTTGGAACAAGATCAAAACTCAAGATGGCAGGTACACCTGCTTGGGATGGTCAGCCGTGCGAGTGACGGGTAGTTGTTGTCAAGTGGGGTGGAATCGTAGAGTACGATCGAAGGGGAGATAGCGTGCGCCGCAACCAAGTAGGAAGAACGAGGTTGATAGCATGCAGAGGGGCGGACTAAGTGAACAGTTGCGTCAACTCACCCCTCATATCACTCAACGCGTTGTACGTGTAGTTCAACTAATCCTGAGACAAGACACGTCTGAGATACGAGAGGTTGAGTGTGCGAATGTCTAGTCCGTCGATGAAAATAGTGCCCTCGCATGGGTCATCAACGATGACATCGAGACGAGTCATTGCACGAAAGGTGTGAACGGAGTCATACTGATTTATTCTAGAGTCGAGTGGGTGCGCGAGACGTGACTTTCCATAATGGGAGATGCGATCGGCAACTTGACAAAGAAAACGACCTGCAGCGACGCGGCCAACATAGCCTGTGTTGTATGACTAGAGGCGCTCGCATAGGTACTGGGTGTCATTAATTGTGGTGAACGGTTGGACGGGGCAAGGATGGGCCGGCGATGACTTCCTCGAGATTGTATGACGGGCGGGTTTCGATGTTTGTATTTCTTTTTGAGAGGTTCACACAAGGAATCGATATCATAAAGGCTTGAGACTGACTTTTGCAAGGGGAGCTGCCGAAAGATCAACCCAGCTCGATGAATTTGCGACAATATCCAACTTGCGTCTACTCTTATCTAAAGGGGTCTCAGCGCGGGGCCGCCGTCCATCAACTATTGGCTTGTATCCGGCATGAACAGACAAAAATCGGCTCTGAGGTCAGGGTCGTCCTTGAAGAGTTTTGCGATTTGGCGTGAAACCTCTTTCTATTTCACCGCTTACGTTAGTAAGTGGCTCGGAAGACAAAAATGGAAGAAAACGGCACCTCATCAATCGTGTCCCAGTTTGGGCGAAGGAACATAGGCGCACGTGGATCTATGTTGTCTAAAGATGGACAGCGCGTCAATTGCGGGGACTTGTGGTGACATGTCCGAGAATTGTCGATACGTATTCGGATCGTTTGATTTCTCGACGTATAGGACAGTAGGCTCCTTTGAACCTTGAATTGGATGCGATGCTGACTTGTACGAACCCCCACCCTCCTGGCGCCACAGAGGTCCCGAAGGCGGTGAGGTTGACCAAAAATGGGTCCTTTTCCCGGCCCGTTATTCGTGGTACCACTGGGAGTGGTGACTAATAGAGCTGGAATCGTGTGCGCCTGTCATGTGATATCCCACACGAAAAAGCCTTGAATAAGGGACGGATGACTGTTGTAAAGATGAGAAACACGCTGGATAAAGCCGGGAGTGTCAATTCTGGTGACCGAAGTAAGAGGTAGCCCAACGGTCTAATGATTTAGCACTCACTTGCTCATTTTTTAACTCCTCCAAAATGTGATTGTAGACATAGAGTTGGTCAGAAATTGAACGTTAAACTTCAGGGTAGGGAAGTCAGATCAAATGGACGATATAGCGAGTAGCTCCGAGGGTAGACTGGTGACGTTCTTCTGGACCGCTGAGTGAGGGGATTTTGTTCGGGATTATCGACCAGCATAGGCACGGCTGGGGGGGGATATTTGAAGGTGGGGCAGGTGTGGTGGGAAAGGGTCAAACCTAAGTAGTTTTTTTGGATCGATTTAATGTACCGAATCTAGATCGTCAGTGAGTGTATCACCGGTTGAGAACCAGTTGTTCCTCATTGGGACCACCCTAGAATATATCTCTGATCGGATTCGATGTCAGCAGTCAAGCGCTGAGGCCTGAGATCTGAGCTGAGCGCCGAGGCCTGAGGCTTGATAAGAGTGCGAAAGGATCAAGAGTTGAAAGACCTGTGGTCCTTGGGTCTGCTTTAGTCGAAATATAGGCTGACCCGAAGGACGTGGAACTTGCGTATGAGTGCGCATGTCTGTCAAATCTGTTTGCGACAGTTTGCCCCTCCATGAATTTTCGGAGATAAGCAAGCGGCTTCTCTTTCGCCAGAACCAAAATTTGACAAAGATCCTTCCTCACTTCCTACTACTATGTACTTAAACTCACACGTTCAACTGTGAGAAACATGGAAACGAGATTTAGACTGATTTAGAGGGTACTAGGGTAGGGTCAACGGGAAGTATGTTGTTACCTTTCATGTTACCAATGTGCATTGTGCAATCCCCTCACGAGCAACGGCCAACCCGTAAAAGAGCTCGATGTTGCCTCCGACGTACGCTGGAGGGATCGCCGCCACCACGACCGTCGCAAACTAGACTAGGCAGTTGGAGGACATACCGGGCAATATAATCTCTTAGTGGTCTTGGGCGTTCACCACGAGCGCCATGCCTTCGACCGACACTGGAAACGGACATGTCAGGCACACTCGTCGTCTGATATACCCATTGCTCCAACGCCTATTTTTGACCAGGCGAAGGGCGGGCCGACACTTAGTACTGCCCGATTCGGAGGCCCCAAGTTCCCGTTCTCCCAATAAGTGCTCCTGCGGGCGCCCAACGGTAGGACCCCGGGCAATAGCAGGAAAGCCCTGGTCCCGATCCGGACAAAAAATGTGGATTTTAGGCCCTACAGCTGGGGGCCAATCCGGACAAAAAGTGACAAAATTCGAAACTGCCCAGAGCCAGAGTCCGGACAAAATCGACGAGATGTCAAAAAAAAAGCCTCCCAGCCGGTATTTGGGCATAATTGTGGGACATTTGTAGAGAAAAATTTACCCTGATCTGGCCGTCCGGACTAATTTTTGAGATTGGGGTGTGGTAGGCCAGGTCCAGTCCGGACAAATTTGGTGCAGAGGCGTCCGGACAAAAACCCAATTTTCGGGATCAGGCCTTTTCTGCTATTGCCCGGGGTCCTCCAACGGTCAAGTGTCCCGGAGGTGTCTATGTTGAGTGGGAAATTATGGAAACAGTCTTCCGCCAGCTTCATTTTCGTAAGCTGATGGTCAATTTGTAAGCAGTGACCCCAGAAACTCCGTGCACCTACATCAAATTTCAAAATATTGGACACTGAGTATAGTGTTCCGCACCGCAACCAGCTTCAGCGCAATGCGGAGGAGGCCCCATATGTTGTATAGATCATAATACATTAAATAGGACATAATTTCGGTAAGGTATCAGTAACCAGGACTGTTCGTCTTGACTGCGCTTTTAGTGTTTAGCACTCAGGGCCATTATCATGCGCATATTTACGCGACATCAGGTTTCGTGGACGGTGGTGGTACTGCTAGTGCTCTGCCAAGCACAGCACGCAGGAAGGAGCTGGCATGCATTGTACGTGGTCCTTGTTCAAAGCGGGGCATATAGGATGTTGAAGCCTGTTGGACATGAGGGGGCTAGATTGAAAGGAAGGCATGCCTTGACGTCAGTGAGTATCAGTGTGTCGTGTTGCCCAATCTGATACAGCAACACGAGGCCGAAATCTTTCACGAGCACAACGCTTCTTCCAATCGACTTCAAGTTCCAATTTGGTTCCAATATGCCACGAAATTCGACGTGTTGCGTCATTATTTCCAGTTGTTGCTAAAGGTGGTGAGAGGTGTGCAGTACTTTGAGCACCTGCATTTCTTTTTATATTAGCCCTTGCAAGTTGTATTTTCAATATATGAGTATCTGTACTGACACTCACCTTTTTTCGAAGATTTCCACATTATTTTTTCGAGGCTTTTGCCCTGTGGTGAGTGGACCTCTTTGCTCTAAGCAATCCTTCGTCATCAACCTATGTGAAATTGCGCAGACGCCCGCCGTTGCTCGTCACCATATCGAATCAAGCAATGATAGTGTTCTTACATTGAATGAGCCATGGGATTGAAAGGTTGACGTTCAAGGCTGTAAGTTACGGTCAGTCTGTAACCGGCTTCTCATATCCATTTCCGACGTTTTCATAACAATAACTCCCCAGAGAATCGACAGCGTTATCCAGCATCCACCCAATGGTTACGAGCCCAAGAAGGACGGGTAAACCCAGAAATGAGCTTACGGAGGGCTATCGCCGGAACTCGATAAATTGGTTTCAAGTTTGACTGGTGAGGGAGTATGAAGCAAATGCGGTAGAGCCATCACTCCTACTACGTACCGATTTCCGGTGTTGAGATATTGAATTATATGGAAACATGTCTAGAAAGATTCATTGGTAAGAGAACAAATACTAAAGAAAAACAACTTAGATTTGAAAGACACAGCCTCGGCAAAAGCGCGTTTTTGGAACGCGATATGTTGCGTCGTGCCAATCCTGAGGTAAGGTCGAAGGAACAGGCTGGCACGCCGCGTCATATCAATCCGCAGACATCGAAAAATCAAATTAGATCATCTACAACGATAGAAAGTATTATTATTTCGTGGACAGGGGTGTTACTTGGATAGGAACTTACCCAGTGATCTTCGGATGTTCAAAAATCGAATCTGCGTGGGTGTACGAGGTGTACGAGTGATGTATCGACGTGCATCGCCGGCCTCTGAAAAATCAAGAAAATGTCGGGAAAAAGCCTGCAACAAGTTTAGTAACAACGGCAGGAACACACGTTAAACTTGCATGAGAAGACCTCAGCATGACAGCGATTCCCTGAACGCAATAAATCGAATTAGAATTGTGAGCGGCAATCGAAAAGGATCACAAACCGAATTTTGTTACGCGTGCAATGGCTGAGCCGCTGAGACAACGAGCAAGGTGGTGGTAGAGGAAAAAGCTGTTTGTTCGCAATCGTTCACGTCAACTTTATGTCTTCCTTTGGCGCCCACCACCTAATTTCGGACCCAGGGACCACAAAAGCTGTCCGTACTTGTGTGATGGTGTCACGGCGTGGTATTCATGAATCATAGAAAAGAGAAGCGACGTAGTGCACTGTGCAACGCGTGTACTTGCCGTTGAAGAGAGCTGGGTAGTGGACAAGAGGCCATGGATATACAGGTTGACCTTTGATTGTACCTACCTGCACGGGGTGGGTGAACATCATCCAGATAGAGTAAAACGCAACTGTGAGTGACGGTACCGTGGTTTGGAATGGAGCTTGGACGCATCTTTCTCAAGATCCAGTATGGTACCCACGAATTACTTCCTGGTTGCTGATGCCTTACAGAAATGTTCTATGTAACTTAATGTGATTTAAATGGAACATACCTATGGCCAGAAAACGCCCTGGGCCTCCGCATCCATTGAAAGTAAGTAGGTATTTTGTTGTGGAAAACGATACTCAGGGTCCAAAGTTTTGACATATTGATGTAGCTGAACGGGGTTTCTGGGGTCGCTGCTTATAAATCAGATCATAGCTTACGAAAATGAAGCTGGCGGAAGACTGTTTCCATAGGAAATGTCGGAAATTTCCCAGGCACCTGATAAGGCTCCGGCCTTGCAATGTTGATCGCCGACATAATCAGGCCTTGCCCAACCCTTGCCAGCCCTTGTCATTTCACGGCAAACCTGACGAGATGATGCCGGGAAAATCCAGGACCCCTGAAAATGCTGCTAAATGGTAGATACCGATCCGGACAAAAAAATTCGAAATTGGGGTGCTAGGCTAGAGACAAACCGGACAAGTTTTCGAAAAAATCAGCAAAATGCTAGATGACAGGTTCTCGAGGAGAATGACAGGCTAGATACCATCCAGACACACATGGTCGCATAGTGCAACGGAAAAATGTAGGTAATTTTTGCAGTCAGCCGTGTGGTCGGTGGTTCGAACCTTGCGCTGCAGAAAAAAATTTGGCTCTGAATAGGCTAGATACGAAGTCCGGACAAATTTTTGAAATTTGGTTTACGCCAGATAAAATCCGGACAGACTTCGCCAAAATTGGTACGGACAAGAATCTGAAAATCGTTGATTTTGGTATCTATCATTTGGCAGTATTTTCAGGGGTCCTGCTACATCTTATCGTGGAAACCAAGGACGTGTTCCAGTTATGGAATAAGACTCCGCGCAGGAGGTTAGGGTATGTTAGGGGCTCGAGAACGCGCGGTTAGGTTGCAGCTCGTTCTGCCCGGAATTGGAGCGAGAAAGGCGTTGTGGGGGAAACAGCATTGCAAGGCGAGGAAAGGGATCAGAAACTGACGTTTTAATTGTAGAGATTGTTAGGCTCTACAGTGCTGCATGCCTGAAGGTGAGGCGAACATCACATATTTTACAAACTCTGGAAGTTCTTTTGATATCAAAGGTTTCTTGAGACATAACCAACTCCGCTCATTGACTTTCTTTCTCCGTCGAAAGTCAGGTAGCTAGCTTGCAGTGAGCATTGAGGTTGACGCTACATTATGTTTGGGCCAGTTGAGTCTTGGCTGAGTCGTACTTACAAAGTCCGTACTTAAAATAGTAGACCCTATGTATGAGATACAAGTAAACGAGCCTGTAATCACTGTCCGATACTGATGTCCACACTATGGTGACCGTATTAGCGGCCTTAAAACTCGTTGCCTCCAAACGTCTGTTAGGACTTTGACGATGATAAATAGCAGCGTTAAACGAGGTTCGTATTGTCGAGGATGTCTTCATGTGGGCTTGACAGAGGAAGGCGTTGATGGCCTCTTCCTATGGCCCAGGTTGTCGATTATGTTCTGTATAATAACACCATTACGCGTGCTGCCGGTGCTGCTGCCCGACGAGTAGAACGTTATAACGGTCGATAATCCCTTTCCAGCAGGCTTCACCTGCTTGTCCACTGCATCGATAATACTCTGCGCGATCCCTCCCTTCTTCGTGCTGCTCGTTGTCGACGCCGACGGAGATCCTTTCTTGTCATCTTCAACCGTTTTATGGGCACCATCAGCGGTACCGTGCGCCATATTGGACTCCTTAGTTGTGGCGGGTTTCTTCTGCTTATCCGCTGCATCCTCCGCACCTTTGACAGCCCCTCCCTCGCTCGACTCCTTGGTTGTAGCAGGTTTCTTCTGCTTGTCCGCTGCATCCGTCGCACCTTTGGCATCGCCTTTCTTCTTCGTAGCATCAGTTGCTGGAGAGGTTGGTTCCTTTTCGTCATCAGCGGCTTTATGCGCGCCATCATGGGATGCATCAGATTGTTTCGTCGTAGCGGGTATCTTCTGTTTGTCGGCGGGGTCTGAGACGTCGCCATCAGGCCCAGAAGTTGTGGGTTTCTTTTTCTTGTCTTCAACTGGTGATTTAGAGGTGTCGGGTGAAGGTTTCTTGTCATCGTCCGTAGACGGCTTCTTTGACTTTGGATCACTTGTATCTTTAACCTTGCTATCCACACCAGAACTTGTCTTCGTTTCCGAGGCAGGAGATTTCTTCTTATCGTCCTTATCAGAAGCTCCTGATCCTTTCACCGCTTCATCCCCAGATGTCGGTGGTTTCTTCTTCTCATCTGAGGTAGGCTTCTTCTTGTCAGAAACTGGGGAGCCCTTTGGTGCGTCGTCACCAACACTAGTGGTCGGTTTCTTCTTCTCATCACCAGCAGGACTGGATGCGGGGGTTTTCTTCTTCTCATCCACGCCCGACCCCTTTCGAGCCCCATCTCCCGCGCCATCGCCCGATGAGGGTGGCTTCTTCTCTCCCGCTTTGTCGCTAACCTCAGAAGCCTTTTTAGCCCCGTCAGCAGTGCCAGGACCTGCAGTGGACGGCTTCTTGTCGCTAGATTTATCTGAGGCTTTCTTCTTGTCATCGCCCGCGCCAGATCCAGACGTAGGCGGCTGATTCTATTTGTCGACAGTCTTCTTGTCGCCTGATTTATCTTCTTGAGCTTTCTTTTCGTCACCACCTGCACCAGCCCCAGGCGTTGGAGGCTGATTTTGTTTGTCGATAGCTTCCTTCACACCGTGAACGATGCCGTCTGTGATGCCGGAGCTCTTCTTGCCATCCGTTGGTGGCTGATTCTGTTTGTCGACAGCTTCTTTGACACCGTGGACGACGCTGCCCACAATACCAGAGCTTTTCTTGGAGCCGTCCGATGGTGGTTGATTTTGCTTGTCCACAGCATCGGCAACACCCTTTATGACTCCACCAGGTGTGGGGGGTGGAGAGGAAGGTGATTTATTCTGTTTCTCGATGGCATCGACAACGCCTTGAACAATACTACGTGGAGTTGATTGATGGAAGTCAAGAATTCTGGCGTCTAAAAAATTCGAAGCATCAGGATGCTGGAGAAAATGTGAGTGGAGAGTGGATTGACGAGTAGATGACTCTTACCAATGGAAGGGAGACAACATGGACGAGGCAACATGCGAGAATAGCGATGTGTATGGCCATTGTTTTGGGTGTCATAGTAGTTTTACTGGTACACTTCATAAATCATCCTTTGTCGAAAAGATGAGCGAATGACGGTGGGTCTGGAGAGGGCACACACTTACAGTCATCAAAGGCCGTATCGGAGTCCAAGAGCAGTGATGGGCCAACACATCTCAGTGAAAAGTGCTTGCACGTCGTTCACACAGGCTCGACCTGAACTCGACATATCGAGTGGCATGCGTTGTACGTCCGTCAACGCCAAGCTTTTTCTATGGCGTCACGGAATAATTATAGTGTAGTCGTCGCCAAGCCTGCATCGGATCCTGCAACAATTGGTACAGTCTTGAGTCTTGACGAGTTTCGGCAGATTTCGACTGACCAAGGACTGACTGGTATGGGAGGCTCCGCAAAATGAACCAAAGCTGAGTCCCAGGATCCAGAAGGATGAAAGAATGAGCGTAAATTGTCATAGATCTGAAGACCACAGTTTGGTGAGCTCTTGTTGGTTCTCGCTTCAAAGTTCAATACATGTCTCTAGATATTCCAAATTTTCGCATTCCCTTTTGCAAATCTGAAAATTCATCAGAGGCAAGATAGTGTCAAGTTGCAGAGAATCGAGAGTTCAGCGTTCAAAGTCGAGCTCAAACTTTACAAGTCGCAAACGAACAAATATAACACAATAGCAGCAAAAGGTGTCCTTTCCTCAACGGCCACGACGATGAGCTCAACATCAGACGCGCTCCTCATTCTCCGGCAGGCAGTAAAATCTAAAGAGCCAATTTCATTTTCGAACAAGGATGGCCCTTGTACGTCCCTTCTCAATGCCACACACCTCGTCATATCGGGAACATCCCTGCCGAAGTCCAGTCCAACTCGCTATAGGAAACCGGGCGCGGCTCCCTCAGATTTCTACTCCATCGAAGCTATTTATCTAGCTTGGCTACTCAGAGATGCACCTGGAGCCGAGTACATGAAGCAGGCACGAGAACATGGGCTGGCTGTTGGTTTCGTCAGTGTGACAGAGAGGAAGTCTGTTGTAGATTGGCTTGAAGACAAAATCTCCGGTCATGAACGCATTGCACCATTATCATCAGGTGTGTCTTCATCTTTACTTACTGGTGCTTCGTCTGACGTGATTTCTAGCGGAACCCTCTGGTACTCCTCCCGGCACACCTCCACGGCCGACGGGCCAAGGTTTGCCAACTACGCCTCGAAATAGGACACATGCTGCCGAATCGCCTCCAAAACGTCGATATGTCGCGGATTCGCATGACATTGAAGTTGTTAAGAAGATCAGGCAGAATGAGGTGGAGCTAAAGGACCGAAATACAGTCCTCCGTGGAATCAAGCCAAATGTAAGTCGGCCGCTGTACAATTGGGTTTTTGCTAAACCTAGATTGTAGAACTTCTCCGCTGTCCGAACGGCATATTCTGAGAAGCTGAAGAAACTAAAAGAGGCGAGCAGATCTGGTGGTGCAAGTTCGCATACCACTGCTCCCACAACGATGGGTATGTTGGCATATCATCTAGTTTTTCGGTCTTTATATGCCTCTTTTAGATGCAAAGCTGCTTGCCCGCAAAGCTCGTAAGTACGCCTCTTTACCTGTCTGACCTCCTCCTGATCCCTCGATGCAGGACACAATTACCCCATCATTATGATATCATCCTCTCCTACCGCCCTCATTACTATGCATAACGTCAAAAAGTTCCTCCAAGAATCCACCTTCGAGCCCTCTCAAGAAGCTCGTGCGCATGCTGCTGCTGAAGGCAACACCCGCCCTGAAGACATGATCCCCATCTACCGGAAACGTACAACCATTGACTCCAGCGGGAAAGAAACAGAGACGCAAGCGCGATACTTTATCGTCGACAGTGTGGAAGCGCTGCAGAAATTTGGCGCGGACGCCTGGGATCGGGTTGTATGTGTGATGACGACGGGCCAGGCGTGGCAGTTCAGGCCCTACAAATGGAACGAGCCTAGACAACTCTTCCATCATGGTACTTTCTGCTTTTACCTTCCGCATCAGACAGAAAAGTCTAACGTGGGCGATAGTAAAAGGCATCTACGTGACGTGGTCAAATGATCCACCAAATCCGAAAACCAAAGACTGGAATGTTACGGAACTCAAGGTTCTTCCTCCCGTTCTATTCCGGCATCGTCTGACGTCGATCAGATTGACCCTCACCGAAGACATGTTGACAAGTCGGTTGTGGCGCATTTCTGGAAGACATTGGACACTTGGATACAGGCCAACAAGCCCTCATTAATGGCTTAGGAACTTTTCCTTTTTGATTCTACTGGTCACGTTTGCCAATCTTCACGGTGTTTCCCTGTGCATTGTTGTCTGTACGTATAAGATTTGCCCTCTGTATCAATTGTTTCCTTCTCCGACTTGTCTCGCTTTCCGAGACTCGACATGGTTGGGCTGTCATGTCCTCAAGCTTGAACAGTCTCGCTTTTACAACTTCGCTCAAGTATCCATTATCAATCAAAGAGATCCACAGGCCTACGCGATCCAAACTCAACCTAAAGGGTATACACGGTATCGTATCTTACACTCCTCTTGACATGTTCTCATCCACCCCCCTTCTTAGGCTTGTGAGGACTTCGCTTTGAACTCCTCTGTGACTTGTCCCCAAAACGTACTATCATGCGCCAGATGTCCGATAGGCTACGCTACAACCCGATCATTAGCTTCCACCTTGAGGCAATAAGATGTGGCGTGCTCACCAGAAAGATCAGAAAAATGACACAATACCCTTCCCTCTCACTCCCAAAGACCGTCTGGGTCTCGAACTTCTCGTCGTCTGAGAGTTCTTCCTAATGTTGCGGTATGAGGGTGAAGTACTTTTGATGGTTCAGACAATGGGGTGACTTACCATATACTGATATTCGAAACTAGATTGTGATCGCAGGTCCATGGTTTTCTGTTTCACAGATGAGCACAAGTGTTGAGGATACAGCTAAAATCTCGGACGCACCATGAAATCTCGGGGAGGTCCGGCTATGCAGGTAATGGTTGGAGCAACAGCAGACATCAGCGTCTCATGAGTGTTAGTTTCAGAGCTAGGGGGGCTCAACGCGAGGGTGAAGGAAGGGAGCGGCCGTTTGGGAATCGCCATTTCTACGAAGCATGCAGCGCCGAAGGCGCGAGGGGCAAGATAAATACAGACGTCTAGGTGAGAAGAGTTTTGCGTTTGTGGTGAGACTGGATGAGCATTAAAAGGTCTTCAGGACGTCGTCAAGCCGCGTATAAAAGGGCCCTAAGGGTTCCTGGTAATGGCAGTGGGAAGAGGGAAGACTCCGAATCCGAATCGGAACAACTGCAAGTCAGGCCAGGCCGCCAGGGAAATTGCTTCCGCTTTGGTGAACTTTCTTGCTTTGGCTGACTGTAGCTGATGTGTATACGTCTCTCCTTCAGGGCCTCAGGCATGTGCTTAAAGGCGCCTTGATTAACTGAAATCTCATTTAACCACCTCACGATAGCCTCGTGCCCATTTTGACTTTTATTCACCCTGATGCAGAATATGAAATTCCTTGTCTTCCGCGGAGTAAATCCAGGACGAGAGTTCAAATTTGTCCAGCCAAGCGACCCTCGGCCCTCCCCCACAGAAAGATTTAAGCCCTCCCTGCAAATTCCCTGAGTCCCCTGACTATATCTCTTCAGAATTACTCTGGTTAAATTTGACGTCATCCGGTGATCATTTTGAAAAGCTATCTATACGTATTTTCGATCCCCTGTGCCAGGTGGTCGATAAGCAAGGCACCGACATTGAAGTGTAGCCAATGGCAGCCAATGGCCCAAATGGATCCTAACATTCCCCGGAACACAGATGATTAGGCTGTTGCGACGGCTATAACTTAGTCACGAATAACATGTCACTGTCATAGGCAGCTGCCACCAACTTGCATGCTTTTGTCCAAATCTGAGGTCTAACGTCTAGAAGAATAATTTCAACAGTTCCGTCCTCCACCGACTTCAAATCCTTTTGAATCAGAGTTTACTCTTATGAAGGCTTGTGATACCCTGGGCGCCGCGGCCCGCGATCGTCTCAAGGGTTTGGAAAGACTGACCCATACACGGAAGATGGAAACATATGGCATCAAACTTCAATATCAGATATTCTGCCGCCGCCCGGCGTTCTAACTATACTCCTAGTGTCAATTGCGATACGCGTCAACGGAACCTGAGTCAGCGCGCAGTCGACGCGCCCGCGCCTCTTTAGGTAGGAGATACTTACCAGGCCGAGCCATCAAATTAGTTAATTGACACCAGCTGTAGGGAAGCGCCGTATTCTGTGGGATGGCTGACAAAATGAGTTTGCGTAATCGAGCTGATCAGTCCTTCAACGTTCAACTTTTCACTGACTCCGATTATCAGAATGCTTGAGCTTACTTCAATTGCCAAGACATACAAGCCATTTCTCTCCAAATCCCTGAAAATCCCTCTTTTTACAAAAAGACCCGTTGGAGCCCGTTGGTCTAGGTTGGTCCTGACTCCCGCAGCGTTCTTTAAATTTGAGGCCTTGCGTTGAAAACTTGGCACGGTCATTGGTATCAGCTTATTGTTGATGAAGGGCCTTGCGAACAAACAAGTTACCCCAATATATCCTTTTGGAAGTGCGGTTGCCTTTACCGGTTCTTAAACGCGACTAGGTGTGCACCCTTCTGTGTTTTCGCGGTTTTCATCTCGTTGCAGGGCAAATCATTGAGGATATTCTATATCTTACTTTGGGACGTGGAGTCATCCGAAATAACATGGTCGCTTCTATTGGTCGCGCCTTTGTACATATGGATAATGGAGCTGCCCTTTCCCAAAAGAATTCACGATTGGGAGAATGCACGAAGTGATGTATTGATTCTGTTCACCGCTCGAGTCGGTGCAGTACATATTTTTAGGAACCACCCCCATCAACTTCGAACCATCCAATACGGAGCACGGCTACATCATCCCAAAGTATTCGCTAGTACCCAAAGAAATGTGGCTCGAGTGATATTTTATCCGGTCGAGTCGGAGGAGTCCATCCACCTGGGAGTCATCTCGAATCTCTACGGGGACCTACGAAATTTCGAATATCCCGCAAAACTGAAAAACGAGTTCAGAAGTAGGGTTACCACCACCAGCACCATCATGCGTGGCTTGAAATCCTCGGCAATCCGAAATTAACGGGGAAGGAAGTGGGTATTTGGAAGGCGCTGGGTTGCTCCGAGGCCTGACGCCGGAACGCTTCAAAGGGCACTGCAATGCCCCTCGTTGAAGGAACACTGGAAGTGGAATGGTCGGAGGGGACAGTGGAACACGCCGTACTTGAGGCACTGCCTGAACTCGCCGCACTCGAGGCACTGGAACTCCCCTTAACTCGCCGTACGCGAGGCACTGGTAAATGCAACTCTTCGAGAAGCTCTCCTCATTTTTAGGTATCCATCTCGGGAAAGGAAAATGAATGAAATGATTTGGGACGAGTTGACTTGGCTGGTCTGGTGGCTGGGGAATTTTACCTTCGCCAATTTTAATGGTAATATGATTCTGCTTTGGACCCTGGAAGGGGAATTTTGACGAGTTGTGGATATTCTCTTTGTTTGTCGTGGTGGTATACCACAAGTACTTACAAACGGAGATGCGCAAGCCGCCAAAATAATTGGGAGCAGGCACCAAGCCACTCAAAATTGATCCAAGTTGTCCGAATCACCCGCAGGAAGACAGAGGAAGACTGCCAATTCACCTGTGGATCCGTCTGTACCTTCTAGTAGCTAGTCCCGTTGAAATCGAGGATGTGCGTGGTTTAATATCCTACTAGAACCGCGATGATTAATCCATTTATAAGTTCGCGCCGCCCAAAATTGACTATAACGTTTCAATGGGCTTTGACGCAATTTGATTAGACGGCGTTTTTGAGGATGTCCATAGGGCGACAATCATTCGTAAAGCAGGTGCATGACGATAGAGGACAAAGTCGAATTCTGAGCCCACCCGATGGTTCTAAATATTATCAGTAGCACTATGGTAGTTTGGGCTTTGACAAATTAAACGGCGTTTTGTAGCTTAGGGCGACAATCACTCATAATCGCAGTTCAAAGTCACGGTATGCACACATGCGTAGAAACCGAAAGTCGAATACCCTCAACAAGTCAACACGTCACTCAAATAACAAAAACCTCCCCAACAAACCCCCTCAACGCCCCCAAACCCATCTCCTCCCCTTCCCCCGCTTCGACGCCATAACACCTAACAAACTCAACCCTCCCAAGTGGGAACCCACACACCTTCCTCGCTTTCGCACACTTCAATACGAGGGAAAGCCAGTTAACGCGGAAATGCCACCAGAGGTCGGAGGGTTTGTTGAATGTTAGTGAATTTAGGTTCGGGCATGCGCATGGGATTTTTGGTGGTGGGGTGTCTCCATCCTCATCATCATGAGAAAAAGATACGAAAGGAGAGGAAATGGAGGAGGAAGACGAAGGAGAGGAGGAGAGGCAGGAAAGGATATCCGTCAAATCATTAAACGCAATCCTCAATTCCTCCAAACCGACCAAACTCCAAAAAAAGCGCTGGAGCTCATCACGATGTAAATCAATCAACACACCCGTCGCTAATTCCAAGCTCGTCACGAGCCTCAGCGGTAGGATGTTGCGGTGTAGTGAGTTCACGGTAGGAATCGCAACGGGTAACGAAGACGACAGTGAGAACGCTACATTAGCCGGGGTATCGCTCCATGCGGGTGCGTTGGGACGTAGGAGGTACATTGCGTATCTGGCTAGACGGATTGTTGAGATTGTAGGACCAGGAGAGGAAAAGGGGAGTCCGCCAAGGGGAAAGAGGGTGTGTAGATCTGCGTTGGGGGGGAGGCGGGAGAAGAGTTGGATGCGGGCGTGGGGGGATAGGGTTAGGGCTGAGAGGAGGGAGGAGATGGGAAGGGGTGGGGAGGAGATGGTTAGTTCCTTTAGGCGTGGGAGGTGGATTGTTTTTTGGTTTTGGGAGATTAAGGAGGGGGAAGGCAGGGCGGGAGAGATGTTTTCGAGTCGCACGTAAGTCATATACGGAGATTTCTCGAATATTGCAAGGAGTTGGGGGAGGGAAGGACAGAATTCTGGGACGGGGATGCGGAGAGAGAGGTGTGTGAGGTTTTGGATGCTTTCCCAGTGTATTGAGACGCAGTCGAGGGTTAGCTTGCGGACGTTTGGGAAGGAGAGGTTTAGAGCGATGCAGCATGATACCGGTGGGACTTTTAAAGATAACTCTGTGACTGATTTTGATAAACAAGGGCCGATACTGGTAAAGAGAGTTTCCATGTCGTCTGGGAAGAGGAACAGGTCGATGGAGGAGAGGCGGTGTGCGTGGGGAGCGAGCATGTCCACGTCGAGCTTTGGAGGGAGTGAGGAGGTGAGGGATAGAGGTACTTTTTTAGAGCGTTGGAGGAAGTAAGAGGCGAAGAGGGGGTTGGATAGGTCGATTTTGGACCAGAGGTGGGGGGAGGAGAGGGAGGCGAGACGCCATGTTCGAGAAACTTGTGTAAATGCTAGAGGGTGTTGGATACGTTTGATATTGTGTCCGTGGGGGGTATAGAGCCATGAAACGCAGATTATGAATATTTCGAGGAGGAGTTCGGTAGGCAGCTGAGAGATGGGGAGGAGAGCGTTTAGGCGGGTGCGGATTGCAGAGAGGGTTTGGGTGAGCTGTGTTTCTTCTCGTCTGAGACGGTTGATTTCGAGGTGACATTCGAGGTGAATGTGACGCATTGTGAATGTGGGTTAATGAAGGTGAGAGGAGTTGGACATTGATTTATATACGACGCCTGTGCATGCGATGTGCGTGTGGACCTGATCGCTGAAGTTTAACGTTAAGTTTATTCTCTACAAGGAAAACGGGCAAGAGTTGCCTGGATTCCTAAACGAGAGCATGCATAATAAGAAAGGAAGAAGATGAAGTTGGGAAGACTGGCCCTATGGGAATTGGCAATTTCCTGACTTGACGACGGCCGATTTGATAGCATTGATAAATGCCCTTCGTTCCTTGAAGGACGATTTGGAGTTGATTTCGAGGACTACTTGTACCCAACTTGTACGTTTAACGTGCGTTCCGGTCGAACCGCGACATGATCAGCGAAAAATGAAATCACGTCATACCACACACGTCAAAGCATAATCGACGTAAGTAAAAAATAATTATTTTGCTAAGTTTTTTGTGTCCTCGCAGTCATGGCGCAGTGGGGGGCTGGCTTCCAATACCCTCTCCAAACCGGCTATAACAACCCTCAATTCCAGCAGCAGAACCCACAATTCCAGCAGCAAAACCCCCAATTCCAACAACAACAACCCCAACAACAATTTCAGCAGCAAACCCCTCAATTCCAGCCGCAGCAGCAGCAGGCAGGAGGATTTGGAGCCCCATCGGCCGCCCTCCTCCCTCAGCAGACTGGGTATCCTGTTCAGCGACAACAGTTCCTCCAACAGCCACCTCAGATTGGGTTTCAACAACCCCAACAGACAGGTTTTGCTCCACAGAGTTTGTTACAGCAGCAGCCGACCGGTTTCGTCGGACCCGGAGTTGGGGGTTCCTTTCAGCAGCAAACTAGAGCTGCTCCCCCTCCTCCTCCCCCGGTCCCTGCTCTACCACCACAGTTCCAGCGGCCTAACAATGGTAGCGCGTTTCTCATCCCGCAGAACCAGCAACAGCAGCAGCCACCCTCAAGCGGGTTCCTGAGCCCCTCCCCAGCGTTGGGCGGTATGGGCATGGGAATAGCTTCCCAGCCGACAGGCTACGCGCCCCGCGCAGCACCCCTCGTCCCACAGATGACGGGGTACGTCGACCCAAGGCTGCAGATGATGTCAGCGACCTTTATGCCCAGTACTCCCTTTGGCGGCCAGCTCGCTCCTCCCCCACAGCAAAACCTCGTTCAATCGATTCAGCAGCACAACGAGGCGGCACGGGGGACCGCGAGGCAGACTATGTCTTGGGCTCTTACGAAAGCTGAAAAGAAGAACTATAATGATATTTTTAGGAATTGGGATGCGCAGAATAGCGGGTTTATCAGTGGACCGACGGCCCTTGAGGTGTTTGGGGCTAGTGGGTTGCCCAAGGATGATTTGGCGAGGATTTGGTATGTACGCAACACCGTTGGACAGGTACCCAAAGCTGATTATGACGGGCAAAAGGACGTTGGCTGATATAGACGATCGTGGAAAATTGAACATGCAAGAATTTCATGTGGCCATGGGTCTCATCTATCGCAGTACGTACCCTCCTCTCTTCTTCTTAAATTCCCACTCACGTCAACGCATCAGGACTTAACGGCATGCCAATCCCAGACCAACTCCCGCCAGAGCTCATCCCACCCTCCGCGCGGGACCTCGACGAATCCGTCGAAGCCATGAAATCCCTCCTACAATATGAGAACCGTTCCCGCTCCCCATCCTCCGTCGACAGCCCCATCTCGCGCTTAAAAAACCGGTCCTTCAATACTACGGGCTCAGCCATCGATTCCGGAAGAGACGCTACGATTTACAAGCACAGTGATTCTGAGCCCCCCGGTGGTTTTTACAAGCCTCGTTCGAGGCATGTTGATCGAGATGCTGTAAGAAGGACAGACGACGTTAGCCCTTCGTCTGATTTGAGCGATATGAAGCGTCAGCTTGCTAGCACTGCGCAGATGCTTGACAGAGCATCAGAAGCTACCGCTGAAGATGAGGAACTAGATCGGGAGATGGATGATCTAAAGTACCGTGTTAAAAGGGTGCAAGACGACATTGACTATGTCTCTCGTGGGCCAAAAAGTGTTTCGAAGGATGAGGAGAGGAGGAAGTTGGAGAGGGAGTTGTTGAGTCTTATGCATGAGCGTGTTCCGGAGGTTGAGAGGAAGATTAAGGCGAGGGATGAGAGGAAGGAGAGGGAGAAGAGGCAATGGGCTAGGGAGAGGGATAGGGCTAATGAGCGGTTTGGGAGGTATGATGATAAAGAACGCGATAGGGAATATGGGACTTGGGATCGTGATAGGCCTTATTCGAGGAATGAGAGGGGGTATGAGCGTGATGAGCGGGAGGGGAGGGAAAGTCGGAATAGGGATCAAGATCGAGAAGGACGGGAAAGTCGCAATAGGGATAGGGATAGGGACAGGGAGTATGATCCTCGTGAAAGGGACTGGGATCGAAGGGATACGTATGATCGTCCGAGATCTACTGCCCCACCTCGCTCTCCTCCCCCTCCTGCGTCTCCTTCAAGCACCCTAAGCGCGAACCCAACAGGCGCTCTTAATCCTCCTCCTAAACCCACTCCGTCACCTGCCCCTCTGAAAAACATGACCCCTGAAGAACGTAAAGCCTATGCACGCGAACAAGCACAACAGCGTATCGAAGCGAGGAAGCTTGCGCTTGGAGTTATCACTCCTTCTTCTGGCGCTGTGGTGATCGATACGGCTGTGGAGGATAGACTGCAGCAGGATAAGAAGGAGGCGGAGGAGAAGGCGAGGAAGGCTGAGAAGGAACGGGAGGAGAGGGAGAGGGTTAGGAGGGAGAGGGTTGAGGGTGAGCGTGCTGCTAGGGAACCTGTTGTTACGAAGGTGAAGCCGACGCCTACGGTTAGTGCGGCTCCTCCTGTGCCTACGGCTAGGAGTGCTCCGTCTGTGACTACTGCGAGGGCTGCTCCGCCTGTGGCTACACCTAAATCGCGTGCGCCTGCGCCTCCGCCTCCGAGGAAGCCACCTCCTAGACAGGCGCCTGTTGTGCCTAAAGTGGATGTGGAAGAAGGAAGACGACGTGCTGCTGAGGAAGAAAGGGTTCGTGCTGTTGAACAAGAGAGGGTTCGTGCAGAACAAGAAAGGGTCCGTGCAGCTGAACAAGAGAGGGTCCGTGTCGAGCAAGAGAGGGTTCGTGCTGCTGAACAAGAACGGATTCGTGTTGCTGAACAAGAAAGAACTCGTGCGGAAGAAGAGAGAGGTCGAGCAGAAGAGGAAAAGTTCCGTGCAAGGGAAGAAGCGTTGAGGAAACAGAGGGAGGAGAGGTCTGCAAGGATGAGGCAGCTTGAGAAGGAGGAGGAGGAGCAGGAGAGGTTGGAGGAGGAGAGGTATCGTGCTAGGGTTGAGGCGCTGAAGGCTAGGAGTTCTACGCCCAAGGTTGTTGAGCCGACTTCTCCTGTGAAGGTTGTGAAGGAGCCTGTGAAGCCTCAAGAGCCTGTAAAAGTGACTCCACCAGCTGTTATTCCTCCTCAAGCTTCTGCGAACCCTGCGACTCCTATTGAAAAGTCGACCAACCCCTTCAGCAGGTTGTTGAGCCAGGGAGCATCTGCGCCTACCACTCCGGCCGTCACCACTCCAGCAGCAACAACGAACGGGAACACCAATCCCTGGGCGGCAGCACGTCCTCAAACTGCCCCACCCCCTTCCTCCAAGAGCCCAGCCTACCAAACGGTTCCTGCGGCCAATGAGGACGATTGGGATATTATAAAGGAAAAAGACGAGAGTGGTGATGATAGCAGTGATGATGAGTTGGCGCAATCTAGGACTGCGCGAGCGAATATTGCGCAACAGTTGTTTGGGAGTATGTTGCCGAGGCCGCAGTCTAGTGGGCCACCTGTTTCTTTGCCTTCTTCGCCTGCGCCTGGTGTGGGTTCGGGTGTAGCTCCGCCTCCGCCTCCTCCGCCGCCTGCTCCAGCAGCGATGTTTGCGCCTCCGCCTGCAGTTGCTGCCGCTGTGACTCCTGCTGCACCTGGTGACGTTAGTGCGTTGATGCAGTCTATCCAAGGAGGGATGAAGTTACGGCCTACGAAGACGGTTGATAAAAGTGCACCACCCGTTTCAGGACGCGTTATTGGTGATACTGCGCCTCCTTTGCATATCAATGTCAACGTCCCTCCTCCTCCTCCTACCTCACAGCCGAATTATCCGGACCGTGTGTCTTCGTTGCCACAGCCCACATCCATGATGGACGAAGCACCCCCGAAGATGAGCAATAGGCAGTCGGTGGGGTGGTTCACTACCCGTGCTGCTGATGCTGGTGTTTCGCCTGTTGATCAGTTGCCCGCTACGGTGGAGGAGGAGGAGGATGATGATATTTATGCTACGCCTCCAACGATTCCTTCTATCCAGGTTGATGAACATGTTTCGAATGCGAATGAGCCGGTGTCGGAGCTTATGGCTGATATTGATAAATCTATTGGTGAGTTTGTTTTTTGGTTGATTGATTGGGGTTGATGTTGACACGTTGGTTTTTGTAGAGCATCGAGCGAGGTCTTTGTATGCTTATGAGGGTGATGGGCCTGAAGATCTTTGTGAGTTCGGTTTTTGTTATATATAACTAGATATTGGCTAAATGACGTTGTAGCGTTTGCGGAAAATCTGGTTCTCATTGTAAATCCTTCCAAGAGTGGTAGTGATTGGTGGTTTGGTATCACTTTGAAAGATGGAAGATCGGGTCTTTTCCCGAAGACCTATATTGAGGTTGTCCAGCCAAGTATTTCATCTATCCTCTCTATGGTGTATACGTCTGACGAAACTGCTTTTTTTTTTAGCCAAAGCCAAGGCTATATACGCATACGAAACCAACAGCACGGACGAATATTCGTTTGACGAAGGCGACGAACTCGCAATTGTAGACAAGAGTGACGCAGAGTGGTGGAAGACTGAACATAATGGAGTAGTGCTCATTGTCCCGGCGGCGTACCTGGAGGATGTTGAGGGTTAGTGTTACCGTTCTTTCCACTTGAGTTTTTCTGTTTACCTTTCTGATGAATAATAGGCTAAAGTCTTTTTTTTTCTTTCTGCTCTATTTTTCATGTACGCACACACTCGAATTGACTCCCCACCCGAATGTTACCGTGGAATAATGATATACAACTTCAACTACGACTTGCTCGCAACACGATATAGATGCCTCAAAGGCTATTACTGTTCAACCATCGGAGATCACAGTTCGACCTCCAGAAACAGTACACCCAACTGAACAAGACGATGACGATTCAGATGGGGAGGAGGAAGTTGACGATGATTCTGATTCTGACAGCTGTGACTCTGAGTACCTTTCATTTGATGACACTCACGAACATCACCACCATCACCATCATCATCCAGAGACAGATGAAGAGCGAATTGCTCGAGAGCGGGAGAAACAACTCGTGCTCGAAGCAGCAGGGCTCATCGTCAACCAAGACACAAGTGGGCCTCCTCCAAAGCTTGTCCGCGCAAAGTCGAAATCGAAACGTCGACCTGCACCTGCTGTTCCTATACGGAGTTTTTCCATATCGAAAGACCTGCCCCCAGTACCGGTGCTCGAAGAACCAGAACCAGAAGAGATTGACCATGCCACTCGCTTGGACGACGCTTTTGCGCGGTACGAGTCCTTCAGGGACGCACAGCTGAATCAGAATCGGCTCTCGGTCGTTTCGACGGATTCGAGCAATACGATTTCGACGCTGGCTGCTTCTTCCCCGACAAGTCTTGCGTCGCCACCCGTGCTTTCACCTAGCCATAGTCAGGGCAGGGAAAGTGAAGGGGGGCGGTATTCTCATTTTTTGCATTTCTTGACTAGGAGTAAGACGCCTGAACAAGGGGATAGGAAGTCGACTTTGGTTATTTCGGCGCCTATTATGAGTACTAGCACTAGTGCTGCCTCTTTTGCGGACGAGCCTTCCAGGACAAATAGTCCTTCGTTTGGAACGGTATGATCTTTTTCTTTGACAGTTACTTGACTTTTTTTGCTGAACTTTTGGTAAAGTCGTGGGCTAGCTTGGTCGACAAGACTGCTTTGGAGGGTATCCCTCCTGGTGAGCGGAAGCGACAAGAGGTGAATGTTTACATATGCTACCTTTGGCTTTTCTGACATTTTGCGTGTAATCAGGCGATCTTCGAACTTATCAATACTGAGGTTGCCTACGTTCGTGATCTGCAGCTCATTGTTGAGGTTGGTATCCCACCGTTTTGCCTTGTTCCTTGTCTTTTACTAATTTCTGTCATATAGGTCTTCTATTCGAGCATGTTGCCCCTCTTGTCAACAAAGGAAATTACGGTCGTGTTTGCGAATATCGAGGACATTCTTCTTACGAACACGGTATGGTTATCGAGAACTATCATTACATTCCACTTCTCATGACTGTTTGAAGGGATTCGTGAGCTTACTGGAGGAACGCCAGAAGGATTGCAGGCTGTACGTCGATCATATAGGAGACATTTTGCTGAACCATCTACCGAATATGGGCGTGTACATGGTACGAAGTCTTTGAAAGCTTTGTGCAGTCCTCTCAATTCCCGGAAACGATGTAGGAATACTGTGTCAATCAGGGCACTGCCATCAAGGTTCTTCAGTCACTTAGGAATTCGAACCCCGAGTTGGCTCAGCATCTTCAAGTTAGTTTATCACAACTTCGTTTGACTGGACGCTAATCCAACACTTCCGTCCGATAGCGTCTCAGAGATGACCCGTCCGTTCGCAATCTGGATCTGTCTAGCTACCTCCTCGCACCCAGTGAGTTAGCCTTCAGCTGATATATCTTTGGCACTTCCTCACAAATTTCATAGTGCAACGAATCACCCGATACCCTCTTCTCATCAAACAGGTAATGAGTCTCTCTCATTGATGCTAAAGCGCTTGATTTTGATGGATATCAGATTCAGCATTACACTGAGGTCGGGGAAGAACTCGAAGCGATCAAATCGGCACGGGATATCTCAGAGAAACTGTTAGATCACATCAACGAAACAATCCGAGATCAAGAAGGCAGGGAGACGCTTAAGAAAATATCACAGTATCTGTGGGTTGGCCAAGGGTCAGTCAACCGTTTTGGCATTTAGGAAAGAAAAGCCATTGTTAATTTACGTCCTTCACCTACAGCCGTTTAGATCTTTCTGCTCCAACACGATACATGGGAGGGCGTAAACTCATCAAGCAGGGGATACTCTTGAAAACGAAGAGTGGCAGGAAATTGCAGGCTTTCTTGTGCAGCGATATATTGGTACTCACTGACGAATCGGCGAGAACGTTGTATAGGATGGTGAGTAGATTGTTTGTTGGTCTTTTGGGGTTGGGCTTCATTCAACACATCTATCCACAGCCCATTCCACTGGCACATGCCCAAGTGATGGGGGAACCCAAAGGTGTGTTGTGTTCTTTTAGGCTCTTTTGTCGACTGCTTACGATTTGCTCAAGATGACTGCACCTTCAAAATCACACAAGCTTACCCTCGAGGAGGTGACTCTATCTCGCTGAAAGCTCTTTCTGCTCGGGACTGTCAACGTCAGTTTTCCACGTTTCTCATGCATCAAGTTAGCAGCTCACCTTTGACGTTTCCTATAGAATGGATTCAGGAGATCGACACTAGCGGCCGACGATGTCGACACGCAGAAGAGAGAGCTGCAAGGAAAGCCGCTCACCGGAGGCAATAGAGGTTCCTGCTCTGGACCACAACCTTTCAAGACCCTGCCGTTCTGAACTTGGGACTTCTCCCTTCTTGAATGCCACCTTCTTTTGGACATATATGACCCTCTTTACGTATACTTGAACTCTTACGCTTTGGACGTTCTTGGGACCTGCAATACTCTTTCTTCTTTAAATTCTTATGCACGCTTGTATAGTAAATACCATCTTTCCACGTACACAAATTACACTGTATTCTTTCACCAAACAGTTATGGTATATATCCCTCCTTAGCATTAGTAAATAAGATAGTTAGATACATATGAACGCTTTTATAGCTTTAGAGCAGGAGCGACGGCGTGGCGCCTGAACCGCGAGCCTCCGTCCAGGAGGGTATGTGTCCCCGTAATGTGTGCGGATGCGGGGGAGGAGAGGAAGATCGCGAGACCGGCGATGTCCGATGCCATTCCGAAGCGGCCTAGAAGAAAGGTTAGTTATGGCAGATAAGAAAGTGAGGAGGGTAAAGATAGAAACACACCTGTAGGCTGCTCGGCGTTAAACGCTTCCTCGCCGACTTGTCTGATACCAAATGCAGTCATTTTGCTCGGAAACAACCTGTTTACATCCAAAGTTTCAGCGCTGGCGTAACTAATCTGTAGGCATCGCTTACCCAGGGCAGATGGCGTTGACGCTAAAGGGAAAGCGATCGTTCAGACAAATACTGAATGAGGAAGGGAGTGAGAGGTGGAGACTTACGTGACGTGCGAAGAGGCAAGTTTGACTGCCAGCTGCGATGTCAAGTGGTTCACTGCCGCAGGGGATTAGCCACATTCCAAAAAAACAAGGAAGAGGGGGGGGGGGAAAGAGCGAATGCTCACCTGCAGCTTTACTCGCTTGGTCTGTTCATAATATGAAAAAGTCAATGATCGACGATCAAAAGGATAAGGAATTCTCATTGACGTACAACTCCATGTCCCGTTGCCCTGCCCGCTCAACGAACCTTCACTACCAGGCTCAACAGAGGCAGTCGAGGAAATGTTGATCACACGTCCGGGGTCGATGTTGTTCGAGTCTTTGCTCAGGAGGTCTGAAAGCCTGTATCCCATTCATTCCGTGGTTAGCTCCCTAAAGCATATTGCGATTCGTGCCCAGGACATACCCTGCTGTCACTAGAGAGAAAAAAGAAAAGTCATCGTTAATCCAACAAACAAGCCGAAGGAAAAGGGACAAGACAACTTACTATAAAAGATACTCTTCACATTCACACTAAACACGTTATCCCATCCCTTTTCCTCGGGAAAGTCAAGGAACGGTCCACCCCATGTTATCCCAGAGTTGTTCACGAGAACATGGAGTTTGTTTTCGCGTTTGCGGAATTCTGCGACGAGTGCGTCACACCCCGCTCTGGACTATATAACATTCATTCCGACGGTCAGAATCTGGGGAGTAAGTAGAAGAGAAGAACAAAGTAAACGTACCCCAACGTTGGCAGCAATATAGTCAGCTTTAGGTCCCGACGCGACTTTATTGATCTCAGCGACAGCCTGAAAAAAAAAGAAACGTCGGGATCGATGTGGATAGAACACACGTAGTACACACACCTCCTTAAGCTGCCCCTCTTTCCTCGCAGCGATATAAACCTTTGCACCATTCTGCGCGAACCCCAGCGCCATCATCTTTCCAATCCCAGAGCTTCCGCCGGTAACGAGCACTATCGTTGGTCAAATAAGAACGTTATCATCATTAGTCCCGAAGCGCGATCCCTTCAATAACAGGGGACATACCAATCTTGCCCCTGACATTAAACAGCGCAGACAGAGAGAGGTCTGTCAAGTTCTCGTCAGCTCCCTGATAACAAAAAAACTCCAATGAACATTACTTACCAGACATAGTCAGTCGACAGAAAGGGAAAGAGGAGGTGGTGGTATGTTCGCATCCAGACTTTTAACCTTCCAAAACGGCCTTCCCATAACCGGTATACCGGAACCGGCACCTCGGTTACCGAGGGTTCTTACAAAAAATTATGGTTAAGCTGCGTTGGAGCTCTGTCAGCGCGGAAACGTTCAATGTTCAATAGAGATTTCATGACAACATTAATGAGAGTCTGGAGCGAATAAGGATGGAATTCCAAGTCGAATTTTAACTTTTTTTTGTCTCGCCGATTCTTCCCTGTATCCTTGCTCACCAAAAATCGTGCTTGAACAAGGTATGTTTTCGCGGGCGCTGATCTTGGAGATCACATTGGACGAAGAAGCAGAAGAATCGAAGGAAGCAGAAGCTCAGCCAATCCGGGCCGAATTCGTGCACAAATAGGTTCAATTGCTGTTTCTGAATTCGAAGACAAAAGTGTACGCGTGCGGTTTACAAAATAATGATATGTTGCGGCTCCGATTACAATTCGTCCATGGGAACATAAAGACACACACTCGTCAAGGTAGCATACATGCATTGTGTGGGGTGTGGGGTGGCGCTGGAACCAGAGTTTATTGAAAATGCAAGAAATCGTCGACACGTCCAAAAAACCGGATATAGACAGGAAGTGACAGAAGAATCCTAGGAATCCCTTGAAGGTAGGCCTGGAACATGAGTCGTCCGTAATCAAGAGAAGAAGAAGAAATTGTCCCTGATCACCGCTTCAAGCTTCCATTCGCATTCGCATACAGACCATTATCCCCAGAAAAGGGCGAATTTTCCCGACCAGCAGGAAGAGGAAGCAAGACGCCGTTCACCAACCCAGCGTTCCACGCAGGAGCTCCAATCCCAAGTCCAGATATAGGAGAACCAGTGCCAGAATGCAAAGAGGGAGAAGTAGTAGTGGCAGTCGGGGGCTTGAAATGAGACGTAGGAATAGTGACAGGAACAGGTAGTCCAAGAGATTGATTTTGAACAGGCGTAGTGACTGCGGGAGGAGTGGGGATACCCAAAGCCTTCCATTTCGATTGGTTGAGTTTCGCAGCAAGCTCCGAGACGGACCGATACACCTCCTGATTGAAGCCGACACATTGAAGACCTACGCAAGCCACTTTCAGCGCGCCGGCAGCATACAACTGAGAAGTCTCGTAAGTGTTTTGTGGGGAACTGTTTTTGCGCCCTGCAATCGTGTCTTTAATGAGAGCGGATGATGTCTACAAAAGCAAAGGTTTTGATTGGGAGGGAGAGCGGAAATGGCTAGAAAAAGGCAGTACACACCTCAGTAGAAAGTTCTGCCCATTCTCTAGTGGTCACGTCGTCCATTTGGAAGGCCTTGTACGAACCAGCGTAATACCACGTCCCTTCGTTATTGTAAAAGCATTCTATATAAAACCCAATTTCAATGTGTCCTGCAGAAGAGGAGCCGTTCTTTACCTGTAGGCTTGCTCATTCGTCCAATCACATCGACACCATTCCATCGGTGAGCGGTTGCTACCCTCGGATTTGTGCTACACTTGAACGCGGGGGTATACATGAAGCCGTGTTCTTCGCGTTCTGGACACCAGTTTGTCGTAACACTTTGCAAGACACGATAATTTCCAAGACTGCCCACAGGTAACGGACATGTGAGGTGGACATATGCGGGTGGATAAGCGCTTACCAAGTTCTAAGAGTCTAAGGGGAAAGCGATTGAAGAACTTCACGGCATCATGACAGATAAAAAGGCGTACCGCTGAAGCACTACTGAGGAATTCATGAAGGGTCATTGAGGAAGGAAGGGAGATAGGGACGAGCGGGTTATCAGGAGGGTTTGGAGGTAGAGGGATGCTAGCTAGAATTCGATTTCTTGCCTTGACTAATTCGGCCAGTTCCTCGGGCTTGGGAGGATGGGGCACCTGAACGAACAATGTCAGTCTGGTAGAGAAAGGACTGAGAGTACACGTACCTTGGCGTCGCCATTCAGCTTGTCTGATTCAGAGACCTTGGATGCCTCCCGAGAAGTAGGCGATACGCCTTTTGTGTCCACCTGTGCAGCTGCATTCATAACGTTGGGCTACGCATACAATTAGGTATTTGCATTCGAAGAAGAAGTATAAAAACTTGCCTTTGCAGTCTCCTCATAATTCGGCGGTGGATCAGATGACTTCACCGGTTGAAGGGTATTCTCCTTCGCAGCAGCCTTCAACTCTTCGATGATTGTTTCCAAAGTGTGTATATGCGCCTTCAACGCGAGTATGTCGGCCTGCTCAGTAGGCACCCTGAGAAGCGAATTCGGGGTGAATCGCGGAGCATATTTATCTTCCCTCTCCTTTTGTAAACGGTCGATGATGTCTTGCTTCTGTCTAATCGAAACATATGCGTCGGAAAGACGCTGAACGGCGGCGTCGCGGGCGTTTACAATTTCAACTAGGCGCATTCGTTCGATCTGAATCTCAAGCGCCATTTCTACGACTCGGAAAGGATTCTTTGGCATATATTAATTTGGTGTTCCCGGGCATATATGCTTTTCCACTCACAGCGTTTTTGAGTAACTCCAAGTCTTTCTTGAGTCGGGCGAGCTCATCGTCAACAGGTTTCTCCTCGGTTTGAGTATTCAAGACATTATCATCGAAAACACCACGGCCTGAGTGGGCGGCCATGGTGGGCAATATCCAAGCGAGGTTGTGGAATGAGATCAAGATGCAAAGATTTCAAGGGGCTCCCGTGACCTAGGGTGAACTATCACGTGACCGTTTCCGCGCGTTGTTGACGCGCCGTCACGCCTCAATTATAATACATACTACAGTCATCCACCCCTTAATGATACACCACCCCCAGTTAATACACTTTTGAATAGCAAATATCTCGCTCAATACTAGACCGACTTTTATGAAACAAGTTGTAACAAGTAGTACAAACTCATATCTACCACCATACATACATAATTTGGATACAGTTGAGGCAGAATTGGCAAGCATACAAAATGAACTGTTTTTAGAACATAGCCAAATAAAGTCACACCCCCATAATCTTAGTTTTTCTCTGTGAAATGTGGGTCAAACATTCTGAAATTTGGTATGGTCATAGAAGGACATTTATCTGAGATTTTCATGTAGTTTGTAGAGAAAGGTTGTTCTCAAATCTGTTGACACTAATTTCTCATTTTGGGTGTATCATTAGCAGGTGGATGACTGTATATCTTGACAAATGTTCGAGACAAGGCTTCATATCCTAGTAACTTCTTAATTTAAAGCTGGAGGCCAAAAAAAGTCCAGGAATACAATTTCATGATGCATTAAGAGGGAATCGAACCCCCGGCGGGTCGACAAACTTGATTATACAGGAATGGCAACGACCCAGGTTACCACTACCCCATTAATGCACTTGAGGTAAGTAAATAAAAAATCCTGACTCCGCAACCAAGATATCGATCCGCGATGGGGCTTCGTAGCAACCCAAAACCCAAAGCCACGGCGTCGTGAACAGAAAGAAAGAAAATTCCACATATAAATATGATATGATCCCGTTATATACATTGCTTTGTCCCTTTTCACGAAAGCCCGCCTGAGTTACGCCGATACAACGAGCGACTCACAGGGCGGCGCCCACCACACGACTCACGCGACGACACCACATGAATCATGCAACGACGCAATTCACGCGATCGCCCACGAAGATGCAACGCTCACGCAACCACACATCCTTCCTCACCCCCCAACGCCTGCATCCCATCCAACCCCGGCGGTAGAGGACCCATAATCTCCGCAGGCGGCGATCCATATGATTGCATCTATTCATTCCATCAGTACCTCGCCAACGTCATTCAAAAAAGAAAGAAAGGGAGGTAACACACCTCACTCATAAGATCCACAATAACCTTATTACTCTCCTCATTGGCATCGCTATACCCAGGTTTATCAAAGACGGCTAAAATCCGCTTGACGCACTCTTCTTGTTTTTCGTACCGGCTTCTGTCCTCGGGGGAGAGGGGGCTGGGTGGGTTGGTTAGGTATGGTGGGAACTGGTGTATGTATTGATAAATTGACGGAGACGATGGAAGAAGGAGACTTACGCCTTCAGCAAGCTCTTTGAGAGGCTCGTATAATACTTCCTTGCTCATGAGCTGCCCCATCATAGTCTCGAGGAACCCAGCGAGCTCGTTCTCGTCTCCGCCCTCGCCAAGCCCCCCTAGATCGCCTAGTGATTTGAGCAGCGCCTCGAGTGATTCCGGGGACGTGGTATCCGCAGTACTCGAGTCTCCCTGACCATGCGTGAGCCAAGAGCCGATATGTTAACATAAGAGACGAACCTGGAGATTCGTTTCGCTCTCTTTCAGCTTATCCATAGCCTGCTTAATCTTATCCTGAAATCCACCACCCGCACCCTCAGCCGTCGTCGACTTCCCATCCCTAGCTCCCGTCGCCTCCCCACCCGCCAACAACTCCGCCAACTCCTCACCCCCAGGCCCATTCATCCCCTCCACGAGCATAGCCTCCCACGCAGCCTTGAACATCTTCGCCTGCCTCTCCTCCTCCTTCTCCCCGCCTCCTTCCTTCTTCCCCTTCCCCTCCGCAACGATCTCCTGCATAAGGCTCTCCATGCCCATCGACAGCTCCTTCGCGAACTCGGAAGAGAGTGCGTCCTCGTCGAGCTCCGTTGTGGGATCTAGTGGTGCCCCGGTGCCGGGCATGGATATGGGCAGCGCATCGACGCGTGTGTTGGTCCTGGGACGGTTGGTGAAGGTGGAGTGGGTGGCAGTGGGTGGCGGCGCGGTCGTTCCTGTTCGGGATGAGAATTGGGAGAGGACGTCTGTACGTGTGTGGGTTTTATGCTTGGTTGGAGGAGTGGAGGAGAATGCTTACCGTCGAGATCGTCGACATCCTCGTCGGGGTTGGACATGGAAAGAGTCAAGTAGTTTGGTGTTGTTTATGTCGGGTATTGCATTCCCGACCAATTCCCGACGCAGACTGAGTACTGATGAACGACGTGAAGAAAACAATCTTATAATCTGGCAACAATCTGGTCCATCGTGAATAGCTAATTAGTCACCCTTAGTCGACCTTAGTCTCTCGTACATGTAGGATAACATTTGTAACATCGTCACGATGTGACTCACATTGCATCATGTGACATGAATGCTTGTTCTTGCCTCCGCTCTCGTTGAGCAACCTCGAGTGCCAATTCGAGTGCCAATCAAGGCTGTCGGCGCAAAGTCTTTATGTCGTGAGTTAATCCATATTCTGCAGTAATATTGTCTAAAATGCTCTCTAGATTCCAGATAAATGGATCGATGTCCTGCTGAAATATGCTCAGAGATATACGCATACGCCTGCGTCGATAACGGACGCACAGGTCGATCGCTTTCCCTCGTGTCGACCTACATACGTGATACATCACGCCCATTTAAGCTCCAATCCGTCTCCGTTGTCGGGTTCCAGCAACTCCTGTCCTTTGCTGCTCTACTTGAGGATACTCCTCTCCATCTTCGCCAGGTCAGATGTATATTCATCTCCGCACACGCTCAGAGCACGGCTACCGAGCCTAAAGCTTTGACTCCCGAATACGCCAGGCGCGAGACGGCGTACGGCGCAGTAGGGAAGATCCTACACGCCATTTCTCACTGCGTCAGAGTCGTTCACGCCCTTTTTCTCTTCCACCGCCCATTCCCCTTGCTCCCAGTCAGCCTTCCATTCCTGCAAGAGCTCTCTTTACACGGACCCCCCGGCGCCGCTTCAAACGTGGACGAAGAAATTCAATTTGCGTCGTTGAACCATCTCCATATATCCTCCTCTTACTCCCCCCTCTATATCCTCGGAACAGTCGCAAAACTCACTCCAAACCTCAAGCACCTGCGCATCTCCGCCCCGGAGCACTCTCCCAATTTCGTCGATGAATTGAAGGATATCCTGGAAAACGCAACGATACCCCTACCCACCCATCTGGCCAAACTATGCATTCATTCTCCAACGGAACCCAAGGATAATTGGGTGGGTATGTTGGACCTTTATGAACGGACGATGGCTGCGCTGGAAGGCCTGTCGGCCGAATACCCCTGGATCTTGCTTCTCCCTCCCCTTCGGCTGGGAATGTTCAGTACACTCTCGATAGAAGACGCTGAAGCTGCATGGCTTAATAGTTGTGCTGGTCGGCAATGGTGGTAAACTTGTATGTTTTTAACTTATTATAATGTGTACAACATTGTAAGATGACAAGCAATTTTCTCAATCAGACTGCTTTCGTGGTACTCTCGGTGTGCATCTCAGCACTTGATATCCTCCGCCCAGATGATGAACTTTCAATCCGCCACCCCCTCCAGCCCTCTCTAGCACCAATATTCGGCCCCGGTACCACAGCGTACTCTCCACCCTCAAGAAAGTCAAAGATCGACGCACTAATGACCGCAACAGCCATGGGGGCCCATGAAGCGGCAACACACCTCAACGGACCATACCCAAAGGAGAAAGACATAGTCTCCGCCTGGCCCTCTAAAAGTCGACTTGTGGAATGCCGAGCAGGTACAATTGTATGTCCCAACTTATATTATAATGTGTACACGATCGTAAAATGACAAGCAACATCTCAAGCAGACGGCTTTCCTGGTGTCTTTGAAGTATTCTCGCTTTTTTTTGATCTGCTTCGCCCACAAGATGAACTTTCAATCCGCCACCCCCTCCAGCCCTCTCTAGCACCAATATTCGGTCCCGGTACCACAGCGTACTCTCCACCCTCAAGACAGTCAAAGATCGACGCACTTATGACCGCAACAGCCATGGGGGCCCACGAAGCTGCAATACACCTCAACGGACCATATCCAAAGGAGAAAGACATGGTCTCCGCCTGGCCCTCCCAAAGTCGACCTGTCGAGTGCCTCGCAGGATCAAAAACATGCGCATCTTCACCCCACACGCTGCTCCTCTGTATCTCCTCGACATCCGCGTAACCTCTTTGAAATTGCGTTCCCGGCCAAAGCTTCTCCATCACATTCAGGAGCGCACCAGGCACCCAGCTCCATCCCAAGCGTGGTCGCACACGGCTGATATGCCGTGAAGGCGGATGCAAGCGCATAGTTTCATCCACGACTCCCTTGACACTCACCCCGTCCTTCCCCTCCGCTCTAAACACTTCCTCCTTGGGGTTCACATACACCTCCAAAAACAACTTCTCCAAGCGCGGGTTGTCATGTGTATACGCGATGGCGGTAGCCACGACCCTCCATAGTGTCTCCCAAGCCGGAACGACGAAATTTAAAGGGTTTGGGAACGTGTCTTCGTCTAGGACGAGCCGGCGCAGGTGGTGCTTCACGTCCACTAGGAGCTTGCGCGAAGCTGGACTTGGTTTCTTTGACAGTGACCAGAGCTTTGTGATACCCTCCACCACCACCACGATACTCTCCCTGTCCAAGCTATCCACGGCAGTCTGCACACCCATGATACCCACCAGCACAACGCGAAGCGTAACGGACTGCACGAATCTGTCGAACAACGTTCCATGACTTTCTGAATTCGCCAGTTCAGCATGGATGGCTTGCGTGGTCAAGTGACGAAAATCGGTCCATCGCGCCTGCGGTGTCTTTATCAACTCACGAGCCTGCATCGTGAATGCTTTGTGGACTGTACGATCGGGGCTAACAAACGTGTTGGATAACCCCATGCCTTCAACCAGGCGTTCATTTGCCTTTGCTCGTTCTGTGAGCAGCTCTTCGATGCCCTTGTTTGGCGAGTGTAGGAATGCTCGTATCGACGCGACTGATCGATGGGCGTGTACCGTGGAGGAAAAGAAGGCGGTGAAATAACGTAGGAAAAGGGAAACTATCAGAGCCACAAGCGCAATGCACAAAATCGAAATCATCGCGGGGTAAGTTGGCTCATTTCTTCGTTCGTTTGAACTGAAGCTTTTAATCTCTCGTACTTCAGCCGAAGAAGCTTAGCTATCTAACCTTTGCCAATAAAGACGAGCGGGAAGTATGTAATTATACGGAACTGTGCACACGTGACGCGTTGCCGTAACGCGACTGTGTCCCATTTGGCATTTTCGTCGGAACTCCTCCTCCTCCTTTGGGATGGCTGTCCGCTAAGCACCTTACTCGCGCAACCCCTCCATCAGGGATTCCCCAATTCCTGGGGCCTTGTGACTTAGCGAGAATACTACTACTGGCGGGAATTATAGAGGAAACCAAGGACATGGATGAAGACTCGGAATCGAAGACGTTCTGGGAAGGAAAAAAGACGTCATCTTTAAGTTTTGGCGCTTTGGGAAGGACCAAAAAAAATGTGATCTTTTAAGCGCCCGTGTTGCAGGTGCTTCGTTTTGGCGCCGCATTCGCTTGAAAATCTGTGCTGTTGAAGGGCGGGAGCAGGCCATCTTCGCCAGCATTTTGCTCTACTTCAAACGTGCGTCGAACCGATCTAGTGATCTTTCCTCAGTCACTCACCTTCACTCATTGTTTCGCAGAATTGACTACGAAAGTTAAAATACTGCGTGACGTCATTTTATCATCATGTTAGAATGCGGATTTCCTTTTTGCTATGGACGCTTTACGCGAATGGCGGAGCATCGATCTCGCATTGGTGCACTCCCGAAATTAACATTCAGCTCCCAATGCGCACAGCTTCTACTATGCCCTATCAGTACTTCGGCAGACCCTCTCAGTCGGCACTTTCCTGATCTCAAACTTTCCACAAAACATCTTGCCACAAAATTTGAGACAGGGCCTCCTGGGTATAATCCAACCTAACTCCACTTTTTTTCGTCAAAAAAAAACGAAGAATTGGCGAAGTTCTGTTTTTTGGCCAGTCACGGTCTGTCACGTTCATCCGCCAAAAATTGTGACATTTGTGACCGCCGACTGAGAGGGTCTGCCGAAGTACTGATATAGCATAGTATGTGGGGTCTTCGGTTCTCTCCAGGGAGATCTCCCTCCGCAGCATCGCCAAGACAAGACATGGCTAGTTCCGTGATGAGATGCTCGCATTTTTGCGGCGTAGCCGGGGCAGGCTCTTTTTAACTGTGTCCGACAGGAGGTCTGGATTTTATCCAGAGATACCTCGGGAGCTTGAGCAGACTCCAAAGAGGCTTCCGTCCATACAACTTGGATGGCGAGCGTGACAAGTTGGGCTGGGTATTTCTTCATCCATGTCATGAACTGCTCCGTGTTTGGTATGGAGTTTTGGCCGTACGAAAATGGTTGCAGATCGACAACAGCATCCGTTAGCAAGTTCGCCAAAGACAGATGCAACCATGCTTTCTACCCTCGCCTATTGATTTTTTGGGAAGCGATATGGGTTCGGAAAAATATGGACCGCCTCTCTTTCTCGGAATCTGAGTCAGGTCATCATCAACTGGATGGTTGAAATGGCAGGCAACCTACTCACCAAATTACGGTTGGAGTTGAGTGAACCTGACGAGGCTGAGGACTGAATTTCTCGAAAGTATCTTTGCGACGTTTCAATGCCTGGCTCGATGATGGCTGTAGCGCTCAGCGTTCAATCCACTCAGCTACCGCTGCCCCAAATCCTATCCGGAAAACCGCCTCCAGCATTTCACAAAAATAGTGACATGTATATCCATATGTACAGACCTACGGGATTTGATTTCCAAAAATTTCACCAATTCCAACGGCATCCTCAACATCAATTGCAATTGGTATCTAAATTGTTATCGCTCAAATTTTAATCCAACTCATCAATTTCCCGCTCGACCAAATACTCCTTATCAAAGTCCCGCTCAAGAAGCTCATCCTCAATGTCGCGCTCGAACAACTCCTCATCAAAGTCCCGTAGTGAGTACGGGGGTGGGTTTGGGTACAGGGGCGGGGGTGGGTACGGGGGCAAGGGTGTGGTCGGTCGCGGTGGTGGGGACACGGCCCGGGACGGCGGGCGACTGGCTGTGCGTCCACTACAAAATAGAGAGGTGAATAAACACAAAAACGAAGCAAAAAAAAGTAAAAAGAAAGCAAACAAAGTACGCGCCCGCCTCAAGAGCTCGAGGTCACGTTCCAAGAGCTCAACCTCTCGGGTGTATAGGTCTGCGTTGTTCCGAGCAGAGAGATCGCCGAGATCGAAGGGGATTTCGCGCTCGAACAGGTTGATATCACCGCGGTCTCGTCTGTTGTACGTATTCAACCATTCGTTAGCACCTTCATAAAAACATCGCGGTGAGTGAAGAAACTTACCGAGCATGACGTTGCTCCTGAGCACAGGCAGCAGCGACAAGGGTCGCTGCAACGAGGATGGAAGCAGCGAATCTGACCATTATGTCTGTTTTGTCGTGAGTGGATTGATAAAATTTAAGCAAAAGACTGAGAAGGGGAGGGGGAACGAGTTGCGTTCAACGAAAACTCGCAGTGATGTGGGAGTGAGACCAGCTGGAGAACCTGGATACACCGTTGGGGTTTTTATATCAGAGCTTGGAAGCAGGTTCAATGTGCGCTTAATGTGACATTCGGTGATGCAGTGGATTGGTTTCAAAGTGGGTACTATGCAACTGCAGCAAAATCCCGAAATCTGGCCATTGTCGGATTGGGCGACGAGGGACGGTGTGCGTGATGGAGCTCAATTCGTGGCGCTTGCTTCATCAGAACCAGGGGAGCAAGCAAGCAAGGGTCAATTTGAGTTTGAACGCAACATACATACGGCATCCGATATGGTTCGATGCAGTGGGCGAAACGCCGAAAGCGATATTGGCTGTAGCCAGCTCGGCGCGCGATCCTGCCAATCCAGTACTAGTGTCAACTTGCAATTGTTACAGCAAAAATTCCTATTCCGGCTCGGGCCTTGCATAGCTCCACCTGCTGCCGTTGTCACTGTCAAGTTGTCGTTGTGAAGCCGAATTTCCTGGTCCGCTTTGCAGAGGGGAACTTTCGCGGGTCTGAGCACGCAATTTGTAGTCATACAGGTAGAGGTAGAGGTATATTCCGGAGCGGTCCCAATGAGGAACAACGTGTGCGATAAAAAGCTTGCGTCCAGAAGAAATGCATCGCGCCAACATCGCGCGATGGTTACTGAGTCCGAGAGTCGATTTTTATTCAATTTAGCCAGTTTACCTGCACACACTAGAGACTAAGTATCCCATAGAACTCCGGAACAGAAATATTGATGCTGCAATGCAGATTCAAACAAACGGATTTCAACTTCTATAGGTTGAATTTCAATTCCCCGAAGCACCATAGCATGGTGATATCGTACAAGTGATCCTCATCCAGCCACGACAATACAGTCCCGCATTCGTTCATTTAAAGTACAACCCCAGTGACATCCTCCCCAACCACCTTTCCTGCTTGAAATATGGTCCACAAATGAAAGGGACCATTGCCTTCCAAAACGTGTCGTCCGTTCCACTGACCCTTTTATCCTCATTCTGCCTCTTCATCGCCACGTACTCAAACCACGGCGGATAATATCCTGCCCATGCCCAGTCAATGATCCAAAGGCGGCCATCTTCGCCCACGATGATGTTTCGAAGGTTGAGATCCTGATGTGTCAGAACGAGCGGTTCGGAATTGTCGAATAAGTCGTCCCTCGAGGGGTCATCTCGAGGCAACTTCTCGGCGTTCATCGCCATCTGTTGGCGCTTGTTGAAGAAAGCCGAGAGCTCAGAATACGATGCGAATGGACCGCGGTGAGATTGAACTTGACCAAAGATGGGGGATTCGCATATCCTGGTTCCTTGTGCGCTCAGTGGGCCAGGCGGCGTCGTAGCAGACGCTTTCAGGCAACGGAGCTGACGGACGTAGCGGCGCAATGTAAAAGCCACATGAATTTTCTGCCACGTCGAAAGAGTTGGCCAAACATGGGCTAGTGTTGGACCTGGGATGTAGTCCATAATCATTAGGAAGTCCCATTGGCGTTTCACGACGCGGCGGATGCGTGGGACGGGGATAGTCGTCTCCGCGAACAAGAGGTCGAGTACGTTCGCTTCTGAGGCATCTGCGGCGTCTTCGTCCAAGTCTTGAGAAGCCTTTGCGACGGTGCCGGGCGTCAGTTTGACAACACCGGAGTCTGGGTCTAATTTGGAACCGTTCGTTCTGAGCGCAAGAATTGTCTCATTGCTAAGCTGGTCAACGTCCGACGGCTGGAGACAACTCTGTGGTCTCTTGTCCGGTATCACGAATGTCAAAATTACGTCCAGAGCATCTGCTATTGCCCCAAGGAAGGTGTAAAACAGCCAATTTCGTGTTCCTTCAGGTGTATTCATTGAAGTTTGGGGTGAATGCGTTGGATAGTTGAGGGACTTGACTCGGAAAGTGAGTAAGTCATGAGGATATCAGTTACTTAGAAGACGAGTATTGGCCTGCTCAACAATGGCCCACCACGGCCCGATCAGCCGGCTCATTTCCTTCCTGCCCCAAGTCGTGTCCCTGACCAGTGACCTCTGCTCACCCCGACTTGACCCTCTCGCACGGAAAACTTACTAGGGTCCAATATGGGTCGGACGATTTCCCTTCCTTTCCGCCCTTTGACTTCAAGGCAAGAGCGGAATCTAATGACCTACCTGGACGATCATTTTCTTCAGATCACAAGAAACTTCAAGAAACGGTCAGTTGTTCTTTCGATCACTCATTCGAACACTCTCATACTCTCGTACTATTAGTGCAGAAACATCTTCTACGCTTCGTACCCTCCACGCTTACCTCGAAGCTTCACGACACCTCCTGAAGATCATTCTTCAAATACCTCCAGTCGACCCATCCACCAGTCTAAGGACAGCCTACCTACTTCGTCTCACAGGAGATGTTCTGAGCTCCATTACCGGATACAGATTAACTTCAGAAAGTCCCCCCACGAATGGCCAGGCGGACGGCCCCATCGCTTCAACTGCTAATCTCGACTCTATACCACTACCGCTCGCAAGATCAGCCCTACAGGATCTCCTCGATTTCTTAGACGACCTCGACCAGGCTTGGGTTGCTGTACTCCAAGGGCAAGTTTGGGATCCAAGTTCAGGAGCGGGTGTCGATCTTGTGGTACCCATCGACTCCTCGAATGTCAAGTCTACGCCCCCGAGTCAAACTGACGTTGCACGGCTGCGCAGCTTGTTGATCGGTGGACAGTCCGCGATCGAGGAATGGCTTAGTGAGGAAAGACTGACACGAGGTGGAGAAGAGGAGGAAGACGATTTGTCGGCGACGCTTGAGCGTATGGGTTTACTTGATGAATTTGATGAGCTTTTCTCGAAGACACTTGACTTTTTGGGAGGACTTGGGGGTGTGATTGTTGAACCGGGAAGCACTGTGGAGGACATGGATATAGGTTGATATTTGACTGCGCTCAGGAATAGTGATAAGCAGATAGTGACTAGTGTATTTCTATACCACGCCGCCAGTGTATTTACAGAGAAATTTTGCCGATATGTCAGATGAGCTTGAGCTGCTTTCAACTTAGGCAAACGACAAGGATTCAAATCTCTATTCAAAATCACGATTACAAAGTGAACAAGTGGAAAAGATCCTAAGCATGAAGAAACGCGCAACGAATTGGAGGGTTGTAAAGACGTCGCTATCTATGTGCTCTTGACCACGATAAATTGCGTTGGCCTTGATCGCATGTCACCGATTTCCTGATCTGCCTTGTTGAACGAAGCATTTCAGAGATAGGTGTTGACGTAAGGCCTGAAAGTGCAGTGTGGCCACAGCATTTCCCATCTTTTTCTGCGGAACGCAGAGAAGTCCGCCAACATACTCGCAGAACTCGCAGGCAACAATCAGAGGGCCGGAGAGAACTGCTTTTACAAGGGCTGCAGGGGGTAAGAATTAGGGCAGTGACGATCCACACAAGGAGAAAGTTTTGGATTATCATTCATTGGTCCATGTCCTCGCAAACTGGATAGGTCTGAGTGGAAGCCAGAAATTCCGGATAGAGTTTGCTCAAGGGCATCGGAGCGAAGGGTCACTTAGAAAGTAACCATGGGGTGGGTTGGGTGAGATCCCGAGCTGCCGCACGGTGCAAATTGTGTCTGCCGAAAAATCCTTTCCTGGGTTTTTACGGTGAGGCAGATCATGTTCACGCTAAGATCGTTTGCCAGTTTTGAGAAAACCTAGACTGGGACTTCAAAAGGGGTTATTAGACATAGATGAGGGGCTGAAGAGCAGACAGAAGGAATACGTTTGTAGGCCAGAATGATTGAACGACTTTCTTGATAGTTTCAGGCTCATTGCCAAAGTTGGTACTCGAAGGTCATGATCAAGTCGCGGGGTCATGTTCGGAAAGCCACCTCAGTCTCAGTCGATCGTCGCGTCGAAGTTTTGTAGAAAGTCGCAGAGCAACCGTAAAAAGTGAGAACCAACATCTTGGCATGTGGTCGGAAGCCGATGAAGAACTTGCAGCCAAATTCAAACAAATCTCAACGACCACTGCTACACCACGACATAGCGTCAAATTCACCACTTCCTAAATTTCCACCAGCCAAAATTCCATTGAACCCAGATTCGCGATAGGTGGACATCATCAAGCGGACTGTCCGACTGCCAAAACACCATTGAAGAAGAGTCACTCGGGTGGAAAGGTGGGCAACAGTCAACTGGTCGGTCCTATCTTACACGCTCCTTAGCCTGATAAAACTCAGCAAGGAGGGCGGGACTTACAGGGAACTCAACGGATTGTTCGCCCCCTTCATATCTTTCGCTTCAGGTGGAGATGAAACGCTTGCACCGTGCTTGTGCATGCGCGCATGGCCGCTTTGAAGGGCGGAAGCTGGACACTTGCTGGGAGTCATTCAACGATTGAGGACGAGGGATGGCAGTCTTAACAGCCATGGCCCCGGCTAAGGATGGCGAACCGCGATTCAACCCTTCAATGTCGTCTTCTGGGAACCGGACATTTTTTGGCGATATTTCAACGATCGAGCTCAACGACACATTTTGCCACTTTCCAGACAACCATCGCCTTCCCCAGCAGTGGCGAGCCACACTTCGCCCTCTAAAGGTCGTCTTCCATTTGCTGGGCATTTGTTGGTGGTCATTCGACGATCGAGGACTCAGAATGCCCACTTTTTTCAATCAGCCATCGCCTTCACCAGCAGCGGCGAACTTCCCTTCACCCCTTTGACCTTGTCCTCCACCGTTCTACACATGCCCATCATTGTCGGGAGCTATGATCAACGCCGCCCTCTATCCCAGCAAAACCAGTGGACCGATAGCCTGGAGCTGTGATGCTTGAATAAATTTCACAAGAGCATCTGCCCGATCCTAGTGCCCCGATTCGTCGGCTTCCACGAACCAAATGATTTGCTTTTCGACGGAGGCTGCTATATCGAGCAAGCTTGCAGATCGGGATCCAATGATCAGCGCGATGTCTAGAACATCGGTGAACCTGAAATTTCGAGCAGTAGAGCTGAAGGAGTCAAGCCATGCCCATAGGAAGCCATTCGAATGTGAAACCGTTATATGTCGACTTGCGAATTACCAATGTTGGCCGATTGGCCAGAATCTCGTCAACGACCAGCATCTCTTCCCTTCCTCTTCAAATCCGATGCCTAGCATGAGGAGCAAAAGGTGTCCAGCTGATCTCGGAGTGCAGGCATTGGCTGTGCTTCACCGTCGGCTACATCAAGAAAGGAGATCCTCCTCTCAAACTTGTCTTGTGGTTGATCATCTCTTGACTCCGGAGTGACGTTCTCTATCCATGTGGATGAGCCGCGACTTCAAACCTATCCGACGCACGGCTGTAGCGGTGCCGCAGTGTCGGTGATGGTGTTGAAGCATCTTAAGCTGCTGCTCCCAGTTTCGTCAATGGTAAACTTGTACGCCTTCGCAGCCAGCTGGTCAGGGGGTAAACAAACCAAGAGAACCAATAGGCATGCCCACCAGGTTTTCAAGTCGCCCTGCATCCTGACTCGGTTAGCTTCCCTCAAGATCAACTGAACCACCCTTGAACCATGTCTGAAAGGTCAAGAAATGACGAAAGATGTATGGATGTTGGAAGTCGAAGGTTAGTTGGTGATGATCCCGGCGAAGGTTGACTTTCTCTCACACATTTGCCATTTACAGCAGCCCGCGCCTACCTTTCTTAGTGAGCCTCGAGCTCGAGCACTTGAACGCCAGCTCTTCAATGCACGTCGTACGTCTGGACTCCCTCCATCCCTTTTTCGCCGCCCAGCCCTCCAATTCAGATCTGGATGAAGTGAATTGTCAGGCGCGAAGGCAAATTTCCATGCTACCGGAACTAGGGCTGGCCAGGGACACCGTTTTCAAACTCCACGGCAACCCAATTACCTCAAACCTCTCCAGTTCCCCGTTTCTGTGATCGGTTGCCTCCGATCTGGACCTCTGCGCCCCAAAAGGAGGACGGTATATAAAGACGTGTCATACCTTTTTGTTGCTCGTTCGGTTTCTTGCCATAGCCCTACCACCACCACCACCACCACCACCACCACCCACCCACCAGCAATTTTTTTGGCTCCTCCGCCCTCTTCAGCACGTACACTCTATCTACACAAAAATAAATGTCTCTCTCGCAACTCCATTTGCCCTCCTTCACGGTTGTCCTGACTTCGGACCACGGCTCCACGATTCTAAGAGATTATCAACGAGCGCAAAGTCGCGAAATTCAAATCCCCATTTTTAGACCAGAGGACGACGGTCTATTGGTATGCCCACATCGCCGCAGCTGTAGCGTACTCTTCTCTGAGCTTCTCGCTTGCAGGACACGATGGACATGCGAACGCCGACAGGTTTTATTGTCTATAGATGCGAGTACGCGGTGAGTCTTCTCATTCCTTTGGCCACTTTCGCGTGCTTACTGAGCCATTTGTCTAGCGTGACCAAGATACCGCGACCCTCTTTGGAGATGATGTCCAGACGGCGGATCCGAAAGGTTCCTTTTGGGTACGGACGTCGAATTGGTTATGACACGTTCAACGTTTGATGTACTCATCACACCACTTTCAGCGTCGATTAAAGGTGTTTTGCAAGGGTTTGGGACGCAAGTAGATTCATGTTCAAGTCGAAGTTCATCGGACGTGGTCGTGGATGAGTGCCGATTTGTCTTCCCGCCTTTCTATCTTGTTCTTGTGCATCGCTATCTTATCATTGCTATCTTCGTTGTCATCGAAAAAAACCGACCCTCACGTTCATTCAATTCACCTAATCTGTTCATAGTTTAGCACCGTCCTCCTGCAATCACTAGCTTTTGTCAAATGTCCTTGAAGTGTTTTTTGTTCTCATTGGATTCTGCAGTTAAGGTCGGTCGCTTGTTTGACTGCTTGCCAAAAATTGCGACATCTTTCGGCAATGTCGATTTGACGCAAAGAAACATTGAAGTGGTCGTGAATACTCACTCTGTCAGCGCATTGATCAATGCTCTAGCTAGGACCCATTGGATGACAAGGTCTTCCGCTACAGGTTTGAGAGATAGTCACACGTTTGCGGTTTGATGTTTTCGAGTGATTGCAAGTGTCATCACAAAAGACTGAAGTTCAGGCGATTTGTCTTCGTTGCGACGTACATTCCAGGCACTCTTCCTCTGATTGACTTTCATACAATGGTTGAGGCTTGAAAGTTCTTGTTTTTCATCATTGACATTGCTTGCAATCTTCGTGTGGTCTTCGATAATGGTTGAATGGCTTCTGTTCTTCATGAGTCAAAGTTGACGCCCTTCATCTCCCGCAGCGTGTTGGTTTCAGTCTGTACAAAAATCATGATCATATTTTTGGTCCAAAAGATTAAAAGGTAGAAAGTCCATGCACGACTTGATTAATTCGGTTGACTGATGCATGCTGGGCCGAATGAAAGGAAATAAAGAGAAGAATGCGGATCGCCTCCCGTTTCCATGAGGAGCAAGGTAGAGGCAGGGAGACATTGCAGAAAGAGACTGGGCGCTTCAAGCTACCTGGAAGAATTGACCAGTGTAGGGCACCCAGTAGAGCGTTGGACATGGAGAAGTTGGGGATAAAGTCCTGCTTGTGTGATCCGAAGAGGCTGTGTTGGGTCGAGTCATATATAGCCTATAGGTCGCACAGACGACTCATCGTGAGAGGGCAGCTTGAAAACGCATTCATCGGCGACGTTGAGGTATTTAACATTGTAAACCCAAGCCAAGATCCAAAGTAGGCCAGAGCGAAGCCCTTCAATGGCTGCTTGTTGGGGCTCCATGTGACGGCGTCTAATTTTTCAGTGCGTGTTTCTGGAATCGTTGGACAGCTACACCTTTATCCAGTCCTAAGATTGAAGACCAGCCATCGCGAATTGTGGCCTTCGCTGACGTTAAGGGACACAAAATCTTCTGTACTTAGATGAAGGTAAGAGGTAAGTGCGAAAAAAACATATGCACACACAGAGGTTGCCTATTTTCAGCGATATTCCAATTTTTTCCAACAAAACACATTCAGAAGAGTTGGCCCACGTAAGAATCCTTCCGATCTGAAGATATCTTCCTGATATTACATTCCTCGTAACAGGTCGTGCCCCGATGTCATTTCGTCCAAAATCTCAGGACAATAAAGACACCCTGGCCAGGGAGAGTAGGCTACGCGTTCTTGGCGACAAGAAAGAAGCGCTTCAATTCGAAAGGGAGGCCCTGGTGTCTAAGCTTGAGAAGCTTGACTACAAAATTATCCAGGCTCAAGGCGAATATGGAGCCCTCTACAACGAGACGGCGCCCATTCTAAACCTTCCAATTGAAATACTCTGTCGCATGTTCGAAGCAGCACATAACACGTCTTTCGCTGAGGGGATTCCAAACAACCCACTCATAGAAGTCACTATCTCCCATATTTGCAGAAGATGGCGATCCATCGCGTTGTCCTTTCCATTACTTTGGTCGATGTTCCGCCATGATGCTTCTAAATTGCCAGAACGTATCCCGGTTGATCGATTAGTTACATATCTGGAACGGTCGGGCTCACGTCTTCTCGACCTCCATTTCGCATTTGCCGACTCCGTCTTAGGCGAGGGATCACTTACATTGTTCAATTCCATGCTTGAGAGCACGATACCACACGTTGCGCGTTGGGGGCGATTCTCCCTCTTTTCCTACGGGGACGTCCCAATCCTTGCCTTCTGTGACAGGTTACAACACTTGGAAGCTCCCAACCTTGAATACTTTACGATGTGTCCTGGCATTACAGCAAGTATCGTTTTCGATGGACTCCAAGATGGACTCTTTCCTTCAGTGTTTTTAGGTGGTGCACCAAAGCTTTTCTACCTTCGACTGGATCCAACCTGCCCATCCAAGTACCTCCCCCCCTTCTCCAACGTCACAGTGCTTCGGCTCGAGGATGATAGCCTTGATTTAAATGATTGGGACCTTGGGAGTTACAGCACATTCCTCGAAATTCTTGCCCTACCATCGTTAACCAGTTTGTCAATTGTTGGGCGACAGTTCAGCGAGCCTTACTCGCCGCATTCTTCCAAGATCACCATGAATAATCTAAAGCATCTCCGCTATGGCGCCGACGATCACCTTCTTGGCCATTTCCTCCCATTCCTGTTCGCGCCGTTGCTTGAGACGCTGATACTCAGCAACACAGAACTTCCATTGCCACCCAGCCCCTTTCCTAAATTTATGCGGCCATTTTCCAAGCTACATTCTTTGGAGCTGATCAATTGCATAGACAATGACATTGAGTTCTTCACGTCCTTCGCAGCGCTCACCCCACATATCACCAACCTCACGATCGTAGACAGTTCATCGTCTGAGAGCCTATTTGAGTACATGGCGGAGCAACTCAACGAGGAGGGAACCACACTTTGGCCGAATGTAAAGATTTTGACTGGCATTTTGCTCCACGAAGACAGTCTCGACCATTACACCAGCTTCGCGAAAATGTTCAAAGACCCAGTAATCATTTGCACTAGCGCTTCTTTTGCTAATGACTGGAGATCTACGGATCCTGAGGGTTATGAGCTATTACAGTCGGTCTGTATACTGGAGCAAATGCCTGCTGGGAAGAGGTTAGTTTCGTGGCCGCCGGGCGTCGATGTTCCAGTGGAGGATGGTTTCTTCACCATAGAATTCTAAAAGTTACCCACCAATATCTCGAGTATCCTTGTTTTCTCAGATGTTTTCAATGCCAGGGATGCGAACAATTAGGTTATCACGTCGCGGTTTGCGATTGACTCATTGAGTTTTTGGCATCAACATTTCGCCGTTCGTCAACATAAGTACCAGCAGATTCTGATGCATGGAAATTGATATCCTGTGACAGATTGCGCTCACGATGCCTGCCCATTTTTTTTTTTCAGAGTCCTGAGGTTGGGGTGGTAAAAGTTTCTCGACTTCATGAACAATTTAAAAACAAAGTATCAGTTGCTGCCGGTGGAGCCAGAAACTGCAGCCATAATTCACTGTCGGAGCGCTGAAGCGCTGACTTCAAACTGATGATGCCGGCACACTTTTTAACGACACGCCTCGGCTTCCATATGTTCCTAATCTGTAAAACCGCTCACGATGCGTCGTATTACAGTGTTGTGGAATCATCATTTCATGTGTTTGCGGAAGGTGGCGTGCTATCGCCTTGTCCTCCTGGCTGGTATGGTCAACACTTCGACAAGATGCTATTGAGATTGGCGGGTCGGATTCGAAAGGGATCTAGGATATTCGATATCGAGCTTCAGATTCGGGTTTACAAGAATCAAGAATTGTGTAAGTCCTTGCTGGAGCTACTTTACTATGTATGGTTGTCAATGGAGTCGTTTATGATCAGTCTTAGATACAACTCTCACTACTTGACGGGTATGTTATGAAGGATCCTTCATTGATCCTTCAAGTGCAAGGTTCCATCATGCCAGCACGAACCCAACGGCAACGGCCATGAAAGCGACCAGCGAGCTCGTCGATAGAGCAGACGCGCCGCTGCCCTTAGCGGGAGCTGAAGTAGCTGGCGTAGATGCAAGACTGGTCATTGGAGGAGCGGTGACAGTAGAAGCGGCTTTACCGCTCGAAATGGACAGAGTGCTCGAAATGGGCAGAGGAGCAGCAGTGTAAAGGTGTGCCCCGCTAGGAACAGGGCCAACCGGTGCTGAGGCGGATGCACCAATGCCAACTAAACCTCCTTCACCTTGCTATATGACCGATTGATTGAGGTGAGAAAGTGCCGATATTCGGGCGGTGAGGATGCTTACGTTGGGGGTGCCCTTGAATGCTTTGGCGTTGGCCTGGAACGCTGCGAAGGTGTTGTCGCCTGTTGCGGGTGCGTTGATAGCTCCAATCATTCCTTGAAGGCGGGGGGCGAGGGGTAAGCTAAACCTGACCATCCCATGGGGAATGAACATACCAGATGAGCAATGAAAACTGGGTAAAATCTGCTTGCAGTAGAACCAAATAGCTAATTCGACGTGAGGATGATCACCAGTAAACTCAGAAAGATTTGCGTACGCTTAGAGTCATCCGTGATCGTCAAATTCCACTCAGGCGTTGCGGAGAGAGGAGGACTGGCAGGTATGAAAACCCAACCGGAATCGAATCCTCCAGGACGGGGATTGCACGGATCGGAAAACGTTGATTGAGTGACGGTGTGGTTTCCTGGCCTGAGCGTGCAATTCATTGGGTACCAGATTGAAGAAGATGAAAACGATTACCTACGCTCCAGAAAAGCGGAAAGTAATGACAGTGCCGTTGGTCGCTTTGAAATTATTGGGAGCGTATTGGAAGATACCTCCCCCCGAAGTTGGCGCTGAGCCCACTACGACCACCTTGTTGCATGGTTTGAGTTCAGTGTACTCGACTCGGTAGGAAGGATCTGAGCCAAACTTACAGTTTGAGCAAAAGCCGCAGAGGCTAGAGCTAACGCGGTGAGGCCGATAGTGAACAGCATTTTCTTTCGGGAAAGTTACTGCAACGGAGAGGAAGTATCAAGACTATTTCAATCAAGAACTGTGAGAACGTGAAACGAATGCGATCGTTTTTTCGCATCTTCCAGGAACGTGGTTCAATAGATTCACGACGAAAGGACTTTCTTAATTCGGTACAAACTGATGTCGACGCCCTGAGGAGAATAATCCTGAAGCCTGATCTAGGGATTAAACTATCCAGAAACCCCCCTTTCCACGTGAAACCCCAAGGTTTCTATCCAACCACTTCAGAAACCTGGGGTACCACAAGCAATCACTGATGGCCGATGGTCAAAATATTTGAGGTCCGACTTCCCTCGAGGCTCGGCAGTGGCCCTCCAACATTCCGTTTGGGCATTCAGACAGCCCATTCCCGCGCCTCAACCCCAGTGAAAATTGACCCTGTGCAGATCGGGTTTCTCCGGATCAAATCGATATATTTGCCAATTTCCGGCCATCTCCCCTGTTCAGATCGGGCTCCACCGATCCATTTGGCCATTTTTTAGGGTCGATTTTCACTGGGCCTCAACTATGGTAAGAACTTTTGAATTCCCTCGCAATTCCAGTTTCAATTGAGTGACTAGATCTCTCCATTAAGAGCCCAAATGGTCCAAGGTTTGCATCTCCCTATTTTCCATTTCTCTCCTCATTTGACATCGTTTCGGATGATTATGTCACATGTAAAATTCAAAGACCGACTTGTCCAGCACTGCTTAATTCATCTCCGACATAGGGTTTCTATAAATACTTCTTTGGGTTGATGATGGGGGGGTTCTACCCGACAACGAGAAATCCTAGGGTTTCTGCCGGAAAGGGGGTTTCTGAGTAGATTGATCCCTGATCTAGCCTGATACGTAAGTGTTACACACGTGCAAATGGAGTGGAGTTACTCACGCTGTTTGTCGAAAGGTTGAGGACCGTAAACTCCGTGAGGCATTTTCAAAGGAAGGATATGTCCCTGCAGCACGGTGAAGTCAGTGCACTTTGGATGAATGTTGAGTCAGGTTCTGGGGTAGGATGTGTGAAAATTTCGCATATAGAGTAAACCCATACATACGGTATACCTCTACATAAGTACCTTCAACGGTGTTCTCGGAAACAGATCTTGCATTATACCGCCCGACTGAAGGAGCGCTGGGATTGACAGCTCGACAATCTCATCAGAACGATGGCGACAGCCGGCCAGATTTGATACCTTGGCAATGTTATCCTCAGATGACGCAATGTCGTTGAGTAAGGGGAATGAGAAGAACACACCACTTGGTGGTCCGACAAGAGGCGGCGATGTTCATCGTTGCCCGATCGTCACCTCTCTACTGACTAATCTGAGTAAATTTCGTTGGTTGGAGGCGGGTACCATATCAGCCTATTTTTTGGGCACTGATGGCAATGCCGAAGGTGTAATCGGGCCTCAGTGACTTTGCAATCCTTCACAGAAACGCGAAGCAGCATTGCTGAGTGTTCGCTGAAGTTGGACGTCAATGGAAAGTTGTACTTGACATCGTTAAAAGGTATTTACCTGACACTGCAGCCCTGGCCAACGCTGCTCGCCAGGCAGAGGCATCATCATGGGACGGAGTGACGGGGGTCGATAATTGAAGTACATACTGTCTCATGAGTGGAAAAAAATCAGGCTGAAAGGCTACCTAGCGGCTTGAATCGATGGGTACACTTTTTTCTCCTGAATGGTCCTTGTCACTTCTCAACAGCATCAATGCGATTAACGCGGTCATCCTCCATTCCATTACTGTACGTGGACATTGCTCCATGTCGGCTCGTAGCGATAAATGTATGGACTGCCGGCTCTGTTTCTCTCCCACCAGCGTAACCGAAATTGAAGTTCCAGCAAAGAAAAACGGGACTTTCGTCGAGCGCTAAGACATCCAAGGGTCCATTTCAGCACTTCTTGGGCACAATACCAGACCGTAGGAAGGTGTTCGGTGGTTTGCAATTTGACATGAGTGCGCTGAAAAACGTCGTCAAGAAATGCAGTTTTTATAGCAAGACTATTTGTACATGTTGTTCAAGGGCGTTAAAAATTTCGATTTGCACTGGTGACTGTTCTTAAAAAGAACAGCTCCAATTAACAGCACCCAGGAGTCTTATATATCCCCTTCTTCCTAGATTTCTTTCTTCGGCTAGACCTGTATCTCTACCACCATCATGTCGCCACCACCATCCAGCGGAAAGGACTCTGGCACAGCTCGAATTTTGGGCTCAGGGACATCTGGTCAGTCGCACCACTAAGTCATCGGTGTCATTGCTTACGGCGGCTACAGGGATTGCTGAGCTGCTCATCTTCCACCCTGTTGATACCGTAGCCAAACGATTGATGAGCAACAAGAACAAGGTTTGTCGTTCTCATGCCTATAAGGGAAGCGCAATTGAACTTTTTACTTCCACAACGCACAGGTCTCGTTCTCGACCTTGTCACCCATAATCTTCAGGGACCACGCATCTGCACCATTGGCCCGCAAGTTCCTGTCTCTCTTCCCTGGGCTAGGCTACGCAGCAGGCTACAAAGTCGCTCAGCGTGTGTACAAGTTTGGCGGGCAACCTTGGTTCAACGACCTCATCAACAAGCACTACAAGTCGAATTTCACGAACACCTTTGGCGAGCGGAAGGGAAAGATGATGATGCAGGCTACTGCCGGATCGTACGCGCGCCTCTTCTCCTTGCTTCTCAACTAATTCCCTCGGCCGATAGCTTGACTGGAATCGGAGAAGTCGTAAGCGCCCTCCCTGTGATTGATGGTACAGTAATGACGATGGTAATAGGTCCTCCTTCCGCTTGACGCACTCAAAATCAAACGCCAAGTCAACCCAGAAGCGTTCCGTGGCCGCGGTTTTGTCCGCATCTTCATGGAGGAGGGCACCACGCTGTATCGCGGCTGGGGATGGACAATGGCCAGAAACGCCCCTGGTTCTTTCGCTGTACATCTTTCTTTCTGTGTCACCAGGCATATGACGTGCTAATTGCCCCCTAGCTCTTCGGTGCCTCAGCCGTGACGAAAGAATACGTCCTCGGCGTAACTGATTACTCCCGCGCAACATGGACGCAAAACTTCATTGCTTCTATTGCTGGTGCCGTAGCCAGGTCAATATCCCTCTTTCCCGTTCCATACATTCCCAAAACTGACTGATATAATACAATAACAGTATAACGATTGCTGCCCCTCTGGACACCGTCAAAACTCGCATTCAAAATGCCAACTTTGAGCGCAAAGTCAGCGGCATACAGGTCGTCAAGGAGCTCGTGAAAAATGAGGGTCCTACAGCCTTTTTCAAGGGGTTGACTCCCAAGGTTGGATCTCCTCTCCTTCCCTATTGACGACGGCTGACACATGCACGCGCTATTCGTAGATCCTAGTGGTGGGCCCGAAATTGGTGTTCAGCTATACCCTTGCGCAATCGCTGATACCACTGTTCTCCAAATACGTTTAAGCCCTCCCCTCAACACTCCTATCTCGAATCGCTCAAAATCACCCCCATGGATATATGACCCCCTCAAAAATATGGAAGTTTGGATCCTTTACCTGCCCCCATATAGATATGGATCCTTTGCCACACCCCACCCCCACCAGTTAATCAACTCCACCCACCCATGATACTGACGTTAATGCACACTGTAATACTCACTCATTTGAACTAGTACTTATCTTTATACAATCCCCCTACTCTGCCTCGTGGTTGTTCTGCGTCTTTGCTGTAACACTCAAGGCGGCAAGATTTTAGAATCTTGCGTCAAGGCGAAGAGTCGCCGAAGACCCACATCAAGTTTACCAACATCTTCAATGCGACTCGCAATCGCCTCCAAGGGTACGGTCGTGCAACTTTGGTCTTTCATAATACTTACCTTCTTCTTTCAAGATGGCTGCTTCATTGATCCCTTCCTCTACGCAGACGTCAGCCATACCCTTCTCAAAAGTAGGTTTATAAGTGGAACCAGGCTCACGAACCTTCTGGAAACGTCCTAAGCCTCACCGTTTTAATCTTTCCATTCCGAATCGATCTTCGATACAGACGTCAGCCGTTTTTTTCCAGTGGGCTTTGCTTGTCCTTGGCTTGTCCACGACTGTGTGTCACTGACAAGACCATCAAATTTTCGCAGGGTGGACGGAAGGTGGGTCTATGTTGCTCGATATCGGTCTCACTTGACCGTTACTGTAAGTATATAACAGGTCCTCAAGCAGTGGTTCAGTGCCCAGACTCCCGCGTATCATTGAAGATGCCAAGGTTCCTGAACTCCGTCATTGCCTTGTTGCTCATTGCAATCTGGGTAGGCTGAACTGAAGCGGGTCGTGTATTTCCTTCCACTAAGTTAACGGCTTTCTAGGAACCAGAACCTACTCTAGCTACAGCTATGCAGACGTCCTCTAACCCGAATGCAATATTGCCTGGTTGGACGCGACTAGGATGCTTCGTGTTAGTTAGACTCCTACGCTATATTTAACGACATCTGAATATTTGCAGAGACCAGGGAGGGATACGCGTCTTGAGCAAAGCTTCTTTCACAAGTCCAACCATGACGCCCGCAGCTTGTATGAACCTTTGCACCCTTGGAAATTATGGCTTCGCTGGAGTCGAGTTCCACGATGCATGTATTTCTAATTACACACAAGCATAGAGCTGACAAGTGAAACTCAATCTCATGCTGTACAATCTTTGTTTGTCCTTCTGGGACAAACCTTTGTTCCATTTTTGTCCATGATCCCAACACGGTTGAGCAAACCCACAGAATATCTTCCAAGGTTCTCCCCACTATGTCCACCTGATAACACCTTGAATCCAATAACTGCTAATTTCAACTTCCACTTCTCTTCCATCACTGCAATCCAATGTACAGTCATTCCCTGAAACCCTGCCTTTGTTGTATTGGCTGATCATCCATCTTGAGTTATCGACACCTTCCCAGGAGCTGCCTAAGGTAAGTCCTCAGCATTAGTGCTTGGAAGTTAGGTTAATTAACTGGAAAATAACCGAGACCAGACCAGACCTAACCGCAAAAAAACCGGACCACAGTTAGTGGTTACAGTCATTCACCGGTCACTGAGTCACACTAGTCAATGAGTCAAAACACTTTTCTGGGGTCAGTTCTCAAGCTATTTATTTAATTCTTTCTCCGTTGTGTGTGCATATATAGTCTTTATAGTAATCCCAAGTTTCTAAGGTGTAGCATGTTTTGATCTCTTGATATCTGCAGATAAGTGCTCATTCACCATAAAACTGAATATTATCTGAGTGATCTTGGCCTTAGATTTCGGAAAAGAGCCATTTTTGTTTGATAATATCTCAAGGCATACCATAAATATTCAATTACAAGAGTTTTGAGCTGAGCTGATGCTCCAGTGAACCAAAAACCACTGAATGGACCAAATCACACTTGAAAGGGAGAAGGTCACATTCTGTCACACGTGCCAAGGGAGACGTTACAATATGTAACATGTGTTACAACGCGTTTACAATCTGTTCCAGACGTCTGACGAAGCGATGGGAAACTGAAGTGACTAAGCAAAATCCCCAAATTGGGACAGCGTGACATCTGCCTCATTGACTGGTTTTGCACTGATCTTCGTTTGCAGCACTGATAGCATGCGATATATTATTCAACAACATGAATTTGAGTTTGTAACTAGATATTACATAGGGTACGATGTATGTGCACACTTCTCTCAGTTTATAATGTCCATATCCCTTGTATTTAAAATTTCTGACACCATTCTTTATTTGGGTGCCTCATTGACCGGTGAATGACTGTAGTCAATTCTGGAAATGAAATAACTGGTTATTTTGCAGTTAGCTAACTGTTAAAAAACCGGTTATGACCGGTTACAACCGACCCTATTATACCCCTTCAAAACACATCTAAAAGCATGAGAAACACTAAAAATCTGACAGAGTTATGGTCAAATCTCTAAAATATTGGCTAAAATAGTAGGCTTTCAAGAATATTATTATAAAATTGTCAATTCTCCACCGAATTTAGCGTTCTTGGGCTTGTTTTAAAGATACGATGCATGGCAATAATGTTTACTGCAAGGAATATGAGAAATATATGCCGTTGTAATCTATTTTCTATTTTTTCGGTCCTAACCGATTAGTAACTGCAACTAACTGGTTTTCGTTGGTTATCTTCAGTCCAGTTAGGTTATTTTGGGTCTGGGAACGAACCCTAACCAGTCTCGGTCTCGGTTAGAGCCCCTGGGCACCCAATAACTTAACCTAACCAGACTTTCAAACACTACTCAGCATTATCCGAAGCATCAAAAAGTGAGCTTCTTATAGTTATTTTTTTCTCTAGCAGCTTCATGTGTTTGGTAAACTCATTGTGGAGGTGTATCTTGGTGTTGTAGGAGCTGGAAAGGTCATTAGTCATTGATTTTGGCCTCATCTCCACCAAGGTGTTCTGAAATGCAAGGTCATCAGCCAGAGCAAGTGGCTATAGGTGCATAACAAGACATTTATCTGAATAGGACATCAAAGAATGACTTACTTGGTTATTAGTTGCAATCAGCTTTGTGACTGCATGGCCTCCCTTGTGAACTCACATGGTCCTGCAATGGTTTTGAAGTCTAACAGCTGTTGCTGCTGCTTCTTCATTAGTCAACCTCTGTGTTTGGCCTCCTTCTCCTCCTCCATGGTCTTCCAGATATCATGAGGTATGGCCCAATGGCTCATCCATATGTTTTCCTTTCTGCATTTTTGCTTGTATGATCGTAATGCTGACAGATATGTGCATGACATGAAGAATTCCCTTCCTTGTGGAAGGCCTTGCACTTCTTATGTGCTTTGATGAATGCCTCATCACCCCTGGTCAGTGAGTAAGCATCTCCATGGAATGGTAGTGCTACAGCTTACTTGCAAACAGTCCACCATCATCCTATCAATGCATCATACTTATTGTCGCTTATCTTGAACTTCAAACTTCACAGTAACTTTGTCAGTCATTATAGTGAGGAGGTTGAGTGTCAATTCCTTTTTTACAGGCTTTTCTTGGAGGTCAGCTCAATGTTGGTGGTCATTGAGACCATTGTTCTGGGGTATGGTAAGTCAATGAAGCTTGTATCAGGTAATAAGGGCCAACCTCTTGTTCATCAGGTGGTTGCTCATCATCAACACCATTGTCCACTTCCTCAACATCCTTACCAGGCTGTTCGTCATTGTCGGCCACCCCCACTTCATCCAAACCTGAAAGCTTGACACACTGAAACTTGCCAGCTTTCTCCTTGGGTCAGTGTGCTGACTCAGAGTTGCTAGCTGAAGCCTGAGGAAAATTTGTCATGCTCAGGGCTGCTCTCATCATCAGAGTCCCTTGTGGCCCTTTTGTGGCTTCCCTGTGTTGTTTCTGATTTTGAGTTGCTCTTCCTCACACATGGCTTACCCTTTGGCTGGGGATCATGAAGCCTTGGTTATATCCCTTTAGTGATTGTTCAAGTAGTAATAGGCATAGTAGAGTCAATACTGCAGTCTATTCAAATTTTCAAGCCAGATGTAACAGCAGTGGCATATTTGGCAACACATTTTCAAAGGTTCTCATCAAAAATGTAGAACTGTTCTGCGAAAAGGAGGTAATTATATTTCAAGCCTTAAGTTTGGCCCCACCACAATTTGAAGGCCCAAAAGACCGGTCTTTGACTGGTTAAACCAGTTTTTGCTTGGTCTTGAAATTTTGGAATCTATAGAGAACTGTAGACCAGACCGCAGTTATGGTCTTTGTTAGTCCTGATAATTTGTGGTCTTGATCAGTCATCCGATCTGGTCACAGTCTTTTTCCAGTCCTCTGACCAGACTTCCAAACACCAAGTGCAGCACAAGTATATCAATCCAATTACACATGTCAGTCACGAAGTCAGGGAGGATGGAGTACTGCATTATACTACCATGTGGCTGACTAGTCATCACTGCCTTGAGTGTGACATTAGTAGCTTTTGTAGCACCCTCAGTCTCTATCAAGAGTCTTGCTATGTCCTGACCTGATGTCAGTGTGAATGGGCTGGGTGGTGGGAAAAGATTTAGAAGGCAGGCCCAGGACTCCAGGACTGAAAGTTTGATGATAATCCTGACATGTGAGTTGAACAGAATTGATAGGGAAGGGGAAATTGATTGTCATCACACATTATGAATACTTGAATCTGTGATAATTTGTGAGGGCATTGTTAGGCATGTGCATGAGGCTGCATGAAGAGGTAGTATGGTGAGAACAGTATGTTGTGGTGAGGAAGCATAGCCCTGTGACATGCTTAGCAGAAGTTCCTGCCACATAGTGCAGACTGCACTTTTGAATTCAGAGATTTTCTGCATATCACCAATGTTTCAGAGGGAGAATATATTCCACTAGCAGTACTTATGACTAGTTCATCAAGCTGAGATATTTTGGGGCAGTGGAAATTAGTGGGAGCATTGTAAAGAGAATCAAGGGAATTGAGGAGTGTTCAATTCAAGTG